AAGGGCACCTGTGTTAACCCTTTAACACCTAAAATGACCATTTTTGGACAACATACATAGCGATGAATTACACCGTCTAAACATTGTTTAAAAAACTTTTCAGATATCATTTCTTGCGTAAAATTTAATGTACTTTTCGAATCTGGGGTCAGAATTTTAAAAAATTCATTCAATAAAATGTTATAAACAATTTCGTAAAAAAACTTAAAATTTCGAGAAAAAAATTTCGTCAAATTTCAACACCGAAAGAAGGTTCGCTCGTGCATCTCACGCATATAGATTTGGTCAATGGCATGTATACTTTATTGTAAAAGAGTTATAATTATGAAATTCAATATGGCGATCATAAATATGACTCCCGAAGACCTGTATGTCATAAAATGATTTCGACAATTTTTAACTCGATAACCATCAACTTTACGCGAAAAAGTTATAGGACAAAAAGTGTTTAAAATTGATAAAAAAACATGCCTGATTTTTCAGAATGTTTGGAACGATTTTTGGATTTTTGAAAAATGGTATTATCCAGAAATGCAAAAATCGTTCCAAACATTCTGAAAAAATCAGGCGTGTTTTTTGATCAATTCTAAACACTTTTTGTCTTATAACTTTTTCTCGTAAAGTTGATGGTTATCGAGTTAAAAATTGTCAAAATCATTTTAAGACATACAGGTCTTCGGGAGTCATATTTATGATCGCCATATTGAATTTCATAATTATAACTCTTTTACAATAAAGTATACATGCCATTGACTAAATCTATATGCATGAGACGTACGAGCGAACCTTCTTTCGGTGTTGAAATTTGAGTTAAACGAGATTTTTTTACGAAATTGTTCATAACTTTTTATTGAATGAATTTTTAAAAATTTTGACCCCAGATTCAAAAAGTACATTAAATTTTACGCAAGAAATGATATCTGAAAAGTTTTTTAAACAATTTTTAGTCAGTGTAATTCATCGCTATGTATGTTGTCCAAAAATGGTCATTTCAGGCGTTAAAGGGTTAAATGACTTAATTAAAGTATTTCAAGGTTATGTTAATATTTTTTCATATTGTAGGACAAGTATGGTAATTTTTCAGGGATCTTTTTTAAAAATCTGTTTCATTTGAGTAGAGAAGAACCAGTTTACAAACATTTCAAGACCTCATAGATAAAGATTGGTTCAAAACTCCAATCAAAATATGCTTATATTTGTACTTTCATTCACTGGGCAAGTGCGAACTATTCGCCACACCCGTAAATGAAAGTTGAAAAAGAGTGAAATTTTCTAATTAAAATTTGATTTTTAACTGGAAAAGCAATTGTTTAACATATAAATGACAGTTTTAAAGGTAACTAGTCCGTTATAAAAGGTTTTGAGCTGCTCATTCTTTTACAGTGGATCTTCCAAATTTTAACGATCTTAAGCGATGATGTACAATATGACCATATTTTACGGCTCAGCGAACGAGGCATTCGTAAATTATTTCCTATCGTTAAACTATAGTGATTCTGGACCTGATAACCATTCGAATAGTCAGCAATAATACCCAATTAGAATAGCATAAAAATTCGTCATTCATGAATAATGTCGTTATCAATTAATAATTTTTGTTTAAAAAATGCTTTTATTCACTGGTGCGCTTTCAATCACTGGGTGGGTGACTCTATATACTGAAAACCCAAAAGTATAAAATTTGCTATAAAATGGCTCTTAATCTTCAATATACCCTTTTTGAAATCTGTTGCGCTAGAAAAAGTGTAAGAAGTACTATTTACACCTTTTCGATGAGAATAATTATAATTAAAGTGTATTTTGTGCACAGAACAATTTTCAGAATAAAAAATGTAAAATAATTCTTAGACCATTTTTTGTTAATTCTCATTTATTCCATTTTAATGACATAAGTTAGAAAATTTAAAAAAAATACACTTCAAAAAGTGTAATCAGCTCTGAATACACTTTAGAACGAATTTCACATTTCCAACAAGTATAACCTGCGCTCGAAACAATTTTGAATAGTGTAAACTGAGCAAGTATTACTATTACACAGTAAATTTTATACTTTAGGGGTTTCAGTGCAGAGCTTCCGTCTAAAAATAAAGGAACGAGAGAAGTCGAAGGTAATTTACTTTATTAATAAAATTTTTTTGTTAATATGAACGCATTGCCTTGTCCTTTTTTTCATTTCTCTCTCCGTGATAAATAGGCCAGGGAATATAGCTAAAAATGAGCTCATTTATCAGTTTGAAAACACTAGAAATCTAACACGGTAGAACTATAAAATATTGAAAATGCGACACAGTGGTACAAATGCATTACTCGATTGTTGTTTGTAACAAAATGGTGGACGAAAAAGTAAAAAAAATCAAAGAAAAAAATGGTTTTTTTGATTTCTAACGGAACGTAACGAACGAATCGTTTTGAGTGCAAGGGGACATCCATAAATGTTGTCATGCAAAAGAGCGGTTTTTAGACCCCCACCCCCCATCTTGCCGTGTCATAATTAGAAACCTCCCCCCCTAAGAATGACATCATTGTTCAATTAGGTAACCCCCCCCCCCCACCTAAAATGAAAAAAACACGATATATTTTATGTTTATTATTATATAATATATGGCCGATTCTCTGTCAACTCAACCAGTCAAAATTTTTCTTCTATATCTTATATGATGAACACATTGTTTGAGATGTCAGGAATGTACAAAAAAATTTATAGAGCGATTGGGGCCTTCTATTACTCTTTTTCAGAATTCCAAAGTTAGCCTTTTTCGCATTTTTCCGTAATTTATCTAAGATCGCAAATATTTCATTAAGTTCTAACTCAGTGTAGAATGACTCAAAAGTAAAAGTGCTTTTTTGTTAGAAATCATCCAACTTATCAGAAAAATGGGTCTCGAAGCGATCTGAGCACCCTGGAAGCTTCTAGAATAGAAATAATCAAGAAAAAATGAAAAATACTAAATCTAATCAAGTATGATCCGGACTTTCCTTTCCAAAATTATTTATGAAGCTTCCTAAATATGTCAACTACTTTCTTGTAAATTTTTATAATGGTTTGAGCATTATTAAGTTCTGGAAACGCTAATTTGTATCGAAAAACGTGCAAAAAAGGCCCCTAAAGCAAAGTATAGCCTTAGATCTTTACATATTACACATGCTAGGCAAACTCAAACCTCAAAATGAACTATGTAAACTTAAAGAGCACAAAATTACCTTTAATTTGGTATATTTCAAGAAAATTCAAGTATCATGTAAACTGATCTATGAAAATGAAAGATTTAATGCTTTAATTCTCAATGAAACTTCAAACAGCTATATCTTCGGTTCTAGAGGACTTAGAGAGTTTTTAAGTATACCAAATTGAACGTAATTTTGGGCTCTTTAAGGAGGTTCCCTTGGGTAACACGCTAGTCAATTGAGTGTTCGCGCAGTAACGTGGGTTAAGTTAGCTGGCTTGTCGTCTGCTAGCCCTAAAACGAGCCTAAAAAGTCTTGTTTTCGCGTCTTTTGTTAAAAAAATATTGAAAAAACGGCAGGCTACCTCTACTTTGAGACACAGTTTTTGAAAGATAAGAACTTTCTCTACAATTTGTATATAATCATTTCCCTGCGAACTTTGATTTCTTTTTATAAATTGTAAATGTAGCTCAAATTTGCATCCATTTCTATGTTGCCCATGTTAATTTGCGAAACTTTGATTGCGTTTTTCTCGAGATTTTGCCTGGCTTGGGCATATTAGAGTTATACCATTGGATTCGGGAGGTCAAAATCTATCGATATTGATATATGTACTTCTCAAGAAAGTACTTTGAATTATATTTAAAACACATGAAAAAAATGGAATCTATTGGACTTATAATTCTCCCAGAATCATTGATCGTAAATTAAAAAATTTTTTTTTCATGTTTTTGAACGAGAGCGCGACAAAATCTCCGGAGACAAAATCTCCGGCGACACAATCTCCGCGACTAAATCTCCGGGACAAAATCTCCGGGCGACTAAATCTCCGCCGAATTTAATTTTATATTATTATTTATTATTAGATGTTTATTCCGTTTAGATAAATTCCGCCATAATTATACAATGTTATAAATACTCTTCCTTAATTCTCGTGATAGTGTGTTTGGGATGCGTGATAGTGTGTTTGGGTGCGTGATAGTGTGTTTGGGTGCGTGATAGTGTGTTTGGATGCGAGATAGTGTGTTTGGGATGCGTGATAGTGTGTTTCGATGCGTGATAGTGTGTTTGGATGCGTGATAGTGTGTTTGGGTGCGTGATAGTGTGTTTGGGATGCGTGATAGTGTGTTTGGGATGCGTGATAGTGCGCATTTTTTTCCCGGGGGATTTTGTCTCCGGAGATTTTGTCTTGCGGAGATTTTGTCGCGGAGATTGTGTCGCGGAGATTTTGGTAGCGGAGCTGATTCTTGCTATGAAAAACTATGTAATCTTAATTTTTTCATCGGATATGGAAACGTTATGCCTTTCTCTAAAACTCTCTCATATATAATTTCTTTTTAAACTGCAGTACACTAGCTCAAAAATTGATTTGAAAGTCGAGAAAAATTGCAACTAATCCAGCGTGGCTCGAGTGGAGTGGGGGAAGCTTCACGTGCGAGGGGGCATTTTTTTCTTTGATTTTTCTACTTTTTCGGCCGCCATTTTGTTATAAACAACAATTGAGTAATACATTTTTACCTTTGAGTCGCATTTTCAATATTTTAAAGTTCTACCGTGTTAGATTTCTAGTGTTTTCATATGCATTGAAAAATCTCTATTCCCCGGCCTAAAAGAGTATAATAATTTTTCAGTAATGTCATTAAATTACAATTCTGTTATGTTATTTAGCTAGCATATATTAATTTATTCGTGTTGCGATAATATTACAAGTGTATTGCTTTTTGTAACTTCTTCGAACTGTTTAATTTCTTCTTTTTTCTGTCCTCAAAAATTTTATCTAAAAATAAAAAAGCGTTATTTCAAATTTTTTAAAGAAAAATGAAAGTTATTACTTACTTGATATATTTCCGCAATTCATTTCCAAAAATTATCTTTTGTCGGAAACTCATAAATAAATAAATATACTTATTTGATGTGTTTTAGAAGTTTGTTTAAATTCGCTGAACAAGAAGCCATTAAATTTTCTTTCAATTTTTACCAAGTTTTACATTTTTTTGGTGGATTCATTTTTGTTCCAACAGTACAACGAAATGCATCAGCGAATTCAGGTGAATTCATCATTATCCCATTTATTCTAAAATTTAAAAAAACACATTTATTTATATAACCAAAAAGAGTTAATGAAAAATTAAAAACTAATTACCTTTCAGGTTGTGGAGTATGATAATCTAACTCGACCGACAAAATGTACGCTTCAGCAGTCATATTAGAACAGTAAGTCTTCAAAATACATGTGCAGTTGGCATTAAGAAATATGTTTTTTTAATTTAATAGAATTAGGAAATTTAATTTAATAAATTTAATGAGTGTATAAATTACTTGGGCAACGCTGATAAAAAAGAGTTGACTTGGACGTAATGCTTCCATACCCGGGAGGGTTCGATCTTTACCGTTCGTCAGAGTATGCCATGTATGATAAGCTATTTGAAGAGAACCAATATCTGCTACATTCTCGTTTCGAGTGATATTCCAATCAAACTGTTAAAGTAAAAATAAAAAAAATTAAGTTTTCACCTCGGTTATTGATACTTGATTGCAGTGTTCAACTGGTCGTAGGAATAAAAATATGATAGTATAAAATAAAATTTATACAGGAAAATTTAAAAATCTTGGCACAGCCTTAGATCATCTTGAAATAAAATTTTCAAATTAATGCATCACAAAAGAACTATATTTGTAAACTTAGACAAATTTGGCAAAACCCGCGTAATATGGAAAATAAAATTTGGTTGAATAGATCAATAAAAAACCTTACAATAATCCTTTGTGAAGATAGAAACCCTGTAATACCCTATTTAAAAAAAATCGTTGGATTTCCAGTTGGAAAATCGAGCAGGATTTGATTGGAAATTGAGCTTGATTTGACTAGAAATTGAGCTGGATTTGACTGGAAATTTAGCTCGATTTTTGACTGGAAATCCAGTTCGATTTTCGATCTGGAATCTAGCTCGAATTTTGTCCTGAAACCTAGCTCGATTTTTAACCTGAAATATAGCTTGATTTTTGACTGGAAATCTAGCTCGATTTTTTAAGTTAAAATCCAGCTGGATTTTCAAAATTCGAGCTAGATTTCCGATTAAAAATCAAGCTAGATTTCAGGTTAAAAATCCAGCTAGATTTCCAGTCAAATTCTGCTCGATTTTCCAACTGGAAATCAAGCCATTTTTTTGTAAACAGGGTAAATCTATCTTCCAAATATCACCCCAACGGCATCAACGCATTACTTTCTATGGAAAGCATTACTCAGAAATTTGTACCACCTATCAGGACAACAAGTAAATGGACTAGAAGAGATCAAGAAAAAGCTTAAAACTTTGCTGAACATCTTAGCGAGGTGTTTGATAACCACCGAGACAAATCACAGAAGCCGAAGAAGAAATGCCGATGCAAGACCAGCATCTTTTATTCAAGAAAATCCAAATGAAGAATGCCAACATGCATGAATCTTATTGGTACTTGAAAAAGCAAAAATCTACAGGATATGATGGAATCAGCATCAGAACGATAAAAGAATTACAACCTAAAGCAGTTAGATACTTAACTATATTTAATTAACGCATGTCTAAAATTGAAGTACTTTCCCAACCAGTAGAAAGTTGCGCAAATTATTTTAATTCCAAAATCAGGAAAGCCTCTTGAAAAAACAATATTATATCGACCTATCAGTTTGTTACCTATCTGTGCCAAACTTTGTGGAAAAATTATACTTAGAAGACATACAGAATAAAAAATGAATCCCAGAACATCAATTTTGTTTCTGCGAAAATCACTCTACCATTGAACAAGTGAACAGATTTAATAATTCAGAGCTTTCGAAAGGAAGCAGTATTGCTTGGCTATCTTCCTAGAAGAGTCCACATTAAAAACGCGATTTTCACATTGATTTTTCACGAAATTTAGTTAGTCAACTAGGGCTGAAATTTGGAGAAAATATCGGGGAAGTCATAAACAATATGCCGTGCAATTTTCATAATGATCTTTACGTAACTCATTCATCACCCAACCACCTTAAGGGGTAACATAGCTTTGTAATTTTCGAAAAATCGAAATTTTTTTATCGTTCTATTTGAAAGTAAATGTCTTTAAGAATATTGTGACAAAATTTCAAGTAGATCCGAGCAATATTCCCGAAGTTATATAGTATTCAATAAAAAAAAATTTGACAATGAGCAACTGCATCATGAAAAGTGTCCTCAGGGTCCTGAGTCTTAGTGTCCATGTCAACGTGCTTCTGCTGAAAATTCTCTAAAGACATTCGAGCATGATTATAAATCAATTCCAGATGATGAATTAGCTGCAATCAAACCAATTTATGGAGAGCTGAGCTCTGATAAATTTTTTGAGCGTTGTGTAGGTGGTTTCACACAGAACAACAACGAAAGCTATAATTAGCTTATTTTGAAAATTACAGCAAAAATATTAACTGCTGACTCAAAAATATTTTAAATTGCTGCATTCACTGCTGTTTGTGTGTTTAATCAAGGGACAAAAGCCTTATTTACAATTATATGCAGTATGGAAATCAAACTTGGTCGGCACACTCACGAGTACGCGCGGAGCGAGGATAAAAAACGCGTGCTGATCGCAAAGCAAAGAGCTTTGGATATTACTGGAGAGGCTAGAATTATTCATCGACAACATCAAAAAGATGCTCTAGAAATTGCAGGTGAAGCTAAGGAATCATTATATGGACCCAAAATCGAAGATTTGATGTAAGTCGCTATAATATACAATTCAAATCACTTAAATCGTTCAAATCACGGTACAGAAACTTTACAAGCGCTTTTCTCGACACTTCGTTTTCTCGTGCGGTAGGCATGATTTCTCGAGAATGAGTCGACCGATTGAGCTGAAATTTTGCACAAATCCTCTCTAGGGTACTGACTCGTGATTGATCGAAGGGATTTTTGATCGGTCGACTCGTTATTTTTAATAAAATTTAGAAGTGAAAAATGGTCAAAATTTTAAAAATGCTTAAAAATCAGGGCAAAAATGCATTCAAACTCATGTCAATTCATCAAATTTCCTTTTTTTTCTTTTCCTTCGATCAATCACTAGCCAAGGGTATAACCTTTAAGAAATATGACGAATTTTTGGTTTAAGATGATCCTGTCAAGAAAAATCCTGCCTACCGCAGGACAACAGGAGGACCGAGGAAAACTGATGGAAAATTAACAATTTTCAATATTTTTATCTGAAAAGTTCTTTGCATCTTTTCTAATGAATAAACTTTATTGTGTAAAAATTTCAAATTGATTAAACTTTTTGTTTTTCAAATATGATTTTTCAAAAAAAAAAAAAAAATTTCTGTCACACAAAGCTATGTAACCCCTTAAGATAAGAAAAAAAAACTTTATTAATATTTGGGATTTTCTAATTCGAGATAGAAGTTCTTTAATAAAAAACTAGTATATGAATGAATTTTTTTAGATTCTTAGAAACTTTTTTATAATGCTCATATTTAATAGCACAGGCCACTAACAACCCATGCCCAATTTTAATTTCTTAAAATGTTTGCCTGCTTCGCATGAAAAAACTTTGATTACCTGTACATCAACACTGTTTCCAAAAAATTGAACTTTTTTCCAAAAACTTCGAGCGTAGAGTTTTGCAACACATTCAACCATGACTTCTAGTCTATGCCAAGCATCTGGTGTGATCCAAGACCAGTGATTATTGATTGGATCTGGATCTAATGGTAATCTTCGATGATGAAGATCAAAAGCATGAAGGACTTCATGGCTAATTACAGAACCAAGAGTAGCGTAAACTGCATACGAAGGTCCACCTTCCCATGACCAAGACCACGCAGACATCATAGCTAAAGGTATAACTATAAAATCGAATTAGTTAGAATATTACATAAATATTTGTTAAAAATATGTGTAAAATGGAATTACCAATTGAATTAGATGAAGCTTCGTAATAAGCGCTGATTGTGTAAGGGTGTGTCCATCTAAAATTATTAGAATTCGCTTTAGTTAATTGCATCAAGAAATTAAAATTTTTAATTAAAGCTTGTGTCAATTGAAATGGATGAATTTATACATTTTTATTTCGTTAAAAATAAAAGTGATGATAAGTATTTTACTTTTATTATGGTTGCATGATGAAACTCTAACTGCCCTCTTACTTTTGAGTGGCGTTTCTTTTCATTTGAGCCTCTGGTGTCCGTATCTGCTTGAGTCTTCTAAGAACAGTCGTAAAAAAGTCTCCTTCATAAATAAAAACCTATATAATAATTTAAACCAATTATTATAAATATATTGCAATTCAAACAAATGAATTGATGAAAAAATTTTAAGTCATTATTAAGGGCGAGTTGATTGAATAAAAATGTCAAACATGGACTTTCAGGAGAAGTGGGTTATAATATAAAAACAAACTTATTTTTCATAAATTTATAAGTAGATTTCTATGAAACTTTTAACATTTAAAGAACCGAGGTAAATCTTGTATAGAAATTATTTAAAAAATATCTATGAATATACCTGTATTAGTATAAAGCATATTGCGTTTTATTATGTACATACTACTCGATTTAACAGATATAATTTGGAGTATATGCTATAATACTATTTTCTTATGATATTATGAGATTTTAAAAAGGAACTTTGTTAATTTTATAATTTCTTAGTGCTACATAGAACGGACCTGCGTACCCAACATTCTGCCCTGGAAAAAATTTCCTGTAGGATCCCGCGAAATTTTTTGAATGATGAAATTTTTTTAAATTAGTATTCGAGTTATATTATTTTGAAAAAAATTATTTCCAAGTGGTGACATCACCCCAAGACTCCAAATTCTTTATTTAATAACAGGAACTCGATTTTTATGAAATTCAGTTTTGAAAACTGAAATAAATGCAGGAAGTGCAAGGAATAGTGAAAAACTAAAAGTTTCAGAGAATTCCGCGTATAAAGTACGTGCATTCAAGAAGTATTCTGTGAAATTTTTATCCAATAATTTTTACATCTAAGGGGAGTCATACACCAATTCACTTCTCTTTGGCATTTTTGTGGTATAAATCACAGTTTAATGTCACATTTTTGACAATTTTTTGGATCGTTGTACTTTTGCTGAACATGGGGTCTGGAGAACTTGAGAGTGAGCCAATTCTACGCAAAATTTAATGAACTTTCCGAATCCGGTGTTAGATTTACGATATAACCATCAGGTTAAAAGTTACGGATGGTTTTATAAAAAAAAACGTAATTTAAAATAAAAAAATTTTTTCTTTTCGAATTTTCACATGAAAATCTTTTAAATTTTTCTTCGGTACAAATAAGGCGTCCACAGTTTCTCCTCTTAAAGTTATGACCATTCCAGTTAGTGAAATATGATTTTAAGTAGAAAAAATGGCGACTGGAAAACAAAAATAAATATAAGGAATTTTTTGGCATTTTTAACTCAAAAACGTAGGATTCTTAGAATTTATCAAAAAACTCATTCATCAGTAAAATTTTTTTTTTTCAAATGAAATCTGTGAGCTCTAAAAATGTGTAAAAAGTTGCAGAATAGGCCTTTGCATCTAAAAATAGCTTATTTTTGCTATTTCAGCATTTTGGCTCCGTGTGCAAGGTTCAGATCAGAGTTTTTGAAGTAGTGACTCCTGGTATGGACCAACCTCTTTAGAAAAGTACCCTTTATGGGCTGAGTTTTCTGGAATTTTTATTAGAGTTATAAAAAAGTTTATACACCAACAGATGTGAAAAAAAGCAAAAAATAAGAAAATTTATTAATGTTTTTGAGCACATATTGAATAATAAAACTGGTATGAAGGTCTAAATCCAAATTCCAGAAAACTCAGCCCATAAAGGGTACTTTCCTGAAGATTTTGGTCCATCTCGGGAGTCTCTACCTCAAAAACTCTAATCTAACCCTTGCAGTGCCAAACTGCTAAAATAGCAAAAATAAGCTATTTTTTTATGCAAAAGCCTATTATTCTGCTACTTTCCCCACATTTTTTAGGGCTCAAAGATGTCAATTTTATGTTGAAAATGTAGATTGACACTAAACTGTGATTTTTATGATTTATATCATTTTGGATGTTTCATAGGTTCCGACAAAAAATTATTGAAAATTTCAAACATTTATTCTTAGTGATCTAATTTGACAACTCAAAATTTTTTCCCTTTTGCATGTACATAACCTTACATTTTTTCTGGTTTATTTATACTTTATAACACTGGTTCTAAAGTGAAAACTCCTTCTGTTATACTTAATTGGTTATTAAATGGTTTTTATCATCAACTTTTTAATCTTCGGGATTTTCTCACTTACAATCATTTAAATATGCTATAAAGGATTAAGAATCGATCAAAGAATGCGTCTAAAGGGTTTCACCATTTTTAAAGACATTTCTGATTTTTTGAGCTACAACAGCTTTTTCAAAAATCTAAAAATTCATTAGAAAAATTATGAAAAATATTTAGGCACAGTGTTTGACCATTAAAAGTACTTTTTTTCAATTCTTTTTTATTAGATAAAAATTGTCGAACTGAAAACTTCTCGACCTTCATTATTATTTAAGGGGGGGGGGGGGTAGGGTCTTGTTCGATGGTTTTCGAGCTGCATTCTAATAATTTTTTTAAGCACATCGTAAAATGGATTTATCTATAAATTATATACATTATAAATGGTTATTTCCATTATATACATTATAATGGTAGATCGATTGCGGTGGTCACTGTAACTGAAAATCTACTCGACCGATTCTTTCCAAATTTTTCTCACTTTTTCGCCGTTGCTCACGAGTAAAAACACACATCATCGAAACGCCGTGAAAAAAAACACACCTCTTTGGATACCATGAAAAAAAACACACCTCTTCGGAACGCTGCGAAAAAAAAACACACCTCATCGGAGCGCTGCGAAAAAAAGCACACCTCATCGGAGCGCTGCGAAAAAAAACACACCTCATCGGAGCGCTACGAAAAAAAACACACCTCATAGAATGCCATGAAAAAAAACACACCTCATAGAATGCCATGAAAAAAAACACAGCACATTGGATGCCGCGAAAAAAAAACAGCTCATTGGATGCCGCGAAAAAAAAACACACCGAATCGAAATTTGTTGCGTTTTTATTCTGCTGTGTTTTTTTTCGCGGCATCCAATGAGCTGTGTTTTTTTTCACGGTATCCAATGTGCTGTGTTTTTTTTCATGGTATTCAATAAGGTGTTTTTTTTTCACAGCATTCAATGAGCTGTGTTTTTTTTCGGGGCATAATTTAGCAGTATGTTTTTTTTTGTAGCGTTTTTCACTGTGTTTTTACTCGTAAGCAACGGCGATTTATCTACATAAATTATGAGGTAATGACGTCGATATATTTCGTTTAAAATGATTTTTGAGTTTTTGGCATCATTTTGAAGTGAAAAAATGACTTTTTTGACAAAATGAAGGCAAAAATTCATCGTACTTGTTCGTAAAAACCATTTAAAAATGGAAAAAGTTAAAATATCTCGACGTCATTACCTCATATATCATCTACTTAAATAGTGTATAAAATATGAAGTTGATCGGTCGAGTAGATTTTGAGTGATGGTGTCCACCGGATTTTTTTACGTTGCATGTGAAAATTTGCTGTAGCCACCTTATTTTTCAGTATTTTGGGCTGAAAATTTAACTAAATATTCTTCAAATAACTATTAATTATGTGTATGATTTATAGATCAATTCGATTTACTATATGTTCATAAAAAAAAATTTTTTTTTGAAATTTAGTCAAGACCCTACCCCCCCTTAATAATAAATTATTTGCTGAGCAAATGAAATTATTGTAATCTGTTACAAAAATTTGTAAAAATAATATTATAATAATAGTTTCATACTTGATTCATTTCTTGTGCCAGTGAACTTTCATTCAAGTACCCATGCCATATTTGAAATTTCCCTTGTAATGAACGTAGTCGAAAAATAGCTTGAGTTCTTGTTTCTTCATCAAGCCATGGCATAACTAGCATTCTTTCTGCGAGTGTTTCTTTGATTCGTTCGAAAAGAACAGCCACCTAAAATGATGTATTGTTGAATAAAAATGAAAAGAAGGAGGACTGCTAATTGTGGTCCTCCTCCTTTTTGAAGTAAAGGTGCCTATAAGTTACATAAAATTTGACCCTAGTTTTTCATTCATTTATTTATTTAAAACTTATATAGTATATAGTTGTTATATGCCAAGTATTCGAGAACATTTTTTCTCGAGCACTCGATATATAATATCTTAAATATAAAATGAATGAAGGCTAATAAAGTTCGTCGTTTCGCCGTGCACAAACCATTCATGTCAACGACGGCCTCAACAGAGTCAGAGCATCCGTCCGTGAATGACCAATAGATGCTGACATAATAACAATAGCAAAATAACATATTTATATGAACAATTTTTAAACAAAAAAAGGATTTTTAGGGGTACAGTCGTGGCAATTTTTTTTCACATGACGTGGATACGGACCATCGGGAAATGTTTCTGGAATATGTAAGAATGTAGAAACAGTTGAAATGTTGATAGTGTTTTTTTATAGCTACTTTTGTGATTTAGAGGATGAAAGATCATGTTTTCTCGCAAATGTCGTAGGAATCCAAGAGCAAGCATTAATCTAAAGTAGCCTATGTGGTTTCATTTTGTTCGATATCCAATTGGCCATAGTTACAAACAAAAGCTAGACATAAGATGAACTGTAGCTACTCGTGTGTACAATTTTCTAGAATTTAGTATTCATTTTTCACCATTTTGCATAAATTAATTTCACTTTGCTATATGTACAAGTAGCTACAGTTCGTTTTATGGCTAGCTTTTGGTTGCGACCATGGCCAATTGGCTATCGAACAAAATCAAACCACATGAGCTACCATAGATTAATGCTTGCTCTTGGATTTCTACGACAGGTAGCTTAGATGCGTTTAAAGCTTGTGTTGTGTGTCAACACACTCATTATTACTGTACTAAACTGTTTCTAAGTATTTAACTGGACAAAATACTTTCAAATATGGCATTGAAAAGGGTTATCATGTGTGTTCTTAAAAAAAAAAAAAAATTTTTTCACTTTTACAGCCTAGTACTGTAATTGAAAAATGAAAAATAATTAAGCCCCCTGTTAGCCCTTAACCCATTAAGTCCCAAGACAACATTTTTTCAACACTTTATTCGGCTACTGAAATTTAATGCCCTTTCAGAATCTGATCTCAAATTTTCGAAAAAATGATCAGGTCAAAAGTTAAACTTGATTTTATCCAAAAAAACGCGTTTTTGAAAAAAATTTTTAATTTTTATAATTCCAAAATGAAAACCTTTTTGAAGTTTCAGGGGTTTCGTGCATATATCGCGCCTTCGATACCTGAACTAGAAGTTAGCGGGGTTTAGATTCAAGAAAATTTTTGTGTTCAAACATTAATCTTTTTAGTCAAAACCCCGCTAACTTTCAGTTTAGATATCAAGGACGCGATATTTGCACAAAACCCTTGAGATTTCAAATGGTTTCCATTTGGAAAATCGAAAAATAAAAAAAATTTTCTTTCCTAAAACGCGTTTTTTTTATAAAATCAAGTTTAACTGTTGACTTGATTATTTTTTCGACAATCTGAGATCCGATTCTGAAAAGGCATTAAATTTTACATTAGAATTAGTTACTCGCATATTTTTGTGACCCCATTTTCACCAAAATTACAATGGCCGAATACAGTGTTGAAAAAACCTCCTCTTGGGACTTAAGGGGAGTCATACACCAATTCACTCCTCTTTGTCATTTTTTTTTATATAAACCACAGTTTAATATCAATCTACATTTTCAACATAAAATAGACATCTTTGAGCCCTAAAAAATGTGAAAAAATTGCAGAATAGGCCTTTGCATCTAAAAATAGCTCATTTTTGCTATTTTAGCCTTTTGGCACTGTGCGCAAAGTTCAGATCAGAGTTTTTGGGTTTGGAGATCCTGATAGGTCTGAAAATCTTCAGAAAAGTATCCTTTATGGGCTGAGTTTTGTGGAATTTTGATTTAGACCTTCATATCAGTTCTACTATTCAATATGTGCTCAAAAACATTGATAACTTTTTTTTATATGTTGCTTTTTTCACATCTGTTGGCATATAAACTTTTTTATAACTCTAATCAAAATTCCACAAAATTCAGCCCATAAAGGATACTTTTCCAAAGATTTTGAGACCTATCAGGATCTCCCAACCTAAAAACTCTGATCTGAACCTTGCGCACAGTGCCAAAAGGCTAAAATAGCAAAAATGAGCTATTTTTCTGCAATTTTTTCACATTTTTTAGGGCTCAAAGATGTCTATTTTATGTTGAAAATATAGATTGACATTAAACTGTGGTTTATATAGAAAAAAATGACAAAGAGGAGTGAATTGGTGTATAACTCCCCTTAATGGGTTATTTTCTAAGTCACCGAAAAAGTATCAAAAATCATTAAAAAAATAACTCACTCATAACAAACATGCAGAGCTAAATACCTCGCAAAATTCGCTCCAAAAAATGAACGATATGGTTTATTTTTTATTTTTCCATATGGAAATAAAATTTTTCGAAAAATTCGATTGCACCATGATAAAATTGAAATTTTCTCATCTTTCTCATAGTTCTGCCAGATTTTTCGATAGTTTTCATTTTCAAATTGAAAAATCAAAAATAAACCTTAATGATCATTTTTTTCGTACTGAGTTTTTCGAGATATTTAGCTCTCTATTTTTCGGTAAAGATTGAATCTTTCTGAAAATCTGATATCACTATCAGAAAGCTAAAGAAATTTTTTATCGAATTAAGTAGTCAGTCAATTTTTCTAGATTATTTTTGATACTTTTTCAGCGACTTAAAAATTAAGTACGTAACGGTATTTACGCGAAGCCATGATTTTCCGACTTCTAAATCACAAAAGTAGCTGTAAAAAAAACACTATCTAAATTTTGACTATTCTTACGTTCTTACATGTTCTTGGAACCCCTACTAAAAATTCTCGAGGTGAAAAAAATCATACCACAACTCTACCTCCAAAAATGCGTACTTTAAAAAGAATAGCTGCTTTTAAATAAGATTACGCACAATCGACCCGTTCATCTAGAAAAAAGTTCACATAGGAATCCTATAGGAATTTTGCGGAATCCTAAAAGAAATTTTTTCAAGGGTAATCAATCGATACATAATAATGGTAGTTATATGGATTGTTAAGTAATTTTTTAATTTTAATTCATTGACTTTCCAAAATTTCTTAATATGATTTTATATAAAAAAATTAAGTAAATAAAATTGTAATGATTACTCTGTTCACTAAAAGTTCCAAAAAATCTGGTTTGTGTTGCTGCACATATAACGTGCCTACTGCTTCGCTGAATATGTTTTTGGTAATCTTTACACAATTTTCGCTCCAATTTCTATTAGCCGTTACATTTACAATGTCATATAATATATCTGTAGCATAGAGAACCAGTAATCCATTATGAACCATTCTGAAAGTAAATAAGTTTATCATTAAAATATTGTTAATAAAATAATTTAAAAGATTACAGTATTGTATTAATTATTGGGTAATAATTGGTTCAGAGTCGATTCCTTAATTTAGTTTAAGCCAAACCTCGAAACTGATGCTAATATTGATCTATTTACGACCAAAAGGACTGTTTTTTGACGACTGTCGACGGAAGTGTTTTTCATTTTATCTGTCTTTAGAAAATTTTGTAAACACATATTGCCACTGCTTACGAAAACAATCACTTTTGAAAAATAACGTAATGAAAAGAAACCAAATAACGTTTATCTGGAGCTTTACAGCATATTTTTGAGTTATTGTTTTCTTAGGCAGCGGCGATATTTTTATGCAAAATCGTATACTCTCTCCAGAATCCAGGCTCAAAATTATAACTAGACTAGATGCGTATAAAATGAAGTTACGACTAACGATTTTTTATTTATTCATTTATTTATTTATTGACATTACCCTGAATACTTTTCCTCAAATACACTGAATTCCAAAAATGTAAAAATTTTTATGGAATAGTGATGATCCTTGCGCAGTTTACATTAGTTAAAAGTGTTTCGAGGGCAGATTACACTTTTTGAAAAATCGTCAGAAGGACGAGGGACCACCGTTAGTACTGTGCCGTTGCTACCCTCGACGTCCGAAAGGCTTTTAATTCAGCGCGGTGGAACGGAATTCTCGCTGTGCTGGAACGAATTCACACTCGCTGCAGTCAAACGCTTGGGTCGACTATCGATACTGCTCGTCGAGTCGTCCGCCCGCATTTGCATTGCTATAGATCGTCGAGGCCTCGTTGTACTTACTTCCGCTACAGGAAACTGCCTGCTCGAGCAATCAGATGAAGCGAGCTGTTGGCCAGTTTACCAGATACTGTACGATCAAAATCATCGATTAGGAGGTAAGGGTTAGTGGAAGGGAGGTTAAAGAACTAGTCAAAATTCCCTTTTCAAAGATGCCCTCTTATTTATTCACCTTTCTTTCGCCTCAAAGAGGCGTTCGACAATACAAAGCTCATTAGTTAGATTTAAATGTTATAGCGACGACACATCTCACTACTTCGCGTACAACAATCCAAACTGAGTACCTATAGAGAATCATCAACGGTTACTTCTAGGCCAGCATGCTGGAATACAGTAGGAGTTGGTCTAGTGGAGACACGCGTTATGTATCGGAGTATTAGTTCGGAAGATTAATTTGTACCGCGGAGACTTGTCCGTAATATGGAAAGGATTGCTAGCCAGCGGTCGAAGGGGCAACGCATTCAAGTAAAATATAAGATAAAGTTTATTAAAAGATAATTTAAGTTAAGAATTAAAGTGAAGGATGATCATAATAATTAATACATAGTATATTACTGCCCTTGTAGTAGAATAGTATATTACTACCCTAGGCCGGGAAAAACAGAAAAGTCCCAGAACACGTGAAATAAGCGACCGAGGCAAAGCCGAGGCTTAGGGCAGTAATATACTATTATTCCGACTGCGAGTCGCGTAGCAGCAGCAGAGTGAGAGCAAAAAGAGACCCTACGGAGAGCTTAACCGCGTGAAAGAAAGAGTTGGTACTTACAAAGTAGACCAAGGACCGCTGTCCAAGTATATCGTCCGGTCCCACCGCTGTACGGTAATTCCATCTCGTAAGGATAGTGCGTCGTCAAATATCTTCCGAATTGGACTCGTTAAAACACGGGTCTCGCAAGTGTCGCAGCGCGATGCTAATTCCACGATAGCCAAAATAGATTTGAACACGCGAACGCCGTTCGTGAGTTCATAGGAGACAATTTCTCTACAATATACCATTACAATTAAATACTTAAGGATACTATGCAGCGGAAGTTCGTGTGTCGTGTCCGTGGGAAGGCTGTGTTCAAGCCTGGAGTTCGGTGAGACGAGAGAAGAGTTGCTAGGTGACGAGGCGATCGTGAGGCTCGGAAGGCAGCGAGCCACGTGATTTGCTGTACAGCGACCTTCTGATTAATCGTCCGAGGTATCTCCACGGCGAGGCAAGCGCCCTTGGACCGGGCAGACCACGAGAACGGAGCAGCTGGGGGACAGCGGGAGACGACATCGAGAATAAAGGCCGAGGCAACGGAGCGTCGAAGAAGGTTGTAAATTGGATTAGACTTGGTCGGTCGCGCGGATGTGTGAGAGTATTGTATGATTGCGTAGTGTGAATGTAGAAGAGAAAAATAAGAAGTTCGCCGTAGAATCGTTGTAGTACGAGTAGTGGAGATCGGAGTAATTGTAGCGAGTATCTTGGATTCAAGACGTGGTTCGAGTCGATGTTGGTGGAAAATAGTCGACGGGATAGAAGCCGCGACGAAATCATGGAGCGGATTCTCAACGGTGTATCAAGAAATCTTACTTTCCAGGATGCTCAGTCTACCGCGGCGCCCTTGAATTATCAGGTAATGCCGGATTTGAGTAAAAGCATTCCAGTATTCACCGGAAGTGAGGCTCCAGCCGTATCGCGCGAATGGATAGAAAATATCCGAAGCATGCGTGTTCTGCACAACTGGCCAGAAGCCTTCGCCTTGGAAACAGCGCGTATACACCTCGCACAAGTCGCTAGGGATTGGTTCTCGGACAGGCGAGCCTCTCTCGACACGTGGCCGAAATTCAGTGCAGCGTTTGAGTCAACGTACTTACAACAAGAAAATATGACCAAAAGATAGAATAGGATGACCGAGCGGTTACAGCTGAAAGGCGAACATATCCAGCAGTACTTGCACAGCAAAGTCAAACTGTGCTTAAATTTGAACCTGGACGCTGCGGAAATTATTGAGCAGGTGCTAATCGGTCTATTCACAATATCATCGAATACGAGCATAAAGTTGGACAGCGTCAAGAGCGAGCCCGAGCTCAGGCAAACACTGGCCCGAATACGACAAGGAGAAACTCCAACGAGTATCAAGCGACCTTAGTGACGGAAAGGTCGATTGTCCGGGTGAACAACCCAGTATCGTCTTGACCTCAAACGAACGAGCAGGGTGAACCGAGATGTTTCAATTGCCAAGCTTACGGACACATCTCCAGAAATTGCCCCGAGCCGCGAGTCGACCCATATAGTACATCGTGTAAGAAAAACGGTCATTATAAGTAAGACTGTACAAATAAAGCGAGCAGTGTAAACATGATCCACGACGCAAACGTATCTTCGGCGGATAAATATTTCAAGACAGCGATAGTCAACAATACAAAATTCGAAGCTTTCATCGACCCAGGCAGTGCGGCCTGTATTATGAAAATAAATTCGGCAGTGATCAATTAATTTCGAATCCATTACGAAACAACCGACTTGAAAAGCCTTGGACCTTCGGAGTTTCGCGTAGTATAACCGGCGTACGTAATAGTGAACATCCAAATCGATGATGCAACGGTATCAAATATAAAGTGCCGACTTGTCTCCGACGAGAACCTGCCGGTGGAGATTCTGGTCGGTAGATCGTTTAGGGGTCACGAGACAGTGAAGTACGTCAAGGAAGGCAATACGCTCACGTTTTGCCAAGTCGATGTACCGTTGACGTCACCAGGTCCACATCTACGAGCGAGGACGGATGTTACCATGCTGCCTTATTCTATAAACCTCATCGAGATCGTGTCATCCGAGGGAGGCTGTCACGTACCGACAATGGCCAACTATCCCGTTTCAACGAGGATCAAGGAAGGAACGTCGATGGGCCGTGGACAGATCACCGAGCTGTCCCTGTTGACTATTGTACCCGAGAAACCCCTTGCGTGAATAGGTAAGAGAAAATCCATGAATGCAGTTCTTTGAGCTGAATTATCGCAACGACAGGTTTTCACTCTGTATTTTTTTGCTCATTTGAATGGGAATATGGGAAGCTGTGCTTTAAAAATAACTTTAGTGTCGCAACTATTGAACATTTGATTAAACGTTCAACATTGTTTCAAATACAATATTACGGGTAGGTTCAGTAATAGGTGTAACCAGGGCTGTTCGAGTACTCGAAAAAACTCGACTCGTCGAGTTCGAGTTGAGTACTCGAGTTTTTTCGGGTACTGTGGTGGTGTGGTGTGGTGTTATTAAATTTTTTTTTTCTTTCAATTTAATCCGCTGCGAATATCACACTTATAAGCACGTAAACACAAAGGGAGGTGGTTTAGAGACTGTTAATTCATCATTTATTTACTTAAAACTTAAATATATTGCGAGTACTCGAAAACCTCGATTACTCGAAAAAATTCGAGTACCCGAAAGAACTCGAGTCCTCGAAAAAAACTCGAGTACTCAAATTTTCCCGACTTGACTCGAACTCGAGAACTCAGGTACAGCCCTAGGTGTAACACCTAATCAAGCTCCTAATTAATTGTCCAATAGTTTCATTACTCGATAGTTTTCTAAGAATAAAGCTATTGTATACTCATTACACAAATATTTAGTTTTGTTTCTTTATTATATGCACCCTCAATTCTATTTTAATATTTTCAAAGATACAGTTAGATTATTTAAGGTTGTTCCCTCAAAAAAATGACTATCGATAAAGGGTCTTGAAATTTTAACCACATATTATTGACAGTGCTTTTCATATATGTGAGAAATTTCAGGAAATTTAACCAAACAATTTCCGATATATAATTAATCAAAGTTCGGTACTTTAACATGAGATCCCTATGCTAGCGTATCGAAAAGACGCTATTTTGTGTGATTATAAAAAAACACATCGATAAAATCTTTTCAAAAACTAGGAGATGATTGTTCAGTATGTACTAAAACATAGCTCAAAAACTGGAAAAACTTGACCAAACGGGTTTTTGAGAAAAGTTAATGTAAAAACATTGCAAAAGTAAAAATTTAAACTTTTTGACCTGAAACCCACTTTTTAAGGTTTTTAGGGTCATTTTAAACAAAAAAGTGCTCTTGCAAATTTTCTCTAAAATCGATTGTTAACGAGCTATAAACGATTCAAATTTAAACAATTTCAAGCAATGAATCTTTGCGATTTTTTATCTCAATAAGCATGAACTCTACGAAAAATTTTAAAAGAACAAAAGAGTCTTAGAATTTGTCAAGGAAAGCGTATGAATTTTTTCAGATTTTTTTTAGACATATGCCCAAATTTGTCGGTTAGGTCTGAGGGAACATCCTTAATAAGCGTGGGAAATCAAATTTCTAAAAATTGTCATCATAAATTCTGAAAAATATTGGAGAAATTTTTGTGATTAATAATTCTTCAATATTATTTTCTATTATTCCTTTTTTTATAAATTCAATAGTTTTCGAAAAACCCTCGTTACATTCAGGTTGCAAACTTGACGTTTGTGCGAGATAAACAAGCTCCCGCCTCCGTTGCGTGCGCAAATTACACTTTTTGAAAGTGTGAAATTTGCGTTAGAAAAAATGTTTATCTTGCACTTTTTACATTTTCTTTTGCTGTGACGATTTTTCCAAAAGTGTAATCTACGCTCGAAACACTTTTGAATAATGCAAACTGCTCAAGTATCACTATTTCATAGAAAAATTTACACTTTTCGGGTTTAAGTGTAATCTACTATTCATATCAACAGCCTGAATTGGCATTTTTCAGACGCTGCACCAAACGAATAGCGGCTGAGGTAAAGCCGTTTCTGGTTTTTCAGCAGTAATTTACCATCATCATATTATCCACTTGGGTGCCCATGATCATATTTGTAATATGAACAGTATATGGTAGCATTAAAAAAATTCAGAAATAGATTTTTTGCCCAAAATTTCACGTTTTTTATTGTTTTATTGGCCATCATTTTTTTTTACCATTTGGTAGTAACTTCGAGCCAGCATTCTTATAGGGGAATACATTTTTTGAAAATGCTGGTACTTACAAAATTAAAGGAAAGATGACTTTCAAAGTCGGCAAGAAAATAGTCCTTCTATTTGTTGATGGGTTAAAATAATTTTATATTTTATTGATTGTCAAAGCTATTTTATATTCTATCCCTAATGGAAATTATCTTTTGGTATAAAATGTTATGAACTTTTAAAAACTTTTATAAACTTTTAGTAACTTTTATTAATTGATATAAACATTCGGATTTGAGACTCTAATAAAAGTTAATACAAGTTTATAAAAGTTATAAGAAGTTTATAAACGTTGAAAGTATTTCTTCAACAACGGCGAGTTTTTTAGTTTTGGATCAACAAAAAATTAAAAATGTGCAAAATTTGATAAAATTTTATAAAATTTATAAAAGTTTTGAACTAATTTTTTTTTTAAATTAATAAATTCCTATAGGGTATTAAGACCAATCAATGACCGGGTACCAGTGAATGACCATTTTGGAAAATATCACATGAAAAACAATTAAAAATATATTTTTATGGGCGTTATTCAATTCTTTAGTGAAAGATGCATCTTGTTTTCTATGTTCGATCATAATTCAACGAGGAAAAACGATAATTATTGCACATCCAAAAGTGGTCATTTACTGGTCGAAAGCGGTCAATCGCTGGTATAAGTACCCTATAATATATATATATATTATATATATATATATAATTCTTTATTTTCAGCCTCAGCGGCCCAGAAAAGACTTTACAATTTACCTTATAACAATACCTTATTATTATCCTTAAATCTACTAATACAACTTATTCAAATATTTCTTAATCTAAACATACATTTATTTTTCCCGACATCCAACCAGTTACAATCGATTTCCTAAATATCTCTTACCTCCTACCTTATTCTAACTTCCATCTACTCTTCTCCTTCTTCTCTCCTCTCTTCCTTTCCTTCTTCTCTCTCTTCTCTTTTTTCCCTCACCAGTTGATCAATCACTCTTGCCCTTCTACTGATTTCCTTGCTGCCTACCTGACTCGTAATTTCCATAGTTGTCCACCTTCTACCTCCTTCCTTCTTCCACTTTTCCCTTACCACTTTACAATTATTAAATAAGTGCTCCAAATTTCCTCCTTCCTCCTCACACAATATACACATTTCTTCTTTTCTCTTCCAAAATTTGTTGCTTTCTATTAAGTTGCCACACCTTATCCTCGCAATTAGATTTGTTTCCACTCCTCTCCTGTATTCTCTTAAATATTTCGGTATCTCCTCACATTTCCATTTTTCATACTCCTTTTTATACCTGGCGCCTCTCACTCTTTCCTCTGTCTCCTGCCTCATAATGTCGACCAATCTCGTTTCTATTTCTTCTTCTATTTTTCTTCTTTGCCTCGTTGCCAACTCTATATACTTGTAACTCACTCCTATTTTTCCAAGTGCCTCTCTCCTTTCCTTTGTTGCTCCTTCTCTTGCTTGTTGCTCCCATACCTTTTTTATCAATCTTCCTTCCTCTGCCGCTGCACATTTCCTCTCGAATACCACTGCTCTTCTAATCCATTGTACATCTTTCTTCTTCCTGTTTCCCTTACAATGATGTAGCCCGGCGTGCAGAAGTCCAACCTCAGCACCCACCTTATGTAATCCATTTGCACCTTTTCTAGTTCCTTCCGCTCTTTCCACCCCCACAGCTCCGCTCCATAACTCATCACACTTTGCACCAAGTACTTGAATAACAACATCCTTCTTCTATAATCTTCTCTGCATCTCCTCTCTCCTAATCCCCACGTTGCTTTCGCCGCCACTATCCCTTTCTTCATCAATTTCCTTATCTGACCATTAAAGTTTCCTTCTGTGTTCAGCATCATTCCTAGGTATTCGAATTTCCGCACCTCTTTAAGATATCCTTCCTTCCATTGCCACTTTTCTTCTCTTTGATTCCTCCTCTTGTTAAATATCAATATCTTGGTCTTCTCCTCGCTCAGCTCCAGCTGCCTTTCCTTAAAAAATCGTTGTGTACTCTGTAGCATATCTTTCATTGCCTCTCTGTTTTTTGACAGTATCACGATGTCATCTGCATAGGCCAACGACCATATCCTCGTATTTCCAATCCTCACCCCTCCGACATTTCTTCTCTCGAACTCTTTTTCCATTTCTGCGATATAGATACAAAATAAAATTGGGCTCAATAAGCATCCTTGTCTCACTCCTTTCACTGTCCAAAATTCCTCCGACACTTCATTCTTCCATCTGACCTTCCCCTTTGTTTCCTCATATAGCTGCTTGATCCTTTCCGTCAAATATTCGCTTATTCCAAGTCTATTCATGCACTCCCATAGTTTCTTCCTGTTCACTGTATCAAAAGCCTTTTTCAGGTCTATAAACGTCGCATATACCTTTTCCTTATCCTTCTTCGCCTTTTGAATCACGTAGTTCAGAGTATATAGATTATCCATAGTTGATCTGCCCTTCCTGAATCCTGCCTGCCCTTCTGGCAAAATCTTTTTCTCTTCTATCTCCTTTACTAACCTTCCTCTTATGATTTCCGTGTAAATCTTATACGCTGTTGGCAGTAGTGAAATTCCTCTGTAGTTTCCTGGCTTATTTACATCTCCTTTTTTGAACAGTGGTACGATTATCGCAGTCCTCCAATCGTCCGGCACTTCCTCTCCTTCCCATATCCTTTCTATTAGACCTTTCAGCTTTTGTCTTAATGCAGACTCCACCATCCATGCTTCATTCTGTATCCCATCTATACCAGGCGCTTTCCTTTTTTTCAATTTTTCTATTATTTTCCTGAATTCCTCTTCCCCTATCTTTTCTCCTTTCTTCTCTATCCTTTTTCTGCTTTCTCCTTTTTGACACTGCTCTGATCCTTCCAACAGTTCCATGAAACTTTCTTTCCATTCCTGCTTGTCAATCCTACTCTCCACTTTTTGTCTTCTCTTTCTATTTCCTATGAACTTCCATATCTCCTCTTCGCTCTTCAAACTCCTTAATACAGCTGCCTCACTTTCCTTGAAATTCCTCTCCTTTTCCTTGCATAAAATCTTCCATCCTCTTCTTTCTTCCACGTATTGTTCTTTATTCGCTATACCTCTCCTCCATTTTGTGTAACATTGTTTAGCCTTCCTCTTCGCCCTTCCGCATTCTCTGTCCCACCATCTTCTCTGTCCTAATTTCCACTTCTTTATGACTACTTCCTTTTTCACTGTCGATTCTTCCACTATGCCTTTCAGTTCATTCCACTCTGACAGCGTATCACCACACCTTCCTCCTGCTTCTCTTCTGCTCCTTATCGCCTCTTCTACCTTCTCCTTGAAGATACTGCTGTCCTCCTCTGTCCATGAGCTCCTGACCGCCTTTTCTTCCCTCTCCTTTTCTTACTCGTTGCCTCCTTTTTTTACTCGTATATCCTTATGCCACAGCTCTACCATCAACGGCTGATGATCCGACTCTACCCTCTCTCCTACTTCAAAGTCTATCACATCTTGCCAGGCTTCTCCATTCACTATAACATAATCAATCACTGACTCTGCTCTTGCTCCTGTGTACGTGAATTCTCCTACTTCATCCTTCCCTGCGTTGCCATTCAGAATATTCCAGCCTTTCTTTCCAATTACCTCCAACATAAATCCTGCCTCATTGCTTTTCTTCTTATCTTTGCTTTTTCTCCTCCTGTCTTCTGCACCTCCAAATCCAATATTTCCTTCCTCTCCTGTCCTTATGTTGAAATCTCCTCCTATAATCAGTCTTCCTTCCTCTGACACCTCCATTTTTTCAAAAAATTCCCATGGCTCCTTCAAATTTCCTTGATTGTATACTGCAAACACCTGCAGCTCCTCACCAACTGTCACGTGCACCAATCCTTCGTTGACTGCTTTGGCTTCGCAGATCTTTCCCTCTGTCCACTCCTTTCTTGCTCCTATCAGCATGCCTCCTTTTGCTCTACCTCTCTTCTTCTCTCTTCTTGCCGCAAAATTCCACCACCTGAAGTCGCTGTCAAGATTTTCCTTCCACTTGCTCCATGTTCTCTCCTCCATCCAAGCCTCAACTAAACAAATCATATCAAATTTTAATAAAAAGTCCCAAAAATCCTTATCTTTACTCGCTACTCCTGCTACATTCCACCATATCAACCTTTTATTCCTTATTTCCTCCTCCTTTCCTTCCTCCTTTCCTTCCTCCTTCTCCATGTTTTCCTCTGCCTCCTTGTCCTCTTCATACCAGTAGTCGCTCCAGCTCCTCTTCTTTTCTTCTTTCTTCTGGGCCTCCTTTAAAAATTCTCACTCTCCACTCTCTCATCCTGCATACTAGTCCATCTTATCCATTTTCCATTCACACACACTTTGCCAAGCCCTACTCTCACCTCTTTACCTTTATCTCTCTGCTCTCTCGCCCATCTGTTAATCCTTTCCTGCACTTTCCTCTCCTCAAACGTCAAGTCGTTATCTATGAATATTGTCGATCCAACCAGCTTGGCCTTGCCTCTCATAATTTCCTCCTTCTGTTCCGCATTCTGACATCTACCTATCACTACTTGTCCACTTTTCCACGCAGCCTCGAAATGCACCTTAACACCTATCTTATCCTGTAACAACTTTTCTACCTCCACTTTCACATTTTCACTCATACCTTTACATCCTTTAATAACAACATTTAACCTCCTCTCCTCTCTCTCTTTCTCATTCACCAGCTTTTTCATTCTTATTACCTCTTTCTCCGACAGACTACACACACTCATACCGCTCTTACCACTTCTTCCACTCCACGCACTGTACTTAGATTTTACACTCGCACTCTCACTCGCATTGTCACCCTCACATTTCTCATTCAGAATATCCAAAACCACTTCATTCAAGTCTTTCACACTTCCCTCCAGCTCTTCCATTTTCTTTTCTACACTTTCTAACTTCCCTTCCATTTTTTCTACTATCTTTCCTAGCCTACCTATCTCTACCTTATATTCTACATTCTTCTTCTCGAGCTCTTCTCTTCTTTCGTCTTCTTCTTTCTTCTTCTCCTGCCCCTGCATCACCATCTCTTTCAACTCCTTCACCTCCTCGCACATCCGCCACCATTCCTTCTCCCAGTCTGCTGCCTGTCTAGCCAGTTCGTCGTCATCTGCTGTCCTATCCTTCGCGTCTCCCTTGCTGCTGACGCCACCTGTCATTTCTTTCTTGTCCTTTCCTCTGCTGTCGATAAATTTACCTGCTACCTTACCGCGTGCTTCTATCCTCTCTTTAACCTCCTTAAATTGCACGGTTTTTTTCAGGCTTTCAGATATCAACGGTTGATTCTTCAGGTCTTTCCTTGCTTGATCTACCAGAATACCATTGCCCGTCCTTCTCTTCTTTTCTTCTTTTTCTACGTCCTCCTTGCTCCTTGTACTTCCCGACCTCAAACCGCCTCTGCCCGCCATTATACCTAACCTCTTGCATTTCTACCTTTCTTTTTCTTCGCTTTTCTGTCCACGTCTCAAACTTCCTTGTACTATCTCTTTTCAATACTTCTCTGCTATCTTTTTACTTTTCTTTCCTATACCTTCCTTTCTCTTTCGTCACAAAGAACTCACTTATAAATCAAAAATACTCAGTATTTTTCACGGAGCTGCACACGCTTGATGTTGCTCGCTCGGCGGCGCTACGTAAAGTCAGAACCCTATAATAGTTTGACGCACCTTTCGGCACACATAGTTGAAAGTTATTATGGTTCCCTACACACACGCTTACACACATGGCACAGCTCTAATATAGATATTTGTTGAGAATTCCATGTAGTTAACGAATATGAAAACCAAAGTATCGTACGATTTTTCTGGTTCAAAATCTCATTCTAATTTTTTTTCAGAATTTGAAATTGCCAATTAGAATGATCTATAAACTTTTATTATCTTGTATTATTTTTTGTAAACATGAAATAATTTTTATAAACAGATCATAACCTTTTATATAAATTGACAATATTGTAACTGAAAAATGAAAAAGCTTTAAAATGTTATTAACTCTCATAAAGCTTTACAAACTTCTATTAACTTTTATTAGAGTCTTAAATCCGACGATTTAAATCAATTAATAAAAGTTCATAGAAGTTTATAAAATTTTATTAATTTTTCTAGAAGAAACGATTTTCGTCAGGGATACTTTTTTATAGAAATTCAAAATTATTAAAAACAAAATTATTTAAAATTGATAGGTTGTTCATCTTCAATTATACTCATCAAGCTTGTTTGAACTTATCAACGAAAAAAAACTTAACTGAACTAAAAAATTAAATTTAGTTTTCATATTTTTTATATTAACCTTTTCGAAAAACGGTTGAGCAATTTACCCAGACTCCGAAAATAATGTGGAGCGGTCACATATATATAACTGGAATGATCTTCGTTGCGATGAAAGCCATTGTAATATAACTGAGCAGTAGCGTTGTCTAGGCTCAGATTCAGCAGTAACTTCCATCTTATCTAAACACGTGATATATTCGTTAATTTTAATTATTACAAAAAAAAAAAATTTAAGAGTAGTTCAATCCTTTGTACTGTTTCTACAAAATTTGAGATATTCATAAACTCACATAATTAAAACTGTCTTGCAAATATGATAAATTGTAAGGTACATATATCCTTTGATCGATGTCAATCCAATTATAAATATCTTTATGTCTTGGGAATATCTGTTAAAAAAATAGAATAGTGTACTCTAAAACATGTTTAAAATTAATTTTCAAATTAAAAATTAAAAGATTTTACCTTATCTAATGACAAACAAAATTGAAGCAATTGATCAGCCTCGGAAGATCGGAGAGTCGGTTCTAGTCCACTTGGTATGAAGTTTTGAATAATACTTTTTATTCGGCTTGACCGTTTTTCATCGCGACTATTCTGTAATGTCAAAACCCAATAAATATATTTTAGTTGTAACTCAAAAATGCTTTTTGTAAACAAAAGCATAATAGCCGCTAAATAAATAAATCAAATTATGATTTATTTTATTTTATCGGTAAATTTAAAACTGAAGATCTAAATTTACAAGTAATATGAATATTTCATTAAAATAGTAAATAGTATACATCTTAACGGATACCATTAAGTTAAAAAAAACATATCTGCACCAATTGATGATACTCTTTTTTCCTACGAAAACCTAAAAATATCAGCAAAGTTGCGTATTTTCGGTTTGATGAAGATAATATTTTAGGTAAGAAAAATATTATTTAAAAATAGTGAAAATAGTAATGTAATAAATAATTAATATCATGATCTGAAGGCGAGGTCCCGAGTTATATTAAAAATTGATGTTCGCACAAATTACGTATAATAACGGATATTAATTACGAATATACCGCGAAAAGGTTATAATTTTTAAGTGAGTTCTATGATACTTAAGGAGACACATACACCTTAAACTCGAAAAATTTTTTATTGCTTTATTAAGTAGGATTTTTCCGTACCTTTCCATTGCTTTTTTCAAAATTCCAAAATTTTGATTTTGCCCTGAGATACAGCTGTTTCCGCGAACTCTTTTCCTATACTTTACGTGTTAAATTTTTTCTTCTTTTGCGTTTTCTGGCGAGTAGTGTTTTTGGTCATCTATCGTAACTTTCAGAGGGTAGCAATTGAGCTTCAGCACCAGGGTTGCGTACACTTCTTCAGAACATCAATGGTTACGGTCACTACCTCGGATGAGACGATCGAACCAGTAGGTCGCTCTCAAATAGTACTTTTATGACTCAAATTTCAGTAAATACGAAAAATGGAAAAAAATGTGTGCTTAATTGTTCATGCAGAGCAATCTGAGAGTTCGCGGGTCGTCTCACCCGTGGTAGTGGCCGTAACCATTAATGTTCTGAAGAAGTGTATCCGACCCTGGTGCTGAAGCTCAATCGGTACCCTCTGAAAGTTACGATAGATGACCAAAAACACTACTCGCCAGAAAACGCAAAAGAAAAAAAAATTTAACACGTAAAGTATAGGAAAAGAGTTCGCGTAAACAGCTGTATCTCAGGGCAAAATCAAAATTTTGGAATTTCGAAAAAAGCAATGGAAAGGTACGGAAAAATCCTAGTTAATAAAGCAATAAAAAATTTTTCGAGTTTAAGGTGTATGTGTCCCCTTAATAATTGAATTTGATTATTTGAGTTATTTTATTTATCGCGTAATGATAATCAATATTTAGGAGAGAGAGGGGCATGACAGGTTTGTTGAAAGTTTGGCCACCTTCAAAATAAGTCGAAAAAAATTGCTAATTTTTTGTAAAAAATGTATGATACTAAGCTTTATCTTAAAATTTTCAACGGCAAATTTTCATAAAAAAAATTTTTTTGGCCACAAATAGACCATTTGAAATTATAGGACTTATGAATGCGATGGAGCGATATTTTAAATTGATCGGCTAAGGCTGAAAAATAAATAAACCGTATATGTAATTTGCATCTGAAAGCTTAACTCTTGCCCTTTAATTTGCTTTTTTCGAAAGTGTTGTAGCTTTATTTGTTATTAAATAAATTAAAAAACAAACAAAGCTCTTTTACACAAAAATTGGGGCATAATGGCCGTATGTCATATATGTATAGCCAAAACTCTCGTCACTTTAAGTCAACTGTTGACCATATATGACTGTCACGATTTTATTTAACTATTGTTGTTTCATGTTTATTTATGAGTCGTACTTAAGTATAGACACATTTTTTTACTGTGTAACCTCATTTATTGATGTTAAAATGGTTTTGTGAGCTTATTTGCCTTATTTTTTGCAAATCCATCGTGCCCACTGTAATGGCCATTTTACCCTACCTCCAAAGAAGCGGGGCATGATGGACAATAATTTTGAATATTTATAACTTCAAAAAAATCGTTTTTAAAAATTTTTTGATTGCATTATTTGTTTCTACGACAAAAAATCATTAAAATGCACGGTTTTACTTTCGAAAACTCATGAAATTGAGGAAATAATGATAATTTATCCAAGCATGCCCGTACTACAGTAGTACTGATGAAAATACTAGAGCTGCACGATACGATACGATATCGATAATTCACCCAAATATCGGTATCGTATCAAATTGATAACTCGTATATCGTATCGTATCGATATCGACGATAATTTCTTTATAAAAATATCGTATCGTAGCGAAATCGATACGATATCGATACAATATTTGATAATTTATCGATAAATTTTTAATAATAAATTATAATAATAAATTTTTATATAAATTATTGAAACGCTTTATTGTTTAATAATATTTGAAACGATGAATGAAGTTAAATAATATTGTTTTATACTAAACCTAATTGAAGTTATTTTAAAAATTGTATCAATCTACCCCACATATTTCTTCTCTACAGTCACTTTTCATCTATCTATTGATGCATACAAGTTCCCTTAAACTTTCATCCTCAAGTGAGCATCTTGTTTTACTTAAAATTAGTGAGGATTCAGAAAATAACCTCTCGCATGGCACAGATGTTGCGAAGCAGGGGCCGCTCGTATGAAAAAGATACGCGTCCATAACAACAGTACACGGAATGGCATAGGCAGAGCCCCTGTTTCACTTTGTTTACGTTCTCTCATCGTTTCAGATTTATGTTACATGACTGTACGTTTGCGTTCATGCCGTTGCTTACATATTTTTTTGACGATGCGGTGATACATCGAACAAAGACACACACGATATCTGCTCATATGTGAGTCACGCTATAGACATTGCGCGACGCGTGCAAGAAAGGAATTTCCAAAAGTGCTGCTGTAACTTCATATCACTGACCCTACATTCTATGTTTGCAAGCGCTAGAAAAATTAAAGATCATTGGCATGTTCTCTCACCTTCCATCATAATTCGCACGTTTGCGGTTGAACATGTTTATCGCGTTTTGCTTACACGTCTCAGTCATGTAAGCACGTTGCAAAAAAGTCGATATCGATAATTCCGATATTATAGGGTTATTAGTATCAACGATACGACATTATCGACGATATATTATCCAAAATAATATCGTATCGTTCTCGAATTCTTACATACGTATCGTATCGAATATTATAATATGTTCATTAGACTGTTCGTTACTTCCCAAATTGCTCAATTCCTCGCTCTCACCCCTTGAAAATTTATCATTTGGCTCACAATGAAAGAAAATCACTGTCCAATCTCGATAAGTTAATTCTAGATAGTGCCACACGCTTCAGCTTTTTCCCCATTTAAATAACAAGGGAAATTTAAAAAAAAAGGTAAATTAGAGTTTTAAACAACTTAATAGCGGCAAACCTTGCGTTTAGCGACGGTTTTCACTTCCTAGTAGACTCACAATGAGTAAACAATACTTATGAGAACCCTCCAAACGGAATATTGATTGTGCACAAACGATGTACTAAAAAAATCAAGAAAAACAGCATAGTAGCATTGTTTTTCGATATTTTGCAGCAAAATTAAGCGTAATGATCATCTTAGATATGTTAACATCAAAGTAGAGATCAAAACCTTTAATTTGATAGTAATAAAACCTGTCTACGTTTATTAGAACTAAAATTACAGGGGTTTGAAGTTTGGTTGAAAAATCAAGTATCGAATCCGTGAACCGTTTGAACCGAAATCGATTACTAATGAACGTAGATAGGTTTTAGTACTATTAAAGGTAACTTTATGCTCTTTTCGACTGTAATACTTTCAATAAGACTTTATATAGGTCTAATATGTATATTTCGTATTTTTGTAAATTTATTTAAATGTATTTTTATAGTAGCACTAGCATTTCTTATTTTCTTTTTGTATTTCACACTTTGGCCTATATTTGTAGCTGCTTAGTCTCAAAAAGACCAAATTACCTTTAATTTGATTTATTTAAAAACTTTTTGAGTATACTAGAACCTAACTTATATGTGCTAAGAGGCGCTAAAAAATTACAAGAAAAATAAAAAATGAGGAATAATAGTCTAAAGTTTAATGTACCGTAGGTGGGATTTGAATATTCAATAACTTTTTTTTCGAATGATGATCGTTTTCGAACAAAAAAGTACATTTTTTGGAACTTTTTTTGGTAAATTTTTTTGGAAAAGTATATTTTTTGGAGTCTACCATTTTAAATATTCAAATCCCACCTACAGTACTTTAAACTGTAGGTTATTATTCCACAATTTGAAGTATTATTGGCCACAGTTTAAGTCTCTTTCATAAAAAAATTTGAATCCAAGTTTTTTTTCAAGATTCAAAATCGTGTTTTTTCGCAGTAAATTGTTTATAACTTTTTAAATATTCATCAGATGTTAATTGTAAACCCACATTCAAAAATTACATTAAATTTTACAAAGAAAATGTGTACTCAAGAATTTTTCTCGCTCCGATAAGATGCATTAATTGCAGACTACAATAGAGAAAAACATTCTATCCGTCTAGGCGTTAACAGGTTAATTTGATCGTACTAAAACCTATCTACATTTATTAGAACCAAAGTAGCAGGTGTTCAAAGGTTCTCTTAAAATTCAAGTATCGATTTCGGTTCGAACGGTTCACAAATTCGATACTTGATTTTTCAATCGAACTTTAAACCCCTGTAACTTTAGTTCTAATAAACGTAGACAGGTTTTATTACGATCAAATTAAAGGTCTTGATCTCTACTTTGATGTTAACATTGAACAGTTTCCGTGACCGCTACAATATTCGTAGGGTCATCCTAGGCAATATGCATCCTCGTGCTTGTCGCCGGCTGGCTCAGTACTCGGTGCGAATTTAATAAACAATAATTCGCGAATTAACATGATGATTAAAGAAATGAATTATTATTAAGTTTCAAAGTTCTGGATCGACAGTTACAGCGCATGCAGCAGCGCAAATCGCGGACATTCATTCCTCACACACCAGAATCACGATTGCACACGTTTAGAGAGGGCTGGTTGCTCAATTAGTACTTACAGTTCGTTGCGTACTTCGTCTTGGTCAATTCGTCTCTCTCGCTCTGTCCATACTGCTGCACTCACGCACGCGATAAGCAGAATCTAGCGTCAATCCGTTCCCGCGTACAAACGAACCACTTAGAGATCCGGCACGCGACACCGCTTCACGTGTCCCGACAATTAAGCCCGTCCGAAGGCGTACACGCGAGTCCAAGTCGTACCGCACACACCCGCGACATTCAGCGCTACTCGTTCACGCTAGTCTGGGTCGTGCATCAGGGTACATGCACTTGCGGCATACAGCGTGATTAAATTACACCCGACGCGACTTCTTCGCGTTTTCGGGATCGTCTTTTCAGCGTCCGAAAACGATCTCAGCACGCTGCTCGCATTCGCGCGGCTCGCAAGAGTGAATCGATCACGTGACCAATTCGTCACCCCTGCTCCGAAATATTCATTGGCACCATGCGTCTCGCGACACGCATACATATTTACTCGCACACATGCGTCTCGCTGCTACTGCTGCGGGGAAAAATATCATTCAAATTGTATTTTACACATTAGTATGGCTGAGTAAATTCTGAATGGTAAAGATATTCAACTGAAAATAATTTTTAACTTATTAGCGCCGGGGTGGCATCTTTTTGCTTGAAGCGCGAAGTGGCATCTTTATGTTCTGCTCTGTGGAGCAACACTTTCAGATCTGGCACGTCAAAATTATTCGATTTCAAAGTAATGAAAAAAAAATTTAGAAAAACAGTAATTGAAAAAAAATGTACATGAATAAAATAATACATTTTGCTTGCTAGAAAAAATTCTCACGTATATTATTGTATGTCTATGAGCAATCGATAATTTTTTAAATACGAAAATTATATCAAAAAATGTATAAAATTCCTACTCAAAATTAACTATTTATAAGCCTTAACTGATTCTTGTAATGTAACTTACTTTAATGACAGTATATGCCCTACTCTCGGCATGATTAGATCTTTTGTATCTTTTAATGAATCGATTGTACTCATTCACACTTCTGCGTCGCCTTGGTGCATTATCCTGTAAGAGCATAAAAATACAATCTTTAGATCAATAATATTATTAATTAATCTGATTCGCAACTCAACTTCTATTAACATCTTAAATATGCAAGTTATTTGCGTAATGTAGTAATTGAGATCATCGACTTTAAATTATTTACAGAAATTTTTTCGAGAAATACGGAAAGTTTCGAGAAGTCTGTCTGTACCAATGGAAAGCTGAGTCTTCTTCCCATCGAAATAATTGAATTTTTTTCGAAGCGCATTAAAGTACATTTACAGTTAGTTATAAATTTATAGCGATTGGACTCAATAATGCTCCGTGGCGTGGTGCTGGGATAATTGACAGGAAATTCAACATAATGGGCTTGATCAAGGACCGTGCTTCGTGCTCATTTTGGTAAATATTCTTCCTAATATAGCTAGCGGGATCAAAGTATACTACTCTATTTTGAAACCAATATAGAAAAATCTCACAAATCTTTGACTAACTCGTACGGGAAGATGATTTTTTTATATTATAAGCACAATGTTGAAACTTTGCAAGCCATTTAAATGGGATGCAAATCGCTCAATTTTAACTGCAAACATGATTTACGAACCCTCGAAACCGATACCAGATTCGGATTTAGCGACTCCATGAACATTTATAAGGATAAAATTAAATGACAGAATTGCGTTTAGAAGAAACAAATGAAAATTTTTGCGATTTTTCGTTTTAAAAAAATAGTTAAATGTGTTTTTTTTAGTTGTTAGAGGTTCCAACCATAGCCCTATAAGTAAAAAATTAGCTGAAAAAATTTTTGAACGATCAGTACAGTATTTTTTTCTGAATCATAATGGCTAATTTCAAAAATGTTAAAGTCGAGGAAAACAGTTATAAAGTTCTTTTGTGCCATTAAGTGCAGGGTACATCCCTTATAAAAATTTCCTATAGGATCTGGAAGTAAAAAAGTGTAGAAAAACGTATCACATGTCCGAAATCGTTAGTAATCTTACATTTGTTTACACTTTTTTACTTTTTATTACAGTTCACAACATTATTATGCACTTTAAAAAAAATTTCCGCTGGGGGGTTACTTGGATTCAATCCTGAGTTTGACTGACTTTCTGTACCAATTTTTAAGATGTTATTCTTAAAAGTATAAGCAATTTGAAAATTCAATAAAAAAATGATAGATTTTTGAAAATGTGTAAACCAGAATGCTCCGTTAAGAATAATTTTGCGCTGCAAAGTATAATAAATTTATTTACTCACGGGAACTTCGTTTATAAAATCATCGCTGAGATATTTTTTTGGTAAATCTAAGAAGATTGCTCTTTTATTATGATCAAAAAGATCAATATCGATGTAAAGATCAAATAAAGATGCACCAGTGATTTTTAAAAGTGAAGATACTAATGGTGTTATATCAGTTGGCTCTGTACCCTTCGGAGATATATATCCACCCAATTTTGCAAGTAGATTGTAAACTGAAAATAAACAAAACTTAATTAAACTGGGTCATTTATATTATGAAAAAAAAGTTCCATATAAAAAAGGTCATGTTAGTCATAAATAATCGTCTTCACGCAAAAAAGGCACATCTCAGATTCTAATTAGTGATAGACGCTTAAGTATCACTGCTCCGCATAAGAAGGACTAATCTAGCGTCGAATTGAACCTAAGGTAAACTGGTCTTGCTATATATATGGTGGAAAACCTCGAATTCGCCGGAAAATTGTATTTATGTAATATCACTTTTCATACCAGTGGCCCGAAAGTGACTACTGGGTATGAAATAGTACATTAAGTCACTCGTGCGCGAAGTGGGTGATTCTCGCACGAGTCTCAGTTTGACGCCCGAGCGCAGCGAGGATGACAATGAGACGAGGGCGAGAATCACAACGCGCACGAGTGACGTATACTATTTTTTATCACAGCGTGCGGGAAGTTTGATTTCCCGCACGCTCAGCCGTGCGGGAAGTACGTAATTCCCGCACGCTGTGATAAAAAATAGCATATAGACCAAAGCCACGAAAAAAGAAAGCCCCATCGAAATGTGTTCATCGAAAGTGACATTACTTAATATTTTTCATGTGCGTTCACGCCGCACACGGGGTACTTTGCGCGTTACGTTGCATAGTGCTTTCAAGGCTGAATTAAAAAAAGAAGAAGACTCGCTCGTGACTCCTATGGAGGAACTAATCAAAACACGCAACATACACACGGAGAGAAATACTATATTAAATATCAACACATTCCCAAGCAAAAATTATTATATTCGCTAGTGCAAGTACCTCAGAGTCGGATTGTGGGCATTTTCTACTATGCACATGCTAATAGTATATTATGATACGTGTGACTTAAGGAGACTCTACACATAATACAAAAGATTATCCAACAAGATAAAACTTATATCAATCGATTTGTTAGATCTTCAAAATGAGATTCCAAAAAAAAACATGTGGTTGAAGATCAAACTTTTAAGATAAACAAGTTTAAAAATGGCGATTTTAACACGGGTTTTTATGAGAGGCCATTATAATTTCATTCATTTTACGCCATAACTTTTTTATTAAACAATAGATCTTAATCAAAAACGAATATGTTATGCTTCAAGTCACTAACTTTCGAGTGGTATGTTAAAAATTACCCCTTAACGGACTGCGATCACGCGCAGGCAGGCTCATCGATGTACGGCCTCCGCTTGACGGATGTAGGCCTGCATCTCTGTCGCACATCTCCAGATGGGCGCTCCATACAGGAGGATCGAGTTGACGACGTGAGCATATAATTCTCGTCGGCTACTTCTGGGCCCACCGATGTTGGGCATGATCTTCGCGAGGGCTCCAGCCACTGTTGCTGTCTTTTCGCTGACGGTTCGGAGGTGTTGGTCGAACCTCAGCCTGGAGTCAATGTGTAGGCCCAGGTAGCGGATGCAGGGGGACGACCATATGCTGCAGTCGCCCACTGTGATGGTGATGGTTTCCGTTTTCTTCCTGCTAGTGATCAGTAGGGCCTCGGTCTTGTGGTCAGCCGTTACAAGGCTGAGCTTGTGAAGCGTGCCGCGTACCTGCTCAATGGACAGCGTCCAGATCGTGTTCGATCTGCCACAAGTGCTTAGCCACGGGTACCAAGGCGATGTCGTCTGCAAAGCCTACGATCCTTACGTTGCCTCTGAAGTTGAGGCGCAGAACGGGGTCGTACATGACGTTCCACAGGTTGGGCCCCAAGACAGATCCTTGCGGAATGCCTGCTGTGACTCTGTAGGAACTTGGCCCGTCGTCCGTGTCGTAAGCGAGGACTTTCGCTGAGAAGTAGCTGCTGATTATTTTCAGCAGGTACTCAGGCGTGCGCATCCGGCGCAGCGCGGCGTGGATGCTGTTCCACCGAGCCGAGTTAAACGCGTTCTTCGCGTCGAGGGTCACGACGGAGCAGTATTTCTTAGTGCCACGGTTCCATCTCTTACCCGCGATAGCCTCTCGAGCAGTAGCAATGACGCTCTCGATGGTGTTGATCGTCGATCGCCCCTTCCGGAAGCCGTACTGGTGGTCTGAGAGGTCCTCAGGGCTCTCGGTGATGGCTTCGAGGCGGTCGCAGATGATTCTTTCCAGAATCTTGCCCGCTGTGTCAAGCATGCAGAGCGGCCTGTACGACGATGGTTCTTCGGGGGGCTTGCCTGGCTTTGGCAGCAGGACTAGCCTCTGTCGTTTCCAGCACGCGGGAAAGACACCGGTACGCAGGCATGCCGTGTACACCTGCAAGAAGATGTGAGGGTGCTCGGCAATGGCGATCTTGATAACGGAGTTTGGTCCACTTTGGCGCAGTGTGCTCCTTGATCCTCTTGTATGCTCTTCAGAGTTCCTCCAAGGTGACGGCCGGCACAATTGCTCCTGCCTGGGGTGGTGGTGGCACGCGAGGGAAGAGGGCAGCCACTAGCGAGGGTGCTAGTGCCGTGTTAAGAATGGGCTACTTGAGTCATAAGTATCTTATGTTTTTTTATAGCACTGTGCTGAATTCACGTTTAGGCCCCCTTTGGCGAGATATAAGGTGCTCATAATAGCGTCGCGGTGTGAGGTTAGCGCACGAGCGTAGCGTGTGCGATAGGCGCGCCGCGTTGCAATAATGAGCAACTTAAGTCACGGCAAAGCGTGCCTTAAACGTGAACTTTAGACACGCAGTGCTATAAATATTACTGTAATATCGACTTATTTTTGTAACTTTGTAATTCAAAAATATTTATAAGATATTCTAAAAATTGCTATATTAACATAGTAAAAATTGATATGTAGCAAATTTTACTATATATTAAGGGAAAATTTGAGGATGAATATTTCAAAAATTATTTTGTATTGTAACCATTTTTACCACAATCAATGCTTTTCAATTTCATCAACAGATGGAGTATGGTCAATTCCCGCAAGTGACAGAAAAAGTGTCCGATTGGTATTTATACAAAAAATTTCGAACAGATAATATATTCACGGTATGTGTAGAAGTAACATAAGGTTAGAATACAAACTGCGCCAATATGAATACACGACTATTAGGTAGGTTAGTTTTCTAGAGGCAGGCAAATGTTTGTTTGTAAAAATCGATGGATAAAATAATTCCATGATCGCAGAAAACAAGGTTAGGTCGAATACTTTGAGTTCTCGAAAAATCGAAAGATCATCTCGAGAAGCCACTCAAGAAAATTATTATTTTAAAATAATTTTACCAATTTAAAAAATACCACATACCGCACTAAAAATTACTATGTTACATAACAAAAATTAATATATATCGACTCTGGGGTTTTTTTTCTAGAGAATATCGCAATATTCGCTAGCGAATGTGTTAATATTAAGTATAGTATTTCTCTCCGTGCAGTGAAATGTGAATAGGCGACAGACACATTCTACAGCATGGCCTACTTTTATGTAAAATTCAATGCCTTTTCAGAATCTGGGTTCAAATTTTAGATTTGATGCTTCATAAAAGATTTATGGTTGTTCAAACAAAAAAGAAAAAAAAACGTAAAAATGTTGGCAAAAAATCAACTTGATCAAACTGATAAATTTTTTCGATCTGTTGTGGTGAATAACTTAGGGTATAAATATGATCAGAGGTACCTTAGGGAATTTTTACAGATTTTTCTAACCACTTTTTCTAACAAAATGACGTCTATGAAGTGAATGGTTTATAAAAAACTGTGATGTATCGCATAGAGTACACGGCGAAGAAGAAGAACGGCCACAATAGAGGCCACAACTATCGCACTGTACACTGGCGAATATTTTGTACCGCGCTGGTGTACGATGTTAGTCAGTCGCTCTGTAGAGCTCGTCACGAACAATATAATAAATCACTCATCATAGTATAACGTAGTACTTATTCCAAATCCTTGTAATCCCAAGATATAACAAAAACCAAACTCAATTTTTATCTCAAAAACCATTAGACTTATGAAAAAAGTTTATAGAACAAAAAAGTCTTAGAATTGGTCAAGAACACTCAAAATTTTTTCAGAATTTTTGAAGCGCAACTTTCCGATGTCCACAAAATTCGGTCCAATTTCTCAAAATCATCTCCAAAAACTCTGAAAAAATTAGAGGGTGTTCCTTGATCAATTCTAAAACTTTTTGTACGATAAACTTTTTCTTTAAACTCAATGATTTTCGAGTAAAAACTATACATTCTCACCCGTACACGGGGAAACTGGCACCGAGCTGTGAGCCACGCTCGTTGAAAACAAGAGCTTTAGGTTCATGCACAAGACAAAGCTGTGCATGAGCAGCAGCGTTCCAATGCGGCGGTCGCACGGCACTTTTTGACAAAATTATTTAATTTCTAACTCACCGAAAAACCGTATAAGCCGACTTTAAAAAAAATATATGACATACGTTATTGATGGGAAATTTTCTCACCTTTCTGATGGTGTGCTCAGATTTTCTGAAAAATCTATTTTTCGCCGGAAAATTAAAAAAATAAACATTTAATATTAATAGTATATTTTGTAACAAGTGCGCGAAGCAGTTGACTCAGCCAGGAGTTGTTTTCACCCGAGCATAGCGAGGGTGCAAAGACTTCTGGGTGAGTCAACTTCCTCGCAGACTAGATGCAAATGATATTTTTTAACTCTGCTTGCGAGAAACTAGGGTTTTCTGACGATTAAAGGTTAGAAAACCCGTGTTTGGCGCACGCAATGTTAAAAATATATTAAAAGTCGAACTAAATCGATGAATGTGTAAAAACGCGTTTTGTTTATTGGTGTGGTTCAGTAAGTAATAATCATTCACACACTATAGAAACTTGCATATCGATGGGAAATTTCCTCAGCTTTCGATCTAGAATATTATAAAAATCTTAAAATTACGCTTTCTAATATATTTAACGTTAAAAGTTTATTTTTTTAATTTTCCGGAAAATCTGAACACACTATTAAAAAGCTGAGAAAATTTCCCATCGATTACATAAATTACATATTTTTTTAAAATAGGCTTAGGAGATTTTCCAGCGAGTTAGAAATTAAGCAATTTCGACAATAAGTGCCGTGCTATGCAATCGCCGCGCGAGGGCGAGTGCATATGCACAGGAAAAGAAATCGTTCAAGAAAAAGTTAAAGTAGTAACTAGAACCATCATATTAAATTGTAAAATGTTATAAAATATAAAAAATGTAAAATTACTAGCGATTTCGGACAGCCAATGCATTAAAAGTGGCACCATAAAATCACATTTTTTACACTTTTCTACATTTTCTTCAATATGCTATCCGCGTGTGATCGCACCGACCGCAGCAAGTGATTTTCGTGAAAAAATGTATTAATTTTTATGAATAAATTAAGACAAATTATGATGGATATGTATATAAACCAAATTCAGTCATCTCAGTACTCCCCAGTACATGTATGATGATGTTATAAGGCTTTCTGCTGCATTAGAGTGAGTTCACTCTTTTCACGACCACATGCCGGCTTGACTGCAATTTTAAACTCATAAGTAAAAATTGTATCATTTAAAATTATTATTACCGAATTTTATGTTTTTTTACACTTTTTTACTTTTTCCATGTAACTTTAACGAGTTCGAATTCATAGGGTTTTCATCTCTCTAATTATAGGTAAACAAATGTCATAAACTGTAATAAAAAGTAAAATAGTGTATAAAAACGTATCACATGTCCGAAATCGTTAGTAATCTTACATTTTTTACACTTTTTTACTTTTTATTACTGTTTACAACATTATTATGCACTTTATTTAAAAAAAAATTTCCGCTGGGGATGCATGGCTTTTTTATGAGCACGCACGGCTACAAGCATTGCTTGAATATTTTGAACGGCTCTCAGCCGCACGCCAATTTTTCCGTGTACATGTATTGTCTTGCATGATTATATGCATGAACATTTTACTCTACGACCGTCATTTTTTTCGAAAAAGTGGTTGGAAAAATATTTAAAAATTTCCTAAAGTACTTTTACACTGCACCGGTTGTTATTTCCTAATCGTAAATGATTTGATTGAGGTTTAAAATACTTAGAAACGTACACGAGGCTTGCTTATAAAATAGGTTTAATTCTCTTTTAGAAAGGTGGTGAGGATTTTAGCGATAGCAGTTTATTCGCGCTGGGATTGGTCGTCCAGCGGAAAGCATTAGCGACGCCGCGAAATGTGTCATTACTAACCTCTTTGGGCGCGCTTAAGCGTCAGCAGCGGAGTTGGACTGTCGTTACAAGCCACGACGTTACTTGCCAATAAGACTTGGATCAGTAAATCGCGACAAGTTAATTATAAAATAAAATTATATTTAACTTATTTAAAAAAAATCCGAGTTGAAAAAGACAGAAGAGGGCGCGCGCAGAGCGCTGAAAGTCGGGCAAGTAATAATTAAAACTCGCTGTTATCGCTATACGCTCTTGGTGTCCGCGAGACACCTCTGATCAATACGCTCAGAGCTCTCGCCTGCTTACAACTTACGTTTCAATACACTTCGTGTGACACAATAACAATTATAATACATACATACATACATATCGACTTACATATACAATACAATAGATATACAAGGGAAAATAGTTTATACTTAACACTAGGTTGTTCTGATCTTCGCTCAGACGTTGATTCTGGTTCCTAGGGTGTAAAAAAATGAAAAAAATACTTATATGAACCCAAAAGGTTAAAATGTGCCGCAACTGAAAAAACCGAAAGCGAATTCTAAAAATATTTTCGTTCAAAGACTTCCATCTCGAAACAGAAAATCGCAAAGTTTAAAAACCTGTTTTTTTATGCTCAAATTTCATGAAAAACGAAAATTTCACATCACGTTTTCAAACTTTGCGATTTTCTACATGGAGATAGAAGCATTTAAACGAAAAACTGTAAAGAAAAAAAACGTCTTAAAATTAATCAAAGAACTTCAATAAAATATTTTCAGAACTTTTTTAAAAAAAAGTCTTCGAAAATTTTCGGCTTTTTGAAAACTGGAATTAACGTCTAGAGCGAAGATCATAACAACTTGGGAAATAACAACCCGTCTATTCTACACCCAGGATCACCTCTGATCATTAGAGTGGAACGAAAAACACCTATTTTTGAAAATCGCTTTGTATTAGTGTAAAAAGATAATATGTAGCCATAAAAGGAAGGAAGCCTAAAGCTGATTACTGACCATTAATTCTTTCCATTTTAACCAGCGAAAAAATGCTGTTTTTTTAACGTTTTTCGCAATTCCTCGTCTTTTATCCGCGTTTTGAGCGAATATCTTAATAATCACCTATCTAATTTTTTTACCCATTGGAAGGACTGAAAAATATGTTAAAAAAAAAGATTATATGGGTCAGGGGTCACTAATAATTATTAGGGTTCACTAATAATATCTCCGGTTCTAATGGTCGTATTGAGACGATTAAAAAAAGGAAATCTTTGTCTTTTTGTGTAGAATGAAATGAAATAAAATTGTTTCCATAAATATTAAATAATTTAGGAGTTACAGCGTATAAACAGTTATTTTAATTTTTTTAGCTTAAAAAATGCCCTACGCTGAAAAAAACGTAAAAAACCCGGGTTTTTTATGGTTAGAGTGGAAAGACTTAATTGTTAGTGTCAGCTTTAGGCTACCTTCTTTTTATGGCAACAGAATAACTTTTTACGCTATTATAAAGCGATTTTGAGAAATAGGTGTTTTTCACTGCACTTTACTGATCATATTTTATACCTTCAGTTTTTCACGGCAACCATTTGAAAAAACTTCTAAAAGTTAATTTTTCGCTAAAATTTTTACGTTTTTTCTTTTTAAACAACCATAAATTTTTAATAAAGCATCAAATCTTAAATTTGAACCCGGATTCTGAAAGAACAATAAATTTTACATAAAATTATGTATGTGCGAAGTCTTTTCAAGGACTAAAACATGGAAAAAAAATCGCATCGATCGCGAACGAAAAATTTCGTCACTTTGGACGTTGATGCATTAACTGTCGACCCTTTCGGCTCACGCCTTTTCTAAAATAAGATGTTGCATTTCTTTCAGGTGCGTAAATTTAATAAACTCATACAAATATAAAGCTACTTCTATTTGTAAACACCAGTTATGCATACTCTAGATAGATTCATATAGATTTCTAGTACAAAAAAAGTTCATAAAATGCATAACAATGTCGCGAACGAGTTTTACTTTTCCTTACAATTAATCGCATTTCATTGCGTGTCTTATTACACACTTAAATAATCCGTATGAATTCGAATGTAATTGAAGTTTTTTTTTAAATTCTTTCTTGGCGTGGAATGATCATACATATGCAGACTATCTGGAATCGTTAAAATATTTAAAAATTTTAATATTTTAATACAGTTTATAATTCCATGTGATAGTTATAACTTTTATTTTTTCTTATTATGTGTATTGCTTCCTCAACAAATTTATATTTTTTTTTCAAAATTCTTGTTGAAATGCAACCATCTTTTGCTCACTTTCATAGACTTAATTAGACCCTTCATTAGAGTCAGATTATTCGAATGTTTATTACTATGATTGCAACTTGATTAGAAATTTTATTTCTAAACAAAATTTTAAAAATGTTTAAATTATAATGATTTTTGGTAAATAACTTAATTTGCCAGCTATTCTATAAAATGATGAGAATTTAAACCAATGAAATAAGATCAAATGTACTCACCAGGATTAAAATCGACAGGTTTATTTTTGAATTCTAAGCAACTGTTGTAAAAATGACCTAGCTTATTGTAAACACCATTCATCTTTCCTGTTTTATTCAGTAACAAATCTGAAAAATTTATAAGATAAAAATTTATCGTAACAAAAAATATGTGTGGTAAAAAATCGTGGAGAATGAGTAGCAAATTGTTGTAGAATAGATTTTATATGGGTCAAAATGATACTTTTTTAAATTTTCGTCCGCACGTATGTCACTTTTCTTGACGCACTTTTAGTATGTTGTACATGGTAAAAAGGTCACAAAATCAAATAAATTTTAGATACCCTCCCCCCTCCTACCCCCCACCACCGCTATAAACGTCTATTTTCGATCTATATTTATTCTGAAGGCCTGAAGAAATTAAAAAACCTGAAAAAATTTATGAAGGTATTTTTCAACAATTCAAACAACCTTGAATTTTTTCAGATTTTTCGAGTGCTTGAGGCCTTCAGAAAAAATCATTGAAAATTACAATTGTTTTATTTTCGGTGAAAAGGTTCGATGTACCAGACCGGAATATTTTTTTCTTAATTCTGACACCAAAAAACGATTCCTTGAATTTTTTCAGAATTTTTCATTCATGCCGATAAAGCCTAGGGCTGAAAAACCGCTTTTTTTCACGAAAATAATTTTTTTAGGGCGGTACGGAGCCTCGAAAAATCTTAAAGATAGAGTTCTGAAAATCTTTTTTTGCATCCTACAGGCCGTTTTTAAGGTACCAATTAAAGTACGTAAAATGTCTCGTTTAACTTAAATTTACTCGATTTTTAGATATTTTTTTCTCTCTATTTTTAAATTACTCGTTGATAAGAGTAGTTTGCGACGGTGTATGTTAGCTATTGATAAACATATTACAGTAGTACTGGTACACTTTTAAACAATCAATTTTTTTCAGTAATTTTTAGTGTTGCACTGTAATACTACAGGTAACTAAATAATGACTCGAACTCATTCATAATACGTATATTTAAAAAAGACAACATTTCCAAGAAATCAAAAAAATTCGTCTCGATACGACCCACATCATAGTACAACGCCTCATAATATCTCGGGTTTTTACATGTTCATAAATGCATTTATATGCTATTACAAATAAAATGTATTCTTGGAAAAATTTGATATGAAATTTCCGCGGCTTTTGATCTAGATTATCTAAAAAAATCTTAAAAATACGTTTTCTCAAATATTTGTGTTTTAAAGTTTATGTTATGTTTTTCTAATGTAAGTTAAAAATTTTGGATAATCTGATCACATCATCGAAAAGCGGAAGAAATTTCCTATTGAAACCATTAGTTAGTTATTTTTTCTAAGTATATTTTGATACTTTTTACGCGAGACAGAAATTGAGTGACTTCGCTTAGTTCGCTATGTAATTCTCAATAAAATAATGTCTTTATAAAATTTAATACTACATTTTTGACTTTATCCAAATTGTACAACATTTAATAATGCAAAAAGGGGTCTCTAAAAATAACGTTTCAATGTTCTAACAGTTCATGATACATTATATAATTTTTTTTACATAAAATATGACTTTGTGGTCAAACTAAGGCTAAAATCTTAATAATAATATTATTAGTTGTTTTTGATATAGAATAACATTATTTATGAATTGTAAGATATTGGGTCGAAGAATTGGTATAGAGTAAAATTAAATAAAATTCTCTAAAGTCTGAAGCTTAAAGTTTTACAAGTGGCCTCGAGATATCGTTTTTCAATGCAAAGTAAACGTGCAAGTATATCAATAGACACAACGTCACTGAAATATATGAGTAAAGAATAGATGTGATTTCAGTTTTCGAGGCGCCACTCTGACCCGAGTTTTCAGAACTATACTACCATTTGGTTGTACTAGATCATAAATATTTTTATATGATTTTTGTATTTTCTTTTCGGTATACTTAAAGAAGTATTATTATCAATATTTGTAACATTTAGATGTATGATATTATTTTATTCAAGTAATTAAATTTTTGACTATTATTTATTGTAAGTTTTCATACTTTCTATGAATGAATTTTGAAATTATATTACTTAAATATTAATAAATAATCAGAATTAATAGTTCAGTTGTAACTAAAAAAATTTTAATTGCTTATTGAATGCAGTGGTCTGTGTACATTGATTTTTGTTCAGTTTTTATGGAAATTTTTCGAAAATATTGCAAAAGATGTTACCTTTATTAATTCTTTATCAATTTTTTACAATGACTAATGAACTTCAAATGCGAACTAATGAAGAAAAATGAGTTGATTAAAAAATTCCGTTATGACAAGGATACAAGTCTAACTCACCATTAGAGTTTTTCAACACGACTTAATTGTTTTCTTTACAGTAAAATTCAGGAAGTTTCAAAAACTAATGTGGTCGAAATTAATAAACTCGGTCATCTAAAGTAAGATTCATTCAAAGAAATTTTAAAGAACAAAAACTGAATTGGCAAAAAAACACATGTGGATTTTTTAAGAATTTTTAGAACAAGTTTTGGATTTCATATGATTTGATTTGAGCAAGATGGTCATATCCAAAAATCCGAAAATCGATCCGAAAATTCTGAACAAATTCACACGTGATTTTTCTTAATATTTCAAGCACTTTTGTTGTATAAAATTTTTTTCTCAAGAACTTGTTTTCGAATTAAAAATTCCCGAAGTTTTTTTATCTTTTCGTGTTTCGACTGCCATTTTGTGTCGTTAAAATTTGATTTTTCCAACCTTCATCGCAATAACTTTTAGTTTCGGTATCGAGTTATTTGAGTTTACCCGCGATTCGGGTCTAGGCCCTAAACCGACCCGAATCCGAGGAAAGAATCGATCAGACCCGACCCAATTCGAATTTTTCGGGTACTTACATGTTCCTACGGAAAACCAATGAATTAAGCTATGATTTTAAAAATCGTTGAAGATGCAATCGTTGAAGACTCAAATTTTTCTTAGGCACCATCGATGCGTAACAAAATGACAACTTTAAAAAAATTGCTAAGCAATAATTAAAAATATGCAATCTTATCGCATTTCAAAATAAAATAAAATTAAATATTTTCATTAAAACAACAACTGAAAATTTAATTATTCACCCGACCTACAAAACAAATATTGTGCTTCTCTATATTTGAGGTTGTTGAGCTAAAATGATCTTAAGCGAACCAGCTAATTAAATAGAAAGTTTATACATAGCATTATATGTTTTAATCAACCTTTCACCCCTTTATTCAAAATCAGTTTTCACTTTCGTTACTTTCTATTTTTTTCTAATAAATAGAAGTGTTTTTAATATACTTTAATTTAATTATTATGCATTGGTTATTTTATAACGCTGCTTATTAGCTTTAAAATGCCTAAAAATATGTTCTAAGTTAAAATTGATTTAAACTCATTAATTTTATGATATTGATATAAGTTAGCATCATATTTAATAAGTTAACTATATGAAAAATATTTTTCTCAGTCTCGGGCGATGTAGCGATGGTGACGTAAGCACATACCCTTTCAAGCACGCATGCATACACACGCACACACAGATTTGAAGAGAAACGGAAAGCATATCGAGGTCACCGGCCACGATGCAATTCGTAGAGATTACGTCTGCTAACGCGAGGGGGTAGCGTGAGCGGCGCCCGGGAATTAAATCGAGCGTGTCAGTATAGTGAGTTATAGTTGTGTTTTGCATCATTTTGCATCATCATAACATATTAGTTGTTAGTTAACCATTTAATAGATTTAAGACTAATTAGTTCAAATTCCTTATTTAAGCCCTATTGAATTACAATTCTTCGAAAATCAATTGACGAGATTCATGTTATATACATGAAAAATAATCAAAATAATGAAAATGTTCCAGAGGTTAAAATTAGCTAAAAAATTTTAAATATTTGAAAAAATCACTTTTTTCCAAAAAAGTTAAATTTATTATTTTTTCTCAACATTTAAATGATTTTTTATTGTAAAAACCAGATTAAATATACAATTTCGTAATTCAAATAAAATCGTAATTTAGCTTTTTTAAGTCTAAATTAATATAATATTAAATTAAACAAAAAAGAATATCACAAATCCAAAAATTACTATCATGTAAAAAACTTTTAGTTCGTCTTTCCCATCAGGAAATATTTTACATCTAACAATAATTTTACACCTTAAATAGTTTTGAATAAATTTTATTTTAATGAATGCTTTCAACCATCAAAAATATTTTTTATATAAAAAATAGCGGAGTATTAACAAACTAAATTCGTAATAATTATAATCAAAAATATTTTCTACTGTATTCACTTATTTTAAAACTTGGAAAAATGAGAACAGTCTCTTTTGCTACGTGACTATGACGATAGTATAAATCGAATCGACCAGGCGCCAAACTTCCGTGCATTTGCGTTTTTATGCGAGTCTGGAATATAATCGCTGTGTATAAAATTCGAAGTAGCCTTTTCATGTGTACGCGCATTATTGAATCAATTGCCAAAATATCTGTGTAATCGTCAACCCAAGCATGTTTTTCTCGCCTTCGTGCTCATTTTCTGGCTCTATATTTTTTTTCTCACGGATATAAAATATATTGATATTTCTTAAAACGACCAATAAATAAAAAAACTAAGCAAAAATTGTCAATACTTCATATATGTGATATAATTGACAAGAATATAAGAGCGTTAGTTAAAAAACACTATGAGCCTTTGATTTCCTAGTGCTAACGTCTACTGGAATTTACTTGTATTTTAAAAATGATTATGTCATTAAATCTGAGAGTTTTAAAACCGCAAGTTTTTGAAATTTGTATCATGCAGTGGACACGGATAGACGGTTTTGCAAGTCTGCAACTAAAGTCGAGTTGTGAAAAAAGTGCTGAAAAAGTATGTTTATACAAGTCGTATATTATATTGTATATCAGTAGAGTCAACCAATTTTGGAAAAGTTTTCCTTTTTTATCTAAAATGCTATCAATATATGCATCTATGCTAACGATGTGTATGAAATATGACACTTTTTTGAAACATAAAATTATTTCTTAGAGATTACTGCTCTACATTATTTTAAATGTAAACACGAAAGAAAATTATTTTAAATAGAATTTACTTACTCTCAATCTGCTCATCAACGTGTTCTTGCAAAGAAGAAAAGCTGGAAGTCGGCTGATAAGCAAGACGATTTCGAAAATTACCACAGGCAAATTGATAAAAGTCTTTGCATGGATCAACACCACGTTGCATTGTTGCAAGCATGCGACGCGCTGCCTCGTGACATGCTTGAGTGTTGCATACACCTTCCGAACCATCTCTTTCTCTGATACAAGCTTCATCCTGAATTAAAAGAAACACTTCATTTAATACAAAAATTTTTCTAAAAGATAAATTGAAAAAAGTCTTAAGTACAAAGAATCATAATAACATTTATGATTTACTTAAGTTCCATAAAACTTGATCAAAAATGAATCAGAATTGAATACCTTTGCGAAGTATAGTTATTGTGAGCGTTATTGTAAACAAATATTTATATTCATTGAGCTATCAAAATTCCGACGAAACCCTCAGATGAGGTGTAATCATTTAGTTTAACACAGCTAGGCGGTAGTACTTATCGAAGGTCATGATGAAGGACTGAAGACCCTGACCCGAGTTAAAGTTGATGTTTACCGTACATTACTTCCGAAGATTTTTCCTATATAAGGCTTCTTTGCACTCTCTCTCTGTTCTTCTAAGAATCAAGTCAAAACGAATTGCCAAGAGATTTCACTTCATAAACGTTAGAAAAATCGCAGTTGAACTGCTACAATATGCTTTAACATTTTTATTTATTTAGCTTTCAAAATTAATTTAACACGTAAAATTTGTTAAACTCCCTGCATGTTTTGAGTTTTGCGTTCTATTAAAGCGTGCAGCTAATTACTTTCATTATTTTTCTTTATAATGATTCCTACCTGTGAAAAAGTATATTATAATTGTTGTTGCATTTAAGATAATCATTCACGATAATCATTTTTAGCTTTTCGTAAAAGTAAAACGTAGTATTTTTAGTGTGCATTTTTCTAAAAAGAGGTAATTGAGAAGATATTGCATTGTATTCTATGATTAAACTCTCGTAAGAATGAGATTCATTACATGTAACTGAACACTTTACTTTAAATAAAAGTAAAAATATAACGTGATTTGCGATCATCAAGTTCAAGGACGCAAACGGCCTACATACTAGTGAAAATGACTGTAATTTTACTGCATTTAAAATATGAATCATGTATAATAAGAAACTAACCAACGGTGAGCATACGCGTGGCTGATCTCCTTCAGGTAAAGTCGTGATGAGAAAAAGAACAGGACTTGTAACTAAAAGACTCGTCACAAGTAGCATTGCAAAAGTAAGAAGCGCTTTGTGAACTGCTTTGCTACGCCGTAGCCAATAGCATGGCACGCAACATATCCATGTACTGAAATTGTGCGGCCGCTCGACTTGTACCATTGGCTCCTCAAGGCCATGTCCATCCTTAAAAATAAATTTATTCATTGAGTTACAATAATTAATACTTTTTTTTATAGTTTGAATAGTTTACTTAAATAAAATCAATCTGTACACTTGAAAATTTTTATCGAGCATATTTTAATTTTCTTATATGTTCATTCTTTGGCCTAGTTAAATGTATTGATTAAACAAAATCGTGTTTTATAGAGAACTGATCTTTAATTTATCTCAAATCTTATACAAATTATTTAATAAACAATTGGTTAATCAAGCTCAAAAAATTAAAATACTGTCTCAAAAGGTTTGTCTCCAGTTAAATATCATTTATATCGTTTTCTTAATCTTCCTTTACAATTCAAGAATTTTTCATATAAATTTTCTTTATATTTAAGTTGCCATTTTAAAAAGTTCTATTAGACAAATATTTCCTTTTTTAATCTGCACTGTTTCTAATCAAACATTTTTATGAGGTATGTACAGTGTTTCTTTACTTTTATGTAGAAATAAATATTTACAAAAAAATATGCAAATATTTCATAAATTAAATTTTATCCTTTTATTTTTAATAAAATAATATACTGCAGGATAAGCTTAAAATGAAAAGAAAATTTTCAGTATACTTTGTAATTGACAATTGTAAAAAAAAATAAATTAAGCAACGGTTCAAATGTTAAGTAACACATTTAATATTAAAATAAAATATCATAATTTACTCACATCATATGATTGACCGGCTCCTTGATCTCGAGGCATGTGTTGGTGTGGAGTGATGGGCCCATTGTATTGATGACTCGAGCCGGCTGGAGATGGATTTTGACTCGTATGTTGAGAAGTCTGATGCTGTTGTGTTTGTTGGTATTGCGGCTGGGGTTGGGGGGCAATTGAAAGGGGTAGACGAACATTCGCGGGCCGTCGGCGAGTCGCAAAGACATGAATTGCTTTGCGACTAGCCTGGGTTTCAGTGCTGTGACTCACTGGAGTCACATTTGCCGGCTCATCTTGTACCCCATGCTCGTCTTGTTCTTGCAGCTCTTGCTGATGTTCCTGCAGTTGATCTTGAGGTTTCTGCTGCTGCCGCCCCACCCGCCGCAGTGATTCTGACCACGCACGCACGGCTTTATCGTAAAGCCCACAGCTACCGGTCGTCTACTGTCTGGACTCGACATGATGACTCTACCACTAGAAATCCATACATTTTTTATTAATATTTCAAATTAAATTCATCAAATATTTGATGATTTAAACAGGAATCAGTTATAATGTAGATACATGGACATCATCTAAATATATTTTCAGGAACAGTTTTAGAAAATTTATCACATCCCGTTAAAACGATTACTTATAGTTCATGAAATGATTTTTAAAATTCTGAACCACGTTTGTAATTACTGAGTAATCCTCTTTTAGAATCATAATTAACCAATAATAACTCACATTTATGCGAACGCAAAAAATACACTTTATACTTTAATGCTATAGAATAAATATATAATAATTTTAAATGAAGACAGAAAGAAAAAATATTTATAATTAATTTGGTGATTTAAAATAATCGTACTGTTGTTTTAGTGCGTTGTGATGCACGTTATGATATATATAACTCTTCCAGTGGCCAACAAATTTTTAATGGTGTTAATACATGAAGCAAATATTGATTTATGCAGCTTGATTCTGCCCCAATTATTTAAAAGTGATTTATAAAGAACAATACTTTATTTATGGCAAATTCATCCGTGTTTATATATGTATGAATTTATTAAAAAAATATTGTTTGCTCGAATAATAATCCTCAACAAAAATTCACGTCGTAACAGCCAGCTGAGGGTGCACGAATTCACTGACCAATATTTACTGGCTAGCGAAAGAGCATGTCACATCGGGGGATGAAGCAGCTTGTGTTGGAGAGAGGATCGTACGTGAGTGCATGCGATTGCCCCCACTTGTTCAGCATCGCCGGTTTGATATTGCGCAAGCGCTCAAGCCTCGTGTTTGTGGCAAATGGCTCTGGTATGTATTGGTGACTCAGCGCTCTCTAAAAGAGCCTCGAGCTAGAACACTGCATCTAACTGTACTCTATAATATTAAAATTAACTCGCTTGATGAGTTTTATGCTTCGTATATCAATTGTTTTTAATATTTTCTCAACCTTCGGACTGGTCTCCTCTTTTGTCAAAATTGAAGAAAAATAATTAACAATATTTTCAATTTTTTTTCTAAAATGAATCGTATTGGATGCCAGATTTTGCTTACTTAAAAGAAAATAAATTTAAAAAGAAATACTTAAGAAACATTAATTTTTATTTTCTGCAATACTTTAATCAATAAAAGAGGCTCATACATCATTAGCTTTGCGTGTTGAACAATATTGTAAAAAGTACTTCTTGTGCTAAAAGAATTTTAAATGATTTTTATATGGGAAATGAATAGATTTTATTTTATAAAAAGGTTTTGGCGATCACTTTTGATACAAATGATCTTTTATTTCTCTGATAGAATTATTCTGTAGTAATGACTTAATTAATCACAGTGTTGTGCAAATCCGAAAAGTCATTTCTACTTTAAATAAAAATGTTCCAATAGAATGTTATGCAGTACTTTCAAAATAATTCATTTTTATTGTTGTATTTAAAATATAATCACAAAAAAGAATACTAAAATATACAAAGACACATCGTTGCAGAATCTGACTGCAATCATTCAATAAAAACTTTATCAATTAACTTTCAATATTGATATTCGCTCGGATGATGTGATTTCATTAATTGTAGTATACTAGAACTGATATGAGTCATGTCTATTTCAAATAGGACTTTTATATTTCTTAAAAATTTCATAGCGCAATTTATTAAAAATTACCTTTACATTATAATATAAAGTAATATTTCATCAGATAATTTACAATTTTTCGAATAACATAATCATATGATAATATTTCCTCAATAACAATATTTTTTCCTACGGTATAATCACATCAACTTTAACATTCATCAATCAATATTTATTCAGATTCATTAATTCTGTTAAAAAAATAAAGGTAATTTAAATATGTATTAATACAGAATTTAAAAATGAATTTCATCGATAATTTTTAATTACACTGAATGACTACTATCGGTTCTGTTTTAAAATTGTTCCCAAAATCACTCGTTCGCACGACTAGCATGCAAAATAATGTGCTCACTCAATACTAAAGGTGCAAAAAGAAAAGTTTGACTTTATTAAAAAGTTCAGTCTAGTAACATCTGATATATTCTAAAAGTTATAATCAAAGTTTTAATTTGTTTTTTTACATTTTTACTTCCATCTTTTAGCAATATAGGCCTACAAGCAGGATTAATTTTTTTAAAAATTAAAATGCATTATTATAGAACTTGACCTTTAGACTGCTAGTATGGTAAATACATTTTTTAACTTGTACAAGCAAATATAATATACGTATAAGCGAAATTTAGTGTATTAACAAAACAAAGTCGTTAGAAATAGTAGTTTTGACAAGTAATGAGAGTTTCATTTTTTTTTTAAGTTTTTCTTTTAGTTTTTTCGTATTAAACGCTCTTAACGATACGGAAAGACGAAATGAGCGTTTTAAATTGACAAAAAAAATCAAATTACATTAAATATTGATTTACAATAGTCAAGCCGGATATTATGTTAAGTCTGATAAATAACAATGAAAAATTTTGGGTGGAAGACACTAAATTTGAAATAAGATTGTCTTATAATTTAAAAGTTATAAGAACTGAATAAAACCTTTATTTGAGCTGAAAAAATTGTATACATTTGTCGAAAAAGACTAAAGGTTTTTTTACTTTGCAAATTTCTAACATCTCATTCAATACAAATAAATATTCTCGTCGAACCATAAGGTAGTTTCTAAACATTTGAAACATTTTTATACATTTTTTTTCAATCCATACTGACATATTATAAATACAAACAATAATTTTTTATTACCAATATTCATTAATATGTTAGACAATAAAGATAAAAATATAGCATCGTAATTCATAATGTAATGAAACATTTAAAGAATTTAAATTCATGTTTTAAATACAATTTTCCTGATAGCCAAATGAAATCATACAACTGTATAATATTTTACGTAGCGTTTGTGAGATTAAACATTTACCGATTCTTATATCAAAAATTAATAATTATTTAAAAGCAATATTATTTGGTCTGAATTTTTACTTTCTAAACAATCATTGCTCATTTACACTTTGATTCTTTGTACTAAAAAAGTCTTTTCACGATGATGGTGAGTGAAGTATATATTTTTAAGTTATCTTTTGTATTTACTCGCATTATTAGTGATAAAGTTTTATGTATAATTTTGGGCTTTCGCTTTGAATATTGATCACATCAGACCTGCTATTTAACAAAAAAAATTATAAAAAAACTTTTCTAAAATTTCAAATAGAGAAAATTAAAATATCATTGGGCCAATTACTTTGAAAGAAAATCAATCCTTTTAATAAAGGATTTACTTCATTCGATAAAATTCTTTTGCCTTCGGTACGTAAAAATAATAGTTAGACTTTACTCTGCAACATTTCTTTCTTCGTGGGCTTTTTTAACAATCGCTAATTTAGAATGTGGATCAGCGACTGGTAAGCCAACATAAGGTGGTTCTCGTGTACCATGTAGCATTAGTGTAAATTCACGGATCCAGCCGTGTTGTGGAGTTTCGGAATTGAAGCTCACCTGAAAATAATTTTTAATAATATTTAATCGAATTGATTCTCAGTGCAAATGATTGAATCGCTTAAACTTACTTCAAGTAACCATGTTCCTTGTGGGTATTCTCCCCATGAGTGTGTGGTCATGAATGGCCATTTTGTAAAGCCATCTTTACGATCATCGTCGTTAACTCTTTTACTTAAAATCATTGACCTGGAAAATCCATTAAAAAATTTTTTTCAGTTCATCCCTCATTTAAGTCTTGATATTTAAAAAAGTTTTGCTTTTTGAATTACCTTGTTCCCATTGGAGATGTTAAAAACAATTCTAGATCACCCCGACGTGTAGCATTAATCGAAATAACTGCCTGTACATGCTCAAGGTAATTTACAGCGTATTCAGTACCTGCACACGCATCTGTTCTGATTTTAAATACATACGATCGATCACTTGGTATTTCACTAAAACAAACCATAATAATTAATAAAATCATTATTTAATAGATACCATTAGATTGAAAAATCACTAAAGTGAAAGTGTTCTAAATTGAAGGTTTTAAATCATATGTCTGAAACTCATCAAAACTTTTAAAGCGATGTTCTAAGTAAACGTCTATATGGCTGACTATCAGTGAAATTAAAGGAAAATAATACTTTGATGTCACATAGGTCGCCGGTCTATTAAAATTGTTGGAACGGTCTATCGTCCTTTTCCAGAGGTCCAAAGTTTTCATTTTTATGTAAATTTATGCTAATTATGAATTTTGAGAAATGTTCTCTTAATTTAGAGTGGCATACAGAAAGAAAGTACAATATAATTTTTTTGCTCCAAATTTTCAGAAAAAATGAATTGAGTACTGCAGAAGCTTGCTGAGTTGCACTTTTGAGTTTTGGGTTTCTTTCTATAGAAGCGAGCTTTTACAATACTCGTAAGGACATCACTGCAGCTCTGGGTGACAGATTCTTACCAAATTTTTTTTTAGCTTTTTGCTACATAATAATGAAGCTCTATATACTTATTTCCATACTAGCGGCCTAAAAGTGATTACTTTCTTGCCTCTGTGCAAAGCGGGAAGAGCGACTTTCGGGCCACTGGATATGAAAAATGGTATACAGGCCTAAGCCGCGAAAAAAGAAACCCCCTGATTACTCGTACCTGATTACCGGCCGCTAATTACACGTACTCTGGGACTTCTCTGTTTTTCACGGACTAGGACAGCAATATACTATTGATAAGAAGCTGACACCCAGAATTGTGGTGACCTCCTTGTCAGATCATATTTAAGATTTTTATGAAAATTTGAACATTTTTCATCAAAAAACTTTTTTTGTACTCTTTTCTATATGTCACTCTAGGCTGAGATGAAAGATGTTTTCACAATTAGAATGAAGTTCAGACAAATAATAACTTATAACCTCAGAAAAAGGATGATAAGCTGTCCCAAAAATTTTAAATAATATTTAGGAACTTTTATAGCATCGAAAACAACAATTTTTTCATAATTGCAGGAATAAAATTTTTTTGAGCATTTAATTTAACACAGAACCAGACATATCTAAAAGAATTTATTCAAGTGAATAGATTATAACAATTTTGAGAAAATGTATGTTCCATTTTTTTTTCATGAAATAGATATTTAAAATTATAATCATGCTCTTACGTCGTTGTTTGAATACTTCCAGCTTGACAGTGATATCTTGGTGGTACTGTTTTCCAAATTTTTGCAAGAGCAACCATAGCTCCAGCATCGAGTACGCCATACCCAAAAAGATGGTTAAATTCTAATCCTACTCCATTCATTTTCCAGTGAAAACGATTTTTTGCGTCGAATAATGAGTTTCTTTTTGAAGTTAAAACTGTCAAGTGCTGGATATCTCGCCAAGTCAACTGAGAACTAAGAAATAATATTCATATTAACTGAAACCAGTTGCAATAGTATATTTTTAGCTTCAAAATTTATGCCTTTCATAACTTGATACATGCATCCGCCTTATTGTTACTAATGACAAAAAATTCAATAATTAGGACAAAACAAGGTTTTTTTTGTTCCAAAAAGTACATTTTTAATTTATATCGAAGTACGTCTTTCATGATTTTTCAAACCAATCTAAAATCTGAAAAAATTTGAGGTCATGTATTTTAGTGAAAAAAAAATTTAAAAAATGTTTTCAATATTTTTTAATCTGTTGATGTTTTGGTTTTTATAGACGTGTGAGGTAACTCGAAAAAATCTATTTGTAAGATTATGTATCTCAATGCAGTAAAGAAGAGAAAAAATGCCCATGTTTGACATCGGTTTATATCACAGGGAACAAAAATCAAAAATAGGTTTACAATCGGTTTGACAGAAAACAGACGCCTATGTATGTTTTGTGGAGGGTACGAGTATTATTTGATATATATGGGTCAAAATAATACTTTTTTACAAAACCGTGCGCACGTATGTCACCGATCTTTACGCGCTTTTGGTATGTTATAGTACATGGTAAAAAGGTCCCAAAAAAAAATGTTAGACCCCCCTCTCCCCTCCTACCCCCCCACTCCCGCTATAAACGTCTATTTTCTATTTATATTTATTCTGAAGCCCTGAAGTAATTGAAAAATCTGAAAAAATTCATGAAGGTACTTTCTAACAATCCAAACAATCTTGAATTTTTTCAGATTTTTTGAGTGCTTCAGGCGTTCAGAAAAAATCATTGAAAATTACAATTATTTTATTTTCGGTGAAATGGTTCGATATACCATACTGGATCATTTTTTTTTCTCAATTCTAACACCAAAAAACGATTTCTTGAATTTTTTCAGAATTTTTAATTACTTCAGGGCTTCAGAATAAATATAAATAGAAAATAGACGTTTATAGCGGGGTGGGAGGTAGGAGGGGGGAGGGGGTCTAAAATTTTGGTTTTGGTGTACACTTTTATGATTTACTATAACATACCAAAATTTCAGGAAAATCCATGAACCTCGCCCACAGGTTTATTGGAAAAATTCTGAATCTGACCCATATATATATGGTCAAATCTCAAAATAAAATTTCGTTTCGTTAACAAGAAAAGGGGAAAGTTTTTTTTTGCGTGCCCAGCGGCCTGGACCCCCGCAAATTGTTCCTAGGACCTCTAGAAGTGAAAAAAAACGCGTGAACATGAAATTTGAAAATAGTTAATTTTTTTGAGGCACTTTTATGTTTTATACGCCGAAAAATCATCTTTTCACGTAAATACGATTTATTGCTCGATTTTAAAGTCGTTGAAGAAGTATCAAAACTCATCTAAAAAATGTAGCTGACTACTGTATTCGATAGGAAATTTTCTCAGCTTTCCGATAGTAGTATCAGATTTTCCGAAATATCCAATTTTCACCGCGAAAATCGCCATCAAACATTGAGGGCTAAATATGTCGAAAAATTCAGTACGGAAAAAGTGAACTTTTTGGATAATTGTTGATTTTTCCTTATTTTAAGTATTTTGATGTGATGGGTGAAATTTAATTTACCATTAATCGCTTATAAATGGACTAAGTTTGAAATTTTTGTATAGGTCATATAAAAAAATCCAAGATTCTCATTTCTGAATACACCCTATAACACTGATCGTGAGCCCGATATTTTCTCTTCGTTTCAGATTAAAATATTAACAAAAATTCATCTCAAATATGTGTTCCCTTAGAAAATTTTTATTTATTTTTAATAGCAAAAAACTAAACGTTTCAGAGAACTCCACATATTCGTTCGAATTTGACATATCTGATAACTCGTCGCGTAGGATTATTTAAAAAATTTCAAAACTGACCCATATGTAGTAATTTAGAAACAATTGAAAATCGAATCAAGAAAAAAGTATCCTCAATTAATGGTATGATTTATAAAAATATCCAAGTTAGGAAACAATTATTTTAACTTACTTAGCCTCTAATGCTAAAGCAAACACTCCAGCAGCTTCAGGTGCTGCAGCTGATGTGCCGCTATGGGTTGTGGTACATTGACCATACAAATCAGTTGTTGCCTGAAAACATTATTGAAAATTTTTAGTTTTTTTAATAATTTCAAAGTATTCAATTTATTATTCGTACAAAAAAATAATTAAATTCTTATTATTATTTATAATTAAAAATGTTTAAGGGACTATTACAGGTTTGATGCAGGTCGGATTTCAGGTCAGTTGAAATTATAAGTAATGGAGTACAAACGTATAAATGTCATTCAATAGCAGTTAAAAACTTTAAACGCGTTTATCTCGAGATAATGTTTTTTTGCATGGTGGAAAGTTGATTGGAGTCTTCGCAACTACTCGAATAAATTGAAAATAATGTATTATCCCAAAGAAAATTTCAAATAAGATCTCACACCAGTTCTTCACATGAACTTACATGAGATCTTTTCACATCTTTCGTAGAATCTTATATATTATTATCGACAGTAATAAATTCCTAAGTAAGAACTGGTTCATTTTAAAAGCCCTTAATATGTAAATAATTTCGTGCGCAAGAACTTACGTTAGAACCAACGAAAGAATTTGTGAAAAATCTCACAAAAGATCTTGACCAAAAGTATGTAAAAAAAAATTATGTCTTGTAACAGGATTGACCTATAGAAAGCTAGAAAAAGATAATTTTTTGTCGATTTTTGATTAAGATCTTACCTAAAGCTCTACGTAAGTTTTTATGTAAATTAATACTTAAGTTTTTACACATAAGAACTCACTTCGATATTGAGGGCTTTTGAGTTAAACCACTTTTTATGTAAGAAATAACATAAGAAACTACGTAACAATTTTGTTGTACAATGTTGTGTGGTATGATCGTCCTAAAAAGAACGTATGCGTGGGCACGTTTTCGATTGGCTTATAATGAACAAATCATGACAGGCTGCAAACTGACGAGCTTCACAAGCTGTTGCCTTGCATTTTGATCGAGTACGTTTTGAGACCTTATCGTGGGCGTGAATAATATCGATTGATTTTAATAGCCATTTAGATCTGTCTCCGCTGCTGTTGTCACAACTCTGCTTTTCTTAGCGCAAATGTTATTTGGAAGGAGCAGTGGCTTTGTCTCTGGCTGTTCAGCTTAAATTCAGGCTGGGCAGAGCAGCGAGGCCTTGGGAGTTGCGAGCGCTTGGATGGACCACGAGGTATTCAACGAGGAATTATGACCGGTGGTTGGTGAACAGCAGGCAGCATGAGCTGTGATAGCGTGGCTTATCTTAGGCATATCAGTTCTTCGGTTAATTATGTAGCGGTGATAATTCTCGTCAACTATAGAGGTCTGCACAGCTCAGACATTGGTAGATACAGCTATGCGCGCCATATCTGATACGTGACTGCGTTGAAGACGGATTCATCTGGTACAGTTTTATCTTCGAGCAGCTTACGTTTGACTCTGAGGTAGCCCTTGACGTCCTCGATCGACCCTTTTTCCTATACTTTACGTGTTAATTTTTTTCTTCTTTTTGCGTTTTCTGACGAGTAGTGTTTTTTGCCACCTCTTGTAATTTTCAGAGAGTACCGATTGATTTTTAGCACCAGGATCGCGTACACTTCTTCAAGACATCAATGCTCACGTCCACTACTACGGGTGAGACGATAAGTGATTTCAATCGTCTCACCCGTGGTAGTGGGTGTAAGCATTGATGTTCTGAAGAAGTGCACGTGACCCTGTTGCTAAAGCTGCATGGGTGCTCTCTGAAAGTTATGACAGATGACCAAAAACACTACTCGCCAGATAACGCAAAAGAAGGGAAAATTTAACACGTAAAGTATAGGAAAATGGCTCACGGAAACAGCTGTATCTCAGTGAATGATCAAAATTTTAAAGTTTCAAAAAATGCAATGGAAAGGGGGCAAAAATCCTACTCGAAAATGGAAAAAAAATTTTCGATTTCAAGGCACTTTTTCTCTAGAACATTTTTTAGGAAAATCAACGATGAAAAAACGATTCAGCGCACCAAAATACATTTATCACATATAGAAACACCGTGGAGTCCAAAATTTTTACGCAAACCCTGCCAACGTCCGCACTATTTAACTTTAACTTCGTTTTAGCTTAAATTTTAAGAAAATCCAATTAAGGTTAAAATTGAAAAGAGCTTAGTGTCCTAATCGGAAAAATGTTACTTTCGACAATTAGAAAAAAAAACTTTTTTCGAAAATTTAAAACTAAAATAATGTTAAAGTTACACAGTTATATTGTTAAATAATTAGATTGTTCAATTCTGCCGGTGCCAAAATGATTTTTAAACATTCGTCCAAAACGCACCGTTATATTCTAATGTATATTAGATTGATGAACGATGGAAATATTATTAATTTAGTTGCCGAAACTTGTAAATTGTAATGAAAACAGTCTTTCATAAAAACTTACCACTCCAGTATTAGGATCTTTTGCGCCATTGCTGAAAGTTGATGCTAGCGTACTGGAACAACTTTCATCATAATGAGCATTTTGTCCATCGTTGATTGCGCTATTAATGCTCACAGTCCACATACTTGCAGCGTAACCATCGCAGTTACAGTCATCATCTTCGCCACCATCACCAGAAGCCCATACGTAGATATTTCCAAGTCCATTACGGCCCTGAAAGCCAAAAACAGAATTTCATCAAGACTTCAGCTTATGTTTGTTCGAAAGTAATAAAGCAATTTTACATGATATCTTAAAAATTATTATCAAAAATTAATAAGTTGACAATTTCTTGATTAACAATTTTCAAATGCATTGAATAAATTTGAATGAATGCTATCGTAATTTTTACCAGAATTGTAGAACGCACATAAAATGAAAATATTTGAAAAAACGATACACTCAACATTCTTAAAAAAAATGTACCTCATTGACTCCTCTCACAATGGCACGCATTGTTGCATTTCTCGGACCATCAACAGTTTTACCATCATCGGTTGGCCCCCAAGAAGCACTATAGATGTCGATTAAATTAGGCTCATGCCCCATACTGTTGGCCTCAATTAAGTCAGTCATGTAAGGTTGGTCTAGCATTCTTATTCCCGCTACTTTCGAATCATAAGCTACTCCTACACCACAAACACCATTATCTCGAGCAGCAGCAACTTCACCAGCACATCTCGTTCCGTGGCTGAAAAATATCTATATTCATAATCCAATTCCACGGTACGGTTAAAAAATATTTATATTCAAAATAATTTTAATAAATAATGTTTTTGAACATTCATCGTTTATTCTTATCGATAAATCTACGAGAAATTATTTGACGGAGTATAAAGAAGTCATACTCTTTACAATTTTCTCACTGACAGAGATTAAACAAGTTGTTAATAAATCGCTCGTGGTGCTTGAATCATACTGTTGCTTAATTTTTTACTTTTTCATTTCATTTCATAAATCATTAATTATACTTTAACCTTTGTAATCTATGGTTCATTTACAATCACGGTAACGTAAACACCACGAAACTTTTTTTCGAACTCAAATTTCTGTAAATTAATAACCGGCAAACCATATTATAAGTTTCATTTAGTATTTAGCATTTATAGAGTTAAAAATTCAAGCAGAATAGTATTAAACAAATTTTTTTTTTAATACAATTAACAGTAAAAATTAACAGTGATGGGACAAGTAGCACGTCTTTCGAAGAATGAATTCAAATTTAATACGTAAAATCATTGGCAAAGTTTTTTGAATTGTTAATAAAATTTGTACGCAATTTTTTACCTGTTAAACCAGTCATCTGTGTATCTCGGATATGGGTATGGATCATTGCTACTAAAATCATATGATGCTTTCGCATTCTAGAAATAAATAAATCATGAAAATAGAGATGAGTTAGAGTATTGACATAATTGAAATATACGTACGTAATTGAATTTAAGGTCAGGATGCATGTAATCCACTCCTGAAATTATATTTAATATTTGAAATATAATCGATTTTTCGAATATTTATTAATATATAACAAAATAATGTCAAAATTTGAAGAATCAATATAAATAAAAAAAATCGACGTCAGTACCTGAAAAAACTAATGAACTAATGATCTCATTTTGAATTGTTCATTTCTGATGATCCCGTAAATAATTACATGTCTCACCAGAATTTTCACGACTTTTCCGTAGAATACCCCTAAAAGGGTTGAATTTGAAAATTTTTGAATGAAATTTTCACAGAATACTCTTGAGATTATGCACTTTCATATGGACTTTTCAGAAATAAGATATTTTGTTATATTAATAAAATACAGTCCTTCGAAAAATGGTAAAAAGTCGATCATACAGCACTAAACCCCCTCCCCCCCNCCCCCCCCCCCCCCCCCCACGCTCTCCCATTCCATATTTAGTTAATTATACTAATACAGATTGATACTTCTCCATTTCTTTGAAGCCTAAGTTTAAATAAAAACTTTATTTATAATAGTTTCCAATCAAAAAGTCATGTTCCTTTAAATTGTAAAATAAACAGTGATAATATTCATTTATCACAAAACTAAAGTTTGATTCTAAAAGAGCACACGCTTATTTAAAAGATCTTTTTTCCCATTCTAATCTAAGTACACAACTTTGCCGCTAATCTTAGGCTCTCGCAGGAAATAGCTGCACTCAGAAGAAAGAATTATACTATTTTTAACACTGCGTGAGCGAAACACGGGTTTTCTAACCTTAAAGCGTCAGAAAATCCTAGTTTCTGGCAAGCAGAGTTAAAAAAATCATTTGCAACTAGTCCACGAGGAAGTTGACTCACCCAGAAATCTTTGCACTCTTGCTACGCTCGGGCGAAAACAACTCCTGGATGAGTCAACGGCTTTGCGCATTTGTTACAAAATATACTATATTTAAATTGTAATAATTTACCATCATCCATGATAGCCGTTGTAATGTTTTTGCCGGTAATTCCTTGTACCCAAGCTGCTTCAACGTTGAGATCAAGCTTAGGCTTGCCACCATTTTGTCCTGTGTTTTTTAAATACCACTGGTATTGAAAATATGGATCTGTTGGATCACGACTTGCTGGATTGGATAGAGGATTTTTCAGTTCGTCGAATAGAGGGACAAGTTTTTCCACGCTCAAAGGTTTGTATCCTCGTTTTACTCTTTTGAAGCCTGTCTGTTGTACAGCTATATGTACCTTAAAGAAAAAAATATTTATACTGACTTAAGCGGACCGACCTGTGTTAGAAGCTTAAATTCAACTTGAGCTAAAAATAGCAATATAAATCGAAATAGTGTAAGTTTTATGTGTTATTAAAATATGTTAATTCTTCACCTGATTGACAAAACAAACGCCTACCCAAGCTCTGGAATACCAATTAGACCACTTATTTAATAATACTAAATATTGTGTTATAAATCACATGCCGCATGATCTCGAAAAGAGCTTTTCATCAATATCGATTTATGGGATGTGAAAATTTTCAGAAAAGTACCCTCATTCACTGAAGCGGAGCAGAATTTGGAAAAATTTTTCTCACGCACTAGTTGCATACGATACTTTACAACATTTCGTGCATAAAACGTGGTTTTTGTTTCACTGAAAGATTAGAAAAACCGCGTTTTACGGACGGAGTGTTAACCCATTAACGTCCAGAATGACGAAACTTTTTGTTCACGATTGACGCGATTTTTCCATGTTTTGGGTTTTGAAAAGACTTCGCACAAATATCATTTTATGTAAAATTTAATGTCTTTTCAGAACCCAGGCTCAAATTAAAGATTTGATGCTTTGTAAAAAAATTATGGTTGCGAGAACAAAAAATACGTAAAAATTTGTGAGTAATAGTGATTTAAAAAATTTTTTTTTCAAGTATTGCGGTGAACAACTTAAGATATAAGTAAGACCAGAGGTGATCATGAGTGTCGAAGTAACTTAGAGAATTTTCACAGATTATTCCAACCATTTTTTCTAACAAAATGGCATCCATGAAGTAAAATGTTTATAAAAAACCCAATTCATTTTTTATCTTAAAAACCATTCAGATTATGAAAAAGTTAATGGAACAAAAGTCTTAAAATTTATCAAGGAACATTCTAAAAACTTTTCAAAATTTTTGGAGACGGTTTTCAAATATTTCGGGAAATTCGGGAAGTCCATTTTCCCAATATCATCTCAAAAAATTTTTTAAAAATGTGATATTGTTCTTCAATCAATTCTAAAACTTTTTAAAATTTTTCTCTGAATTCAATTGTTTTTGAGTAAAAAATTATACATTCTCACCCGTACAATACATGTATTGCATAATCTCGTACATGAACATTTTCCTTTATAGCCACTATTTTGTTTTAAAAAAATGGTTGCAAACATCTTGAGTTTTTTACCGAAATACTTAAAAAAAATTTTCAAAGACGTTGCTACACACAAATTTTCACTTTTTTTTTGTTCATGCAAACATAAATTTTTTACAAAGCATCAAATCTTAAATTTGAGCGCGGGTTCTAAAAAGACATTAAATTTCACCTAAAATGAAAGGCTCAAAGGGGGCTTAAAATCGAAAAAAATTTTATTTCATTTTCAAGTAGAATTTTTTGTCCCCTTTCCATTGCATTTTTCTTATGCTTAGCTTGAGGTTGCGTTGATGGATAATGATCCATCGAAGAAAATGATATGACATAGAACTTAGTCGTGTTAAGCCATCACTTAAAATCTTACGACAAACAGCTTAGATATCCTCAATGCTCATCGCTGAAGGGTCATAGGCTGATACAAGTTAATTTAAGTGTTTGTAAGTATTTAACTGGACAAAGTACTTTCAAATGGGGTATTGAAAAAGGCTCTTATGTCTATTTCCTGAAAAAATTTTTTTTTTTACTTTTTCAGCTTAATACTATAAATAGAAATATATAATTATTTAAGCCCCCTTTGAGCCCTTAAGTCACCTGGCACAAACACTGAAGCACAATTTTTTTTTCATTTTACGTTTTTTTTTGTGACCTCCTTAATGAATCTACCGATTAAAAGTGAACTATGAGTTCGATCACCTCGCCCGAGGTTGTGACCGTAACCATTGATGTTCTAAAGTAGTGTACGTGACCCTGGTGCTGTAACTCAATCGGTACGCTCTGAATATTACAACTGAGGTGCACTTTGTAAAAACGTAAAACGCCAGAAAACGCAAAAGAAGAAAAAATTTAACACGCAAAGTATACGAAAATGGCTCACGGAAACAGCTGTATCTCACTGAATGATCAAAATTTTGAAGTTTCAAAAAATGCAATGGAAGGGGACAAAAAATCCTACTCAAAAATGAAATAAAATTTTTTTCGATTTTAAGCCCCCTTTGAGCCCTTAAGTTCGTGCGAAATCTTTTCAAAACCCAAAATATGAAAAAAAGCTCGTTGATCGTGAACAAACAATTTCATCATTCTGGACGTTAATTGGTTAATATTGCATAAAAATTCAAAATTATTTACATATCGAAATATTCAAAGTATATTTCGACGGACAAACCAGACGTGACTTTGAATTTGACCTTGAACATAACCTCAAATGCTCAGCGAGTAAAAAATCCATTTTTTACGATGTTACTTGTATTTTTTATTACAGATTCGAAAAGTGCAGAAAACTTTAGGTTAAAATAAGCCGTTTGTTTTTTTCTTTAGGTCATTTCAACAGTGCCGCCAAAAATACATAACCCTATAAGAGCTTAATTTTAGGTTAAACAAGGGTTTTATTTTTTGTTGTAACAGTGAGCTTATGTTTGTGCTTGAATTCCAGCCATATTAATTTTTTTTAAATTGTTCTGTTACTCCAATATAAATTTAGGTCAAAATTAATTAATTCCCATTTTTATGCAATAATACTTACATAACTTACTTATATAAATGTGCAATAATACTTACCAGTGGATCAACTTTTAGTTTTCTTGTATGAGGCAAAGATCTTTTGGCTCGAATGTGAGGCAAAGCTCTATGTATAAAATGATATTCTGTCTGACTTCCTAATACCTGAAAATAAATAATTTTTTTCGTTGAAAATGCTTACATTATACATAATTAGATTCTAAATCGGGAGATAATTGTTGTAATTTATGACATTAGCTATATGCTATAATGATATGATTAGATGAGATAAGATAAGATAATGATAAGATGAGTTTAAAGCGCTTAGAGTAAAAGGAGCGCTTACAATGTTGGGGGCGAGAAGCTAAGGTTTCTTTTTCCTGCTAGATATTATACGACCGCTTAAGGATGAATTACAATATTTATAGCCCTCTTACCTAAAAAAACGCAACTATGCTGCTACTTTTAGTCTCTAGTACTATGATAATATTTCAAGCAACGAGTGAGGAGTACGTCGTGACTTGTCTTTGGCTTGTGTTGTATCCCTCGTTTTGCAAAAAAAACATATCCACACCCGTATCATAAAATACTATTCTGCGCTAAGGTTCTCAAACACGCTTTTTCATAAAAATATTATATACATCACTTATATATCGTAAATTACTATTGCTAGTCATACTTCCAGCGCGCTTCACGGACCTTCTTTATTATTTTCTAATTGAGCCATTTTTATGTTTAAAATGAATTAAAAGAATATTACAATATTAATTCTACAACTGTCTGACCTATTCACATAAACGCCATACTCTCAAAATTAGTCTAATGTTATCAGTAGGCCTGATTAAATATACCACATTGTCTACTTACTACAAAACTCACAATTTTGGGCCACTAAATGTCCTGTAAGCTTTTTTCACAGTCATCACTGTGTCGTACTGGCCACTTCACTTATTTATCTGGAGGTAAAATAAGCAAAGTGTTGCGGGTCAAGTCAATAAAAAACCTTTTTTGCTTCCAGGAAAATCAGTAAAGTGAGCAGTTGTAATAACTGTGAGAGAGGCCTATAGTTTTGATTTTTAGTTAGAAAATTGTATGTTGTACTCTATTACACGAATGATCGTCATTATTAATTTTTTAGCGATCTTAAATATTTATTTCATTTAATTATTATTTAAGCACATACGATCGACTCTATAATTTCCTTCTTAGAGGAGAGAAGCCTATTATGGGGGGATGAATTTAATTCCAGTCGGGACTTTAGGTTGCAATGCACGCAACATTCAAAAAATTGCGCTGATAATGGGGATTCGAGAAGTGTAGTCTTAGCTTGGGCTTCTTCTGACAGCTGAAGTTGCACTATTGTGAAAGTGTACAATTCACAGTTACTGACCAATGGAGTTTCACTTTCCAACAGCTCAAAAATTTACATGTATTCTTCGATAATTTCTAAAACTGCTTTGTTCTTTGTATTTTTTCTTTAAAAGTTCTACTTTCCAGCTAGAAAATTTCAAATATAAAAATCTTCGCTTCTTGAATTTTTCGTTAATATTGTAATGATCATTCACGCACTAGTCTTTTTGATTCACAAACTCAAAAAAATAATTTGAAACGAAAAAGTGCAAAGAACAATAAATTTAAAAAAAATTTAATAAACAATAGGCAGAAAAAGTTGATAAATATTAGTAACCATTGACTATATACTCAGCGTACTGTTGCCAATAGACAGTTACAGCAGAATAAATGAAGTATTTCTCCTATTGTTTGAAAGGATAGACGATTCACGATTGTCACGAAACATAAAACTCATAGCCCAGACAGTATGAAAGCTGCAGAAAAACTTCTAAAAAATTTCAAAACTGTCCAGAAAATTTTCATGGAGGCCTAGAAAATCAAAAAAATCCGCAGAAAACTATTTTGAAAGATTCATGAAAAACTCCATGTTAATTCGAATTAAAGAAGCTTTCTAGAAAGCATTTTGAAAGGTCGCTAAATGGCTTAATATCAAAAACATTTAAGCAGCAAAAAATTTCTGGAACCAACGAACCTTGTTTCTAAATTTTCTGAAAAAATTTTCGATCGTTTCTATAAAACGAAAAAAAGTAAAGGAGGTTATTTCAGTTGAAATAGATTAGATTTAAAAACTTTTAGTTCTATAAGATTTTTAATTGTTGATTCTAATTGAGAAAGAAAAATCGCGAACCTTTTTGGAAAACTTTGGTAAAAAAGAGGTTGTTTGGATGGCCGCCATTTTGAATATTGATGAACTAACGTAGCTTTTAGTATGGACTTGTATTCCATCTGATCAGGAATGGTAGCTCCATCCAATAACGGATTTTGCTGTGGGTTCGAGATTATTTATAAAAAGTAACAATTTTCACTATTTCTCACCTTTTAAATCGCTATCTTTTTTTAACAATAACAGATGCATGTCTAACACCAAATTCAAAAAGAGAAATAAAAATTGATAAGAATGTATTTTTTCGTCTATTTTGATTAACTTTTAATAAAAAAAATTTAGTGGTCGAGAAAATTTAAAATTCTTAAGTCATTTTGGGCCTAAACAGGTTAAATAGCGCATCATTGTGTTGACACAAAGCAGAAAACATAGACTTAAATCGTTTTACCTTCCCTCGTTTTGCAATTAATTACCACTTTTCATGCACACTATTTTCAATATGAACAATTTCGGTCAGTTTGTTTATACAATTTTATTTAATGATTTTATCGTATTTGAAGAGCTGATGTATGTTATACTACTGTCAAGTTTGAAATTGGGCAACAATAGACTTGAAAATTGCAAAAACGGGCCCTCGGGTTTCCATCTTAAAGTGAGATTTTAACATCAGATGAACAAGTCCTTTCCCGTTTCCCTCATAGCCATCATCTGCTAAAAAAGAAATCAAATCTTAATAATACAAGCCCATGGTTTATTATTGAAGATATAGCATCAAATCCATATGGCACTTATGAAACTCATTTACTTTCTCTTTTACATAACAAATTATTTTTTTAATATATATCAATAAATTTTAGATATTTATCTCGACGATGATATCAAATTTCTATATGAGGTAATTACTGTATTAAAAAAAATGTAAATAACTACCAACAATTCAGAATTATTTCCTGCCACATTAGTTAAATAATATTTTCTGTAGCTACAATATATTTATTAGTTTGTATTTGAAAACGGTGATTTGCTCCATTTTCGAATAAAAGCAATTAATGTTTTAATCATTCTTTTCAGTCATTAAAAGTTTTGATGCCTATTCAATGCTTGATTTTTATCTAATATCCTAATGATTTCCGCAATTTACTATCAATTTTTTGGTCAACACTGGATAACACTTCATTTCCGAAGTCGATAAAAATAAATTATACTTTTGGGAGGTATTTAATTTTTCATTTATCGTTTAATTAATTATTATATTTTTTAATAAAAGCTATTATTGATAAAAATTTACTTTAAAAATGATATTCTACAAAGAGTTATTCATTTCTACTCTTAAATAAATTGAAACGCATATGTTTTGAAGCCCTCCGAATGCTAACCATATGTCGACATAATTCATCTTACGTTAGTTTAACATGAAAAAGCTCATACCAAAATTATAACTCTCGGTTGGTTTTAAACGCAATTTAGTATTGATCGATACATTTTTTATCATAATCGAAAAAGATCAATATCTAAAAAAGGTATTAATGAAAATTACGATTTATATAAAATAAGCTAAAATAGGTAGACATGGTCAAAATTACGAAAAAAATATCCAAAGATCGTAGAAATAAGTAATTGCAAATAAAAGATGCGACGATATAATACGTGGGGTGACAAGTGGATGAGCGTGTGGCGAGCTGTACTAGCAGTACAATTTAGCACTATCACAATTGCAGGTTTGAAGAGGACGACGGGTGCAGATGGAAAGCTAATGCGTGGATAAAAACACGGAATCTATTTGACGCTCCACTCAAAGATGACAAAAAACCCTAACACTTGTAAAAATCTGACTCACCGGTCCCACATTAAAAAATCCATTCCGTTTGGCGACTCGGTCGGCGAGGTGTCTACTTATCGGTTGTTTGAGCTTCACCAGGAAGCTGTTGGTAAAGACTTCTCCCGTCACTGGGGATGAAAAATCCACTAACAACAAAAACGTGAAAAAGAAAAATAAACTGCTTGCGAGGGCCTTAGAACGATTTGGACTGTCGACGTCGGTGCTACTGGCGGCTCCAGCAAAAAGTTGGCAGCGGTGACAGGGCGCCACCGCTGACGATGTCAATAGAGCGCAGCGTACGCTCCTCATGCCTGCCCGAAACCGACTGATCTACTGCTCTTCTCTTTTCACCCTTTGTCCGTTTGCCATCTCGAAACGAAGTAGCGAAAGTGAGTGTGTATGTCTGCTCGTTGAGTGTGGGTGTGAGTGTATGCGTGTGAACGAGAGAGAGAGAGAGAGAGAGAGAGAGAGAGAGAGAGAGACGGTGTGACACAGCGAGCAGACGCAGGCAGAGGCTTCGATTATTTTACCCCGATGCGCACGCACACCTGCTCTCTAGTTATGTGAACCGTCCTTTTGCATATGTACCGCAAGCTCGTTAATTGTACGTTAAGCAAGGCTTTTTATCCACTTGATTTGCGACGTAATTGAACCAGCCATATTTTCGTATAATATAATATGATTAATTTTATAAATAAAAAAAATTATTCTTTTCACATCGTTAAATTTTCTCCATGTTACTTTTCATATTATATTCACCATTTTACATTATCGATCGATGTTTCTATTCGCTCAGAGGCAGTCTTGAGAAAAGATGAGTTGCTACGTCATCGATAACTTCAATTGACATTTGACGGTCATTGCGCGCTCTAAATCATAGGATGAAATTTTTTTTCAGTATGTCAAGTCTCAATATCTAAATCTTATGAGAATAGAAACGAGTGTGGTAGGCCTTAATCCAACTATATTTGGAAATACTAACGTCGTTAAGCGATGCTAAAAGGTGTCCTTGAAGCTGCATGACGTACGCATCGGTACGCTTCGTTGGTTGGGCTCGATCATTTCTTCTCGTACATGCAACGCAACCCTACTATTTGAGTTGTATTATAGTTCGAGGATTTTGAATATTACATGTTTTTCGACCAATGAATTGAAACTGTGTGTAACTTAAATTGAATTGTAATTTTCTGTTAAGGGATTAATAAAAAAAAAGTATATTCACGTATAGACTGTCTATAGGGACCCAGTACACAAATCCAGCTGTTTCGGCTTGACCTCAGTTATCATTTACACGGACTTATCTTATTTTACGATATTTTTTGCCGCGTTTGAGGGATATTTTAACATCTACTGATCTTCTCAGTACGTTACTTTTCATAATTTAAAAAGTCATTATGGGTTAACAATATTTTAACCTATATTAAATTTTAGAAACCAAATCATTAAGATAAGTTCAATCATAATAATGTCGAATGAAGTTGAAAATGAATACGTAAAGTAATGTTAATTTCAAATTCAAGATAGTTTTGCACCTTCTGATTTGACAATTACATTAGAACTTCAAACAATGTTTAAAAAGTACAAAAACTATGAAAACGAATTCCCAGACCGATTTTAAATGCAATTGTAATTAATGTTTCAATTTTATTTGATCTTGACTTTGATAGTTTATCCAATTATATATTTTTTTCGAAATTTCTTAATCCTTCGAAATTATAACTAATTTTGGGCATATTATGTTTAGCATTGGAAAAACCCTATAATTTTGAGGCAATAAAATATTTCATTTTAATTGTAGATTAGAGCATTTTTTAAATAAACATTTTACTAGCAATTCGAATGTCTAGTTCTTTAAGTTTATTGTATAATTATGAGAGATCCCCTGTATTTGACTAACTTCTGTCTTCTTCATCTCGCTCACAACAGTGACGTCAGGTGTTTTCCATCGATCCACCACTTCTCCTGCCTGAGAGTGTATTTGTTACTGATCGCAACTGATACTGTACATACAAATATATATTTACTTACGTACATATATTGCTCCAACTTGGTATAAGAATTCAACTTGATAAACATATAATGAAAAAATTTGCGCCTGCGCGTGCTGCGATCCCTGCTTCTATAGAAAGAATAAAAATACATGTATACAGTTGTTGCCCGTTGTACTTTCCTGAAAAGTGTCGCTATTATAAAAACTACTTATACTGAGACCCTATTGTCATAACAAATAAAGATATACTTTGTCAATGAATAATAAGTCTTACAAATCTTACCAAAAAATTGTAACATAAAATAATATATTATCATACCAGTGGCCTGAAAGCGATTACTTCCCGGCCGCTGCGCAAAGCGGGAAAAGCGATTTTCGGGCCACTGGCTATGAAAAATAGCATACAGGCCTTGGCCGTGAATAAAGAAAACCTTAGAGCTTGTATTCAACTAATTACGCGTACTCAGTGACTTTTCTGTTTTTTGCGGTCTCGGGCAGTTACATACTATTTTCAAGTTTCAGCGATAATTTTAGGCTCTCGTAGGAAAAAATAGTATCATCAACTGGTGCAGGTATGGTTTTTTAACAAAACTCGTTACAGCACTCGCCTTCGCAGCCTCGTACTATAATCCCTCGTTTTGCTAAAAAAACCATAGCGGCACCCGTTGAGAAATATACTATTCAAGTTATTTTTATATATACTGAATCAAAAATAAAAAATAATAAAAATCAACCATTCATTTTCGATACATCGATTTTTTTAATGATTATTCATTGTTAATTCAATTATTACCAAAGTTTAATTATCTTTAACTTACTGTTAAAATAACATCTGTTGAAGATTTGAAATACTTACTCAAATTCATAACAAACAAAGAGTTCGATTGTATTATTAAAATAAGATGAAACATGTGATATAATGACTTCGTTGAAAACATGGAAGTGAAAAAACCATTTTTTTTGTTTCCAAAAATTCATAATTATTCAATAAATTTCGATTTCTAATTTATGAAAACGCTGAACTCTTACTTTCAACCTCATTTATTATCCAGATCCAATGATTACAGTCTGTCCTCAAGGCAGTACTTATGTAACGACATTAAAATTTTTATTAATAAAAGTATGACAGAGAAACAATAACGTTGATAAATAATTAATAAAATATGTTAGATGTTCGAGAACAATTTTACTAGCGTCTCTGATGATTAATAAATAAAAAATTTTAGCGTACCCATGCATTACAGTTATGCCATGATATTTTTGTTAGAGTGGGCTCTATCGTAGCATTCAACACTATTATAATACAACCATTGATTCACCAAAATTCTTCTGCATACGATAGAATTTTGATCGAAAGTCAAAAATTGAAAAGGTCATCGTTAAAATTTTAATTTGGTAAAAGAAATATACATCTTAAATCCAGTAAAATTGTTGAAATATTTTTAGCCCTCACTTATTAACTGATACTTCATTTTTAATTATTTGGCTGATCTGAAGAACATGTGTAATTTGATTTTTCACATCATGTGCATATGTTTATAATACCATAATTCAGTAATAAACGATTTATAATTACGTTCCAGTTGTCCATTCAACAAAACAAACGTAAATAAATTTGTTGATTTTGTGTATAATATTTTACAACCAGTGCACCTGACGAAAACACATATAAAATATTACATTTAATACTTTATGAATAAATTCTATTATCAATTCTACAGCAACTTAAGTTTTTCTTAATTTTTATTCTGAAATAATTATTTTTTTGTACCTTGGATCTCAGCAAGTTTATGCTCCTCGGAACTATATTTCAAACATAAAATTAAAAAATATATCTAACTTTGCTTACCTCACTTAAATCCATACTTTCATTATCACTAAAGTTCGAATAATTTTAATTTTACAATGCTCAGTAGCAAAGAAACTCATTAAATTAATTTATTTCACAACTTCATTTTATATATCACTTAAATTTTAAGATTCGCTTCATTATCATGATTAAATATGCGTGAAGTATAATCAGCTCGTCAAATTTGTACTATAATAACTTGCAACAAAATATTTTTATAACATGTATGCATTTCATTTTTACAATAAAAACAGCAAAGTTTAGTGAATAGAATATATATCATCCAATAAACTGTATATTATAACATTTAATTAATAGATTAAATTTTATTAGTTCAAAATGTCGATTACTGTTTTTTTTTCATCTTGAAAAGGGGTGGGAACATATAGAGTTTTTTTGTCATTATAAGTGTGACGACTAGATCAATAACATCAACTATACAATTATTGCTATGGAAGCAGTACGGTGTTTCAAGATAGCTGTGAATCCCAATAAATAAGGCGTGCGTGATCTTGTACTACTGTATTGTCGCAGAACAAACCGATAAAATGATCCTTAATTCGTTTTTATCTCATGTCTGAAGCCCTTTATTTTTATTTTTAATTTTAGTATAAAAAATATTTTCTGCGTAATTAATAACCATATAATATAGATAGTTGATATGAAATTCAATTACATCTATTTTTCATTTAATTTCACAGTATAATTAAAAATAAAATAAACTCGTTTAGTTGGCGCGAGTGTTGATTTTTATGAAAATTATTATTTATTTCAATATTTGAGACAAATAATTTCAAGAATTTAAGATGATGTTCTCTGTATGAAAACTCATAATCACATCAAATTGAAACACAGTTTGTATCGTTTTTCAAACAAGTTTTCTATAATTCCGAACAAAAATTGTTACATAAAAACCTGTGCGTTGTTGTACTTTATGTAGGATAGTAAAAAAAATACTTTTCAAGAATTAAATAATACATGCTAGTAAGTTGAAAAACTTATAGATTTACCATACCCTGAACATAGCAATTTTTCAAGCATATTATTCCCGCCTTGGTGTAATTGAAAAAATGAATGACAAAGTTTTTATCAATACTAGTACGCACGATATGTTCAAAAGAATTCACAACTGATTCTGAAGTAGCGCGCGACTCACAACACATGTTTTAAATAGATATCTCATACATTTTTTATTATTTTTATGTAATATACTCTTGTTACTATTTCATTACTGTTATATACATAATCAACAACTATCAATAACTTAAACAGTTTTATTTTTCTTAAAAGTACGTCATTCTGCCTCAACTTATTTTTACATGTCACATCAGAATTAAAATCATTTTTCCCCTATTTTACGATGTTATCCAACTAACTAAATACATTTTTAAATAAAACTTTTAAACAAATGGCATCTTCTTTACTATCACACGTGACTTATACGACAAATTCATTTTTAGTAATTTTAGTTTTACTGACGCTCGATTACGAGTCGATTATTGTCAATGCATTCCGAGTAGCGTTACAGCTTAGGTCTTCTTGAACGCATTTTTTCCGTCTTTTGATAGACTCTGCAAGCCCAGTTTAATTCATTTTTTTACATGACGAAATACATCGATAACACCATGATGGTAATTATTATTAATATTGATAATAATAATAATAATAATAATATTTTATTAATAAGACCTTATACATTTTACAGTTGAAAATAACGATTTTTCATCCAATCTCAATTAAAAAAAATTTTTTCTCATGGTGGTAACATGAAAAATTCTGGAAACGTATGTTCTTTTTTCATGATTTCAAGTATAAAACTTATCATGTACTCTTGCTTTTACTAATACATTTTTTCCCTCATCAAATCGAAATTTTTAACTGCGTCAGTACTTCTCCACGTTATCAAAATATCTGAATAGATTAACGTATTTTTGTATTTATAACAAACATTATTTTAAATATTCAACATTTTTTTAACTTATATAATTTAAGTGATTCATCAAAAAAATGCAAATTGCAGTTTTCACTCAATATGCCGTGCACATAACTTATTGACTCCAATAATAATAATAAATGGAATTGTTAACCCTGGTCAACAGATTGATAAGTTAAGTGTTGATATTTTATTTTATTCATTACATTTTTTAATACCCGAGTAAACTCGGTAAAGTACATAGTATTCTCATTTGAACTATATTGTTTAAATCATGTCTGCAACCATTTTTCAACTATACTACCATTTATAAATTATTCAAATTCTTTAAATTTATCTACTTACAATAATAAAATCTTTTTCCTTCTCTTTTGAATTTTTATGCATTCGTAGTAGGTAAGTGTGATGCACTTATTAATTTAAGTGTATAGCCACGGTGTACGTATAACAGAGTCTGTGAATAAGTAAGAAAAAATCTAGGAAGCGAACTTAGTACTTTTTGTATCATTTATAGTTATTAAAATAAAAATAATTAAAGATTACATGCTTCGTATTCACGTGAAAGAGTCAGTTATTCATTATAAATATAAATATGTTATATATGGTTCATTAACTGTTATTTTTCTTCAAATTATTACGCATTAGAGTATACATGTGTAATTGAATTGAACCTTTATCAATTTAAAGGCATTTGCTCATTATTTTATCATAGATCAGATGAACTATTTTTATTAATTGTTTTAAAAGAGCATAATAGTTTTACCATGTATAATATATATTTTAGTATCATACACATGTAAACCGACGAAAAAAAACTAAATATGAAGTTCGATAGAAGGAGTATGAAATATTTTTCTGAATCGGCACGAGTATTTTCTCATCGTTCTCTAATTACGTTCTTGACTCCAAAGATACGATTGCAGTTTATACTATGCAATAGAATATATATTTGTCATTCACGCTCCTAAGGTATCTGAGTCGAATATTGCCTATGCTGTTACAGTTATATGGAGCTACCTTTGACATAAATATCCTGGATTCAAGATATTTTCTTTTGGTGATTCTGTGTCATTTTTACATAGACCTGGGACTGCAATTATTTCATCTGCTACAATAAATAGCAACAGTACTGATGGTTTATAAGAACCGATAGTGGGCATCGGTGAGTTTTTTGCCAGTCGAATCGGTATCTTCCGAAAAGAAGTAATTCAGCGGCCAAGCCGGCGTCTTCGAGATTGTCTTTCTCATAGTTGATACCACTTTTTGTCTTTGTACTTGAGCATGAGCGAATGTGCAGATGAAGCAAAATTTTCCGATTCATTCATCATCCGCCCTGTGCGCTCTTCAAGTTGAGACAGTTTATCACCCCGCTCGACGACCATTTGATGTGCCATAGCCACCTGAAAACAGAGTAATAAATGCTCCTTAATAACCATAAAATATTTTTATAGCACTGCGTGGCATAAGTTCACATTTATGGCACGCTTTTCGATGGCATACATGTGAACTTGGCACAGTGCTATAAAATGTTGTACGATACTAGTGGCATAAGTAACACTTTTTGGCACGGTGTAGTTTATGGCCCGAGCGCAGCGAGGGTCCTAATAGCTGGGCCGAAAAGTGTCCCCTATGTCACGAGTATCGTAAAGTACTATTATTTTTGCAGGTGCTTAAAACACACCTCACTAGTTGCTGTCTGAGCTCGTTCTCTGAGTGCGTCCGTACCAGCATTAGGTCCTGGAATGCGATTTGCTACTGTTCTCAATGCTTTGCCGCTTGCTTCCCCGACTAAAAAAAATGATAGTTATGCATACACAAAAGCTCAAGATAACAATTGCTCAGTATAGGATTTGGTATAATATAATCGAATAACAATCAATCATATTTATCGTTTCACATTTTACTTGACAAGTGTAGATATATTTTTTACTAATGTATTGTATAGCACATTAAAATTAGTAATCACTCAGCTATCAGCAGAGTTTTGCTTATATCTGACTTAACCCATTAAGTCCCAAGAGGACGTTTTTTCAACACTTTACTCGGCTACTGTATTTTTGGTGAAAATGGGGTCGAAAAAATATGCGAGTAACTAATTCTTGTGTAAAATTTAATGCCCTTTCAGATTCTGATTTCAGATTTTTGAAAAAAATCATCAGTTCAAAAGTTAAATTTGATTTTATCGACAAAAACGTGATTTTGAAAAAAGAATTTTTTTTATTTTTCGAATTTCCAAATGGAAATCATTTGATATCTCAAGGGTTTTGTGCAAATATCGCGTCCTCAATATCTAAACTGAAAGTTAGCGGGGTTCTGATTGAAAAAATGAAGGAAAACTTTTAGAATTCTTCTCAAAAACGAAGGGCTCGAGAAAAAAGTGTATTTTTTAACTTTATTTTCTTCAATCTAAACCCCAGTAACTTTTAGTTTAGATATCGACAAAGCGATATTTGTACGAAACCCCTGAGATTTCAAATAGTTTCCAGAAATTCGAAAAATAAAAAAATTTTTTTTTAAATCATGTTTTTTTTTTATCAAATCAAGTTAAACTTGTGACCTGATCATTATTTTGAAAATCTAAAATCAGATTTTGAAAGGACATTAAATTTTACATTAGAATTAGTTACTCTCGTATTTTTTTTACCCCATTTTCACCAAAAAAACAGTGAGCGAATAAAGTGTTGGAAAAACGTAATTGGGACTAAATGGGTTAATACTAATGTCTGACTAAACCAGATTTGACTACTTATTTGCCTATATTCTTCTTTCATCAGTGAACCAACTTAATTATGATTTTTGCTTAATTATGATTGATATCTATCCAGAAATTGCGGTTTCAGTAGCCCGAAGTTCGTTAAAAAAACTCGTCTGGTTCCATCTAAAGAAAAAAATGACCATAGTAGACCCCCTGGCTCATGGACTACGTAGCATAGTATGTAATTAATTATGAAAAATCAATGATAAAAAATCATAGTCAACAATTATATTTTAGTTGGTTAATAGATCAAAGAAGAATGTAGGTAAATAAGTAGTCAAATCTGTTTTAGTCAAACATTAGTATAGCTGAGTGATAGCTGAGGCTCTTCTGCAATCTAAATTATATTATATTACTAATTTTAATGTGCTATACAATATATTAGTCAATTTCTATTAATGCTACTGTACTTTAAGCACTCCACTTGAAAGTTTTTTATCCAATTGGGTACTTAAAAACCGTTAAATGCATTGATATGAGCAATCATAAAAAAGTTAATGATATAAAATTAAAAATACTGTTATTATGCATATGGCCGATTCTCTGTGAAGTCGAATGGCCAAATTATTTTTTTTCTGCAAATATGAAAAACATGTTGTATTTGATGTCAGATTTGTCGTGGAATAGCCCAACATTAAGAAATAATGAAAAGGAAAAATAATTACGAAAGTAATTATACCCTAATAGATCTGGAAAACCATGAAGCTACCTATTCTCAGACCCGATTCTTTTAACGTAAAAACACTTCCAAAATCCAGTGACACCTGTTCAAATAACTTTTTTGAATTTTTTAGAAAGTGAAACATACATTCATATTATTCTTTTTCTAATTCCGTCAGTTTCGTCAAGTTACGGCAATTTTTTTGTAACTACCTACTGAGAAACTCCTAATGTTTCTGCTAGTTCACGTTAGGTGCCCTTTTTAAGTAAGTCAAACCTTCAATAAATTTCTTTTTCTGTACCTTACTTAAATCCTTCCTCGCTATGGTAAAATTTAACTTTTATTTATGTTTGCTTGGTGATATTTCACTAACTTTTATTTTTTTATTTTATGAAAATTATTTTATAAAAATTGGCATTAAAATAGAAAGTAATACTTTTGATAAAGTTAGTAAACTTACAAAGTTCTTCACGATCAACTGTACGAGCACCTCCACCAAACAGACCTTTGAAGAAACCTTCTTTAGGTGGTTCTGGCATGTCCTGACCAATAAACAGATCACCCATCATTTCGGTCAATTCTGAACTGTAAAGTTATTCATTAGAATTTAAGTAATGTAAATGTATGTAAAGGTACGGGAAACAAGGATATGGTATAAGGATACAATTTTTTGAGGCGATGTACATTGCGACTCAAAAATGTATGAATCGATCTTTTGAAAATTCCGCATGCTTTTTTACATTGCTTTAGTAGGAAAATACGTCGAGATATTTTATCTCTTTGCAATTTGTTTTTATTAAAAATTTTTTTGATTAGCAAACATACGTTTTTTGACTTTAAGCTCGCACCAAACGTTTATAAATCAAGGAAATTGAAAAAATTAGACGTTGATACTTCAATAATAGTTTTAGTTTAAAAAAGTTATTTTTTAATTTGTTTAAGATGGTCCTTTCATAAGTTATCGATTGCCCCGTGTAATCAGAGCATGTTAATTTATGCTGTTTACTTATTTTTTGGAAAATTTTAAACTGATTACTCTCGAAATGTTCTTCTTTAGTATAACACCGATAACGCATCTTCACCTGTTTGCAAGAAAAAAAAGGCAAAATTATGCTAAACTAATAAAGAGTTTTAACATCCCCTTAAAAATAATACATTTTTATTATAATTACACAGGCACAAAAGAAAATTAAAAAGTTTAAATCCAAGGTAAGATGACCTCTACGACCTCACCTATAAGGTTATTTGAGATCAAACTTAGAGAATACACTATAAAAATACGAAAAAAACACATACATGATTCATCTTTGGTATCACCTTGAAAAAATAACAAAAGGCTCATTCAGTAAAATTGTTTGCTCTTTTTTAATCTTCAAAAAAAATCTGAGTTCTTTCCAAAAAATTAATTATTGGTTCGCTATAGCTTTAAGGTTGTATTGAAGGTCAAATCTATGGTCAACATTTAATTCCCCATCAAAAAATATGTCAGATGTGGTATGTTAATTTTTTCACACCCTCATCTGCGAGATTCCAAAAAAGCATAAACATACACCTTTTCATTTTTTCTCCATTTTTTCTTATTTGGACCTTCAAATCACCTAAAAATCGCCGAACCCAGAAAAACCGGTCTTGGATTCGGATTCAGCGACCTCAAAAAAATAAAATAAAGTAGGTCCAGTATTTGGAACTGAACTTTTTAATTTTTTGTGTGCCTGTGTTATTAACATTTTAATTATTAATATTATTATAATAAGTAAGCATAAAATCTCACCAAAATTCACTGGAAACTGTAAATTTCTGGATTTCTGACGGTGATGATAGATACAATGCATGGCCCTTATTACTGAAGCACAAGGTTCTTGCTATTCTAAAAACGCAAAATCATTGTAAATATTTATGACGTATACGGATTCATTGATCTATTTTTTTTTCTAAGACTGAAGTGTATTTTTAAATTCCCTTGGTATAAACTTCATATAACTATCTAATTCAAATTTTTTAAAAACCATTAATATATTCCAAGATTTTCATTATCACTATCATAAAAAAAAAATAAAGGTACGTATACATGAAGAGAAGGCCTATCTTAAAAATTACCATGTTCGTAACGAAAAGTTGTAAAGAATCAAGCTATGGTGGATTTCTGTTATAATAATGTAACTATTTTCAAGATAGTTCAACAATTTTTGTCGTAAAGAGTATTATAAATTTCTATATTTTACAACAAAAAATCACAATCGTTTAACTCAACACAACTTTTCTCAGCACACATCACAATTTTCAATAGGTCACCTTTCCGCGTAATAGATATTTTAAATTTATTTTGGATAAAAAATAAAAAGCTCACGTAGACAGCAAAAATTTTTGTGCAACAGAAAAGTGTTCAATAAAACGTAGAAATAAATATTTAAGTGACTCTGTATATGATGATATAAGTAAGATGGAATGAGAAAAATTTTGATTTTAGGGTTAATAGTCGATGATTTGGCGGGTTGAACAGACGTGGTGAAATGTTTTAGCTACTGTGATTCATACTCTTTTTCTAAAAATTATTTATATACGTGTAACAATAAGTTTATACTTTATTATATATATTAATGTATTATATAAGTTAATGAATTCTTAATAGACGACTTACTGATCCGTATTGCCATTTACAAAGAGTTGATGACCCCATATGGACAACATAGGGTCTACTATTCCGTGTTTAGTTGTCTGAAAACTGTTGGAGATTATACAGAAAGGAGATAGTTAATAAAAACAATGACTCGAAGTCACTACTTTAAATACATTTAATACAACTTTCTGTAAGGTCACATTGCTATCGCGGCCAAAAATCGAGAAAGCTGATATGGATTCCAAATTGACTATTGCAACGGGTTTTTCTTTGGTCGTATATTTTTACATTTTCGAGTCTAGTCACAGTTGTATACGATTTTTCAATCATGAAATATGTTAGATGTTAAATTATTTTTTACGATAACTCAACTCTACATAACTGAATTCAGTTAAACTTCTCTACAATTATGCTTCAAACGTTTTAATAACTTAAGGCTTTCAAAAATGTATAATGGAAACTGTAATCGTGAAACTGATGACACTTGTTATTTTTAATAATTTCAATAGTAGATGAGAGTTTATTTGATATGAAGTATTGTAATTTCTGAGTCGCAGAAAAAGAGAGCCGTGCCAAAAGTGCGTTATATTGAAAGAAAAAAAACATCCACTTATTCATGCCTCGAGTTTTCCTATAAAAGATATTTGTGGTTGTTTAAAGTGATTTTTGTTAGAGAGATGAATATTTTCAGTTGCATACTAAATCTTGAAATTCATTTGATCCAATCTCTTCAAGATATTTTACAAATGAACAAATGCAGTTAATGAAGCTTTTTCAATTGATGGTTAATTTATATTATGGGATGCACATTTTTTTTGATAGTTTGAAAATAACATATTTCAAATGCAATTTTAATTAAAAATCATTATTTTTTGAGCATATTGATTTAGGATCAATGTAATAATTTTTTTTTAATTAAATAGTAGTGCGTAATTTTAGAATGCAAAGATTATTTAATTGAAATGCTCGTAATGAACTGTGATGTTTTCATGTTACTTAAGTGCTCAAATAGTGATTTTAAATAACTACTATAAAAAACAAATTGATATAATAAGTTAGCTAACATTCATTTGTGTAGGATTACAAAAGTAAAGAAGCAATTCAGTCCGAAAATTGGCTACAGGTGAAGCATGTCATTCGAGGTTCAAAAGATAACTTAGTGCTTTTGTTCATTTTTTGGTGTACAGTATCGACTTTTCTATTTTATGAAGCGATCGAAATCATCGCTTCGAAAATCATCTTATCGGAGCGAAAAAAATCTTGAATACCCATTTTCTATGTAACATTTAATGTACTTTTTGAAAATGAGTTATAAACTTTATATTATAAAAAATTTATATTATAAAGAGTTATAAATTTTATATGATAAAAAATATAAAAAAAGTTATAAACAATTTACTGCGAAAAAACACGATTTTCAATCCTGAAAAAAAATAATTCTAATTTTTTTTATGAAAGAGACTTAACAATTTTCCAAAAAAATTTACCAAAAAATGTACTTTTTTGCTCAAAATGTTCTTATTCCACAATTTTGGGTATTACTGGCCACAGTTTAAGTTTCTTTCATCTAATCAAAGTTTTTTTCAGGATTCAAAATCGTGTTTTTTCGCAGTAAATTGTTTACAACTTTTTTAATATTTATCACAGGTTAATTATAAACTTATATTCAAAATGTACATTAAATTTTATACAGAAAATGGGTACTCAAGAATTTTTTTCGTTCCAATAAGATGATTTAATTGCAGACTACAATAGAGAAAGAAGTTCTTCTCATCTGGGCGTTAACGGATTAAAGTAATATTGGTGCCAAAAATCGCTTGCTACTCTAGAAAAAAATCGATTCTGCATACCAAAAAATAAATATAAATACTTGGTTGCCTTCCGAATTGCATACACGGCCCATTGTTAAAATTCGGACTATTTTACAAAAAAATTACGAGAATAATATTGTTTTATTTTTTCTCATTTTATTACCATTAATTTTGATATCTGCACAAAAAGTGCGTAAATTAAATATATTAAAAATGTGGTAACATAAATGTAGTTTTTCATGTATTAATCATTTAATTAAAATTTAATCGAATAAAGTTATTCAAAACTTATTTAATTAAAAGTAAAGCATCAATGAGCTGCAATAAAAATTGAGTGCCATTAAATAGCCAGATAGCGTGTACGTTAATTAGATAATACATAGTATCCGTATAGATAAAATTTATCAAAACACTTATTTTTAAATCACAAGTGTACTTAAATAACTGTTTTTTTTATTCTTACCTCAAATCGGATACTGGAACCAAATCAACATCTATTAATGGCCTCAAACTCGGTAAACTGTACGTGCAAATGTGACCATTTGAGGCGTAACAAACCAAACAAACACTATCTGGAAAATAAAATAAATTTTCTTAAGACTCGGTTATTAATTATTACAAATGATCAAGGAAGAAGAATTCAGTCTAAGATACGGTACCTTTAAGGGATGTAATTTCCGCCTTAATTACGGTATTACTGTCAGCCAATTGTTGTTTGTAGACACAGTTTTGAGATGGAAGAGCTACGACTCTAGCTTGTTTTTCAGATGTTAGCACAACGAATTGTCTATCCTCGTATCCATCAGTTCCTGAACCTTGAGAATTAATAGAAGGTGACATTCTTGTACTCGAAAGTTTTCCCTGGTTTTCTGTAAATTTTATTTAATCTTCAGTTAAATTTTTTGACGAGTAAATACTTTATATTAATATTGTAATTAATTAACTATACGAGTAATGTTAATATAAATTGAATAATTAAAACGTACTGCGATCTTTAGCATCGCTGTTTTCATCTTTCCAAGATTCGTAAGAATATGGTATAAGGGCTCCATTGCAGTCCAAAAAAGATATCGTTAACATACATCCTTTCAGTTTAAATGAAGAAGCATCTGCAAATAAAATATATCAATCATAATATTAAATAGCACATATGTTGATTAATCATTTTTAAAATTAATTGAACAAGTACTTACTACAACTAGAAATAATCACAGGCTGAGAGTTTCTGTCACCAGAGGCAGGTGTGTTAAATACAATAGTTTGTACGAAACCTGAAGAAGTGCCAATCCATAAAGTCGGTAAGGCATTGGAATCTGTACGTAAGAAAATTAAATGTACACCTGTTGATAAAAGTGAACGTAATAATGAAGCACAAAACTTACCGCTCTTTTTCGTATAGGAATCGGCGAAAGTAAGGCAGCTGACGGTTTCAGTGGCAATGTTTTCAAGTGAGGACATACTCGAACTACGTGATCGTTGAAATGAACTGTCGATTTTGTCTATTCGGCCAGCATTTGGAAATAAATTTATCAATTATTTTACGAAGCTTGAAAGTTTAATGAATGGTTTTTGAGCGATGAAAATATTTCTACAATATAGAGCATGCAATGAGAGAAATTTGAGATGTAATTTTTTGAAAAGTACACTTTACTGAAGTTTTTAGTCATAACATAGTAACTAAAATAGTAGCAACAACTTCAACAACACATATGACCGATAAAAATAAATATTTGAAATGTGTTTAAGAAATTTATGTGAACAACCGTTTATATTTTATTAATAAAAAATATTACAGTAGCATGAACAATATATACCAGTAGTCCATTAACATTTACAACAAACATTTCAAGAAATATAATTTTTAATATTTATCCGTATCGAGGTTTTTTCACACTAAAGAATAGTCATCACGGTTTTTGATTCACTTATATATTATTTTACTTATATTATGCAATTTTACACACTAGCATATACTTATGCATACATACGCATCTGTTTTACTCACACTTGTACTCAAAGTACAGTGTGAGTACACGCATACGTATGTGTGTGTTACGTGCGTAAAAAGTGAACTAATTGAATGAGCTTCCAATGATCCTATGCAGTACGTTTGCTAGCAATGACGTTACATTTATTTAATTGCCAATTAATAAATACCCAGTACCATACAACTTCACGTGATAATTTTGAAAATAATTAAATTGTCGTCATTATAGTTACACTAGTAAAGCCTGAAAAGTTTGCCTATGCAATAAAATATATATTAGGAGATGTTCAATGAACTTGTAATATTAAAAAAATGGCTGCAAAAATGAGTACCGAGAAGCTCAATCGATTTTTATAAAACGAGTAGAACGAAACGATATGTCTTCAAATTATTTTCAAATCTATACTTATGACTTGACTTATAATCACAGCAGTTTGGAATTACGATAAAATACAACTCTGGAACGGTTTGAAATATGAATCAAATATTAAAGCAGTTTGTTTGAGGCAGTGTAAGCAGATATAAGAAGTTGCTAAAAGAGACAAAGAGTGCCTCATCAATGTGCAATTTGAATCAGTAGAAAATCAGAAAATCTCTTGAGAAGGTGGCTTTAGTTGAGTATAAAGGGGTGCACAGCTTATTACAGAACACAATAGCGGATGTGTTTTTTCTACCTGGTTTCTAATACTTTCACTACCAATAGAATATACACAACTCCACATGGTGATCTAATGACGGAAATTTATGATAACCCCGAATAAAAAGATTACTCGTATAGATGTAAGGGTAGATAGAAAAAACCTTATCTTTTAATAAAATGAGTCTTAAAAAATGAGCTTGAGAGCGAGTGCACGCGGGAGAATCCTGCTATTGATCATACTAGATCATTTTTATATATTTTTATTATTTCTGTTTACATTTTTCAGTTTTAATTCACATACTAGTTAAAATAGCGCTACTCTGATCTATCATAACTCACCATTAAGGGGGGGGGGTATGGTCCTGACCTCGAAAAATTTTGATTTTTTTTATATTGTTTTATTTGATTGTTTATACTTTCAAGAGTATTCTGTGAAAATTTCAGACCAATCTGAGTAAAATTGACGAAAATATTGAACTTTGAATTCGATTATTATATGCCATCTGTGGCATTTCACGTCAATTCATTTTGTTCAGAAAATTCGTTATAAATAAAAAAATTTTCGGAAAAATCGAAATATCTCTACGTCCGTACCTGCTCAAAGGGTTTATAAAGAACTGTGCAAATTTTTAAAAGGATCGGTTGAATACTTTTTGAGTGACGTTCCTCACCGATTTGAAAAAACATTTTTCAAATCGGTGAGGAACGTCACTCAAAAAGTATTCAACCGATCCTTTTGAAAATTTGCACAGTTCTTTATAAACCCTTTGAGCAGGGGCTTACATTTTTCTTAAATTATAAGATCCAGCATTTCAAAGAATACTAAAACAAGATTAAAACTTGATATTTTTCAAAAAATTTTTTGATTTATCAGGTAAAAAATGGTCACGAGATACGTGTTATAGAACAAGTAACAATCATGCTTAAAATAAATTATAATTAGCTTAATTAAATCGAATACTTCAATTAGAAATAATTAAAGTTTCTCTATAATCTTTCTCTTTTAAAAAAGCTATAAACTATGGCTTTTTGAGATTTTCTTATGAAGCTTTACTAAAAAAGAGCTACGTGGGGTTTGAAAAAATATTCAGCGAAAATATCAAAAAATTTGTTTGAAAAAAAAATCATCTTAGTTTGACTTCGGTACCCCTTCTCTGACTAATATTGAATATATATCAAAGATATTTATCATTTCTAAAGTTTATTCAACTGTTTGTTGTTTTTCAAGAAAAGTTACCGCAAAATTGAATTGATAGGCATGAGTTCAAATTTTACCGACAGTTGGTCAAATTTCTCTTTAAAATGTTCAGAAATGAGAACTAGTTAAGCGTTTGTAGTACATTACGTGACAAGTGTGTTTATCTGGCAACGTATAATATACATTATACTAGACGTTTAAGACGCGCTTCGCGCGCGTCAATTTTGTCATTCGTATTTTGAGGTTATAACTTTCAGGCGCGCTTCGCGCGCGTACATTTTTCAGTCAGTTTCGAAAAAGTTGCTATTTTGACCGTAGATGTCACTTTACTACGTTTCCACTCGAGTCAAAAGTCAGTCGACCAATCAGAGGGCGAATAGATTGGCTTCACTTTTAGGTCCATCTCTTTTTTATAAGTTAGATATAACTTTCAGGCGCGCTTCGCGCGCGTACATTTTTCAGTCAGTTTCGAAAAAGTTGCTATTTTGACCGTAGATGTCACTTTACTACGTTTCCACTCGAGTCAAAAGTCAGTCGACCAATCAGAGGGCGAATAGATTGGCTTCACTTTTAGGTCCATCTCTTTTTTATAAGTTAGATATTATACATTAAAGTTCAATTCAATCGGTTTGTGGGTAAAAACAGTTTTTTAGTGTAGGAGGGTCAACTTTAGTTGCAAAATATAACAAAAATTATGGGATAATTCTGAATCCTCTGAGAACTCTTTGAAATGGTCGCGCGTGACCTTACTACACCGAAAAGATTTCCGCAGACGCGAACGAATTAATCAATATACACCGGTTGTTATTTCTCAAGTTGTTCCGATCTTCACTCCAGATTTTGATTCTGGCTCCTAGGGTGTAAAAACTGAGAAAAACACGTATATGAGTCCAAAAAGTGTTAGTTAATACGTGCCGCAACTCTAAAAACCGAAATCGATTTTCAAAAAAGTTTGTAAAAAATTTTGGAAATACTTTTTGAGAACTTTTAAAAACAAAGTCTTTGAAAATGTTCGGCTTTTAGAGTGGCGGCACGTGTTAACTATTGCCTGTTGGACTCATATACGTATTTTTCTTAGTTTTTTAGGAACCAGAATCAACGTTTGGAGCGAAGATCGGAACCACTTGGGAAATAATTTACACATATGACCGGTTATAATTACTCTGTTCAACATTTTTTTCGTGTATCTGACATGATGAACAAATTGTTTGATACGGCACAAATGTCTCAGAATACCGATAGAATTTTTAGAATTCGCTTCACTCAGATGAATTTTTCCTGTAAACAAAAAATTTAATTGAACATTAAAAAAATTTAGCAGGTAGAGGTTGACAGTCTAAGCTTCCTCTGAAAACTCTGGGAATATGTTGGAGATGAAAGTTTGGATCATACTTGATTATATTTTCAATTTCATAGTGCTATGGATAGTAGCAAGGGATAAATATGCTAATATTACTTTGGAAAATTTTTTTTAAGATTGAAAAATTAAAACTGTTAGACATTTTTTCTCTAAAAAGTCGATCGAAAAAATTCTATCGAAATTTTGAGGCATCTGTGTCATATTAAACAATGTGTTCATCGTGTGTCAGATATATGAAAAAACTTTTGAACCGTGGTGATGTATCAGAAAATAAACTCGAAACCAAGTTTGTACTCTCAACGGCTTGACTGATATTTCAATTAAATGTTCCTTTGTACAACCTCATTTTTTCATAGGACTGATGTAGTGAAATTAAAGTTTCAACACGTAATAAAGCGAGTTATTATTCCATAAACCTACATTATATGCGGTACTAAATTTCGATTTGACTTGTTTCAAATTGTAGGAGCAAATAATTTTAATTCAACGATAAATTAATTAAAGTTAATTATATGTAAAGCTATTAGTCAATTATCGCAAAAAGACTCAACTTTCATGATTAAGAATGTGCATTGAAAAGAGATGTTAAACAGCCCAAAAGTAATGATAGACATGAAACATATTTTCAGTGAGGGTATTTTAATTTTATTACCAAAATCATAATATGGTTGTAAACGTTATATGCAATGACATCATTAAATTATATTATTTTTATAAGAGTATAGTTAATGATAAAGTGATGTAAATAGAAGACCACAGTAGTGATAGGATAATATAACAATAGCTGTGAACAGTAGTTAGAATAGAGTGAACTAGTTCATATATAGTGAAGAGTATTGATTACACCAATTATTATGATAACAGTTGCGCGTGATGTATATTAAAGTAACCGTATTAACAGCTTTTATATATTTATAAATAAAGAAGTGAAGATAGTAGTATAGTTGTAGAATTCGAGGTATGCATATTTATATAATATATGTAGGTATGCAATAACATAACGATCGTTGGAGCTAATATATAGGCAGGTTTTTTATTTATAATACTACCGAAGCTGCTATACTGTCTGGTGTTGGTGAGAATATATGGAGAAGTAGTCAGAGAAGCCTGGGAGTAGGCAGTAGCCGTGTAGCCGCGAACGTCAACGCTGCGCTGAGCATGGAATGGAAAGCCTCCGGGAGAGGAGCCGCTTTCGCTGCCACCGCCCTCGTAGTGGCTGACGGAGGTGCTTAAGCACTTCTGCAACTTTCTAATACCTTGGGCGCGAACCCCAGTGGCGGTAACGGAAGCTCCAGCATGGCCGGAAGCGTACCGAGATCCGCTTGCAGCGCTCGCCGAAGTGTCCGATCTCCGAAAAAGAGAACTTCGCTGGGAGTGCTCGTGCGGGCTCTTCTGAGGTTCGGACGCGCACGCTTGATCGGTATTGCTGTCGCGCTCGACGGCAGTAGCCGTCGTGCAATCTTCTCCAGCGGTGGTGCTACCGCTGCCTTCAACCATTTCTGAGCCTTCTGAGCTGGCCCCAGTGGCCAACGATTCGACACCGCCGCCGCCACTGTTGCTGCTTCGCCCAGCTGTCGTCGGTGAAACGCACGGCCCGTTCATCTATAAACCAGGCAAATCTTTCATACATCTTCAGTGTCCCTCAATACTTATTCGCGTCACGCTTTAAAATCACCACGGTTTAGATTCCATTGCATCTTTACTCAATGTTGATAGCAAACGCAACATTGCTTTGCTTGCTCTTCCTTTCCTACTACCTATTTTTATTTATTGTGGACTAGGACAGTTACTGCAATGTGACAATGCATACGACAATACATTGTAAACCTAATAACTCATGTGATGTTTCCAGATGCACTTACTCTCATAATTATTCTGTACCATTTTTAAATGGGAATAACTTCACCTCATACAGCTTTTTATTACTAGTATTTCATGTACTTATAATTTTATTAGCGAGCGCATACGACGCCGAAAACCTTTTTATAATTTTTTGTTGTATTAAGTAAATAAAAACGATCTAAGTATCGTAATAAATGATGACCACATGAAAATAAACTAATATCAATGCCTAGATCGTAGATCTGTCCGACTAAATTCATCTTGGTATTATTATTCGAAGCGATCGATTCTTCTTGATACAATCCCTTACTCTTTATAACTAACTTCCTATTTTCAACCTTATAATGACCTCCGCAGTTGATAAAATACAAACAAAAGTTCATTAGATATTGTCTGTATATTTGTGAGTTTGAAACGCTATTGACGAGACCAGAAGGAGAAATAAATATTCAACAAAAATTCAATAAATCAATATTGATCGTTGTAGGTATTAGTACAGTATTTTCTCTGTACCAAAAATCTGTAGATGTAAGTATAGATTTATAAGAAATTAAGGATGTAAAATAAAATAAGACAGGAGCATTATTAGAATCACACGCCAAAAAGATTCAAGTGTTTTGAGAAAGTACCCTTTACGCTGCAGAATTGAAAGCGATACTTTCCTGCGCTAGGGCGACGACATATCATTAATTAGTCAAATGACTTTTAGTCATTCACTATTTTAGATATTTTTAAATAACTGTAATTTTATCGGTTCAGCTTTTTAAGCATTTATATAATACTTCATAGCACTGCGTGGCATAAATTCACATTTATGCCCCCCTTTTTCGAGTCATGAGTCGCACATTCTGGAACCGCGTCGCTCCTACCACACTCGCTGCGCTAGTGTGCTAACTTGACTTCGCACTACCAGAATGTGCGACGTCCACCGAAAAGCGTGTCATAAATGTGAACTTACGCCTCACAGTGCTATAAATGATTAAAGCGCTTCGTCCATACAAAGTAACTTCCCTCTTTTAAATTGAATGTATCATTCATTACTTATATTCTACCGATGTGCGGTTGCACGAAAAATGAGTTGGCGTAAAAAAAGTTACGAAAAAAGAATACAACATCAACGATACTTCTTAGTACGTTTTAAACGAGCATATTACATTTTCAGTGAGTTTAGATCTTATAAAAGTATACTTCCAGAAGCATAAAATTATTAGCAAATATTGAAAAAAGGGGTATTAATTATTCAAATTGTTCTACATCTAATCTAGCATATAGCAGCAATGTAAAAATTAGCAACTATGTAATAACGTAACCAGATTAATGAAAAACGATAAATTAATAATACGAACGCTTTAGGCATTTTCCACAAACCCAAAACCACGTCAAGATATCTTGCATACTCCATTTCATTGGATGGAGGAATAAAACTGGAAATTCAATAACGATAACTATGATTGTAAACATCTTATAATTGGTATTTGTGTGGGAACGACTTTTTTTATACTTCTTTTATTATTGTAGTTAATTTTAAGACGAAATAAAACTAACGATCAGTCATTTGTATTTCCTTAACCACACTGGGTTTATAGATACGCTCGTTTAATACGTTGAAATATACAGATTTTCGTACACAAAAAATTATATCTACGAGCATCCTGGGTCTCGTGATGATTTCTATGACCTATTGTTTATACACTTATACATCATAAATAGTTATAATTTCAACTTTCATAAGTTAAGTAGAAGGGTTAAGAATACTACTCAATAACAAAAATAATTTATCGTTTGCTGCATAAAAATTTCAAAAAATGTTTTTAAAAATAAAAAAAAGGATTACAAAATAGAAAAGTTTATAAATTCAAAAAATTTAATCGTAATTATTCTGAACGTGTGACAAAAGTTACGCTCATTATAAGAACTAACATCGACGTATAGACGTTTCGCTAGTATCATAACTTTGTGACTATCAAGTAATGAAACCAAAGAATCACATTCATAGATATGTAATTGTTTTGAACAAACGAGGACATTCTAACGAATCGTGTGTTACAATTTGATGTAAAACCCACCAATTGATCGAAATCCCGTTTCAATGTCAAGATAATTCACGCGTTGCTGTTGACGATGGTGACGATCAAGAGCTGAAAACCCACAGAGAGTCAGTTGAGATACTATAAAATAAGTCAACTGTACGCTGCAGCTGATATACAAAATCGATTGCACCATAGCCTTGGTTCCAGATTTATAAGTGTTTTAATTTAAAGGCTGTTTGGATTAATCGGTACTTTCTGCAGTCTCATTATCCAAAAACACATTGAGTCCATACTCTCATTCACGCAAAACCACATTAAATAGTTTTTCCCGTCATTCATTATTACCAACAATCACAACGGATGAATAAATCGTCGAATATTATCAGATAAACCCCATGTGATAATTTAACTTCTAAAGCATGCTATTCTATACACATAAAAAGTATATGAATATTCATTTAATAATTACAATTAAATGACAAACATCAGCTCTCGGCTTAAAGTTACGCTTGTGCGATCAGCGTACTTTTTTAAGAATAATTTTTCAACAGTAACGTGAAAGAAATTATGACGTTGAAAAAATGCTGCTTCGCGATTCACGCATGTCAAGAATTACGCGAAGAAGGACACGTCATTGCCAATAAAATTTAAAAAATGTAAAAAAGTACGATGCACACAATCAAACCAGGAATTTGTGACAAGCAAGCGTTAGTGATCAATATTATCACTGAAAATCCAGATGACTGCTATTACCAGTTAATGAACGAACATTGTACGTGTCTATTTCGTCGTTTAGTATAAATACACGAAGAAAATTTCATTCAAAGGAAAACATTACATATATGTAAACAATTGTATTTTGTAATGTAATTTGTAATGCTCATTTCTCTTCGAGTATGTACACATAATGATAAATAATATTAACAATAAAAAATAATACTATATAATAATTATATTAAAGTATAAGTATTCATGTACATGCCGCATTGTTATTATGTAGTAAGAAAAGTATTAGCCAAATTAAATATTTTTATAAATATTGAAATTAATATTGGTTTGAATAATTAAAAACATAGTGTAAGTTGTGAACGCCCATGTCTACGTATATAGTTACAACGTGTCAAATACCAGCCTTTTACTAGTAAAATAATTTCATATGCTTAGCACTATAAAAATGTAAATGATAATTTTAAAGATGAATAACGCCTTTGGTTTGCCTCAAATCTTGAATGTATTTAACAATAACGTTAAATGTACAATTGAGCGTACAATAAGTGGTCATGTTAGTTGATTTTTTGTGCGATTGAACGAGTACCTAATCCATGTACTAATTTGATTGTTAGTTTATGTGTTGAGATGTGAAGTGTGAGTGGTGATGAGTATCTCATGTAGTAAAACTTACTGAATCTTCTCAAGAAATTGCCGGAGTCATCCGGTGCAGCGTATTTGGAGCCGGTTCGTTCAGACAGGACAGAATCGCCAAGTTTGCTCGAAGTTGTGGCTCCAATGGAAGAGGACGAGGAAGACGTGACACCTGCGCTGGAGTCAGCCGCGGCCGTGGAAGATTTCTGATTCCCGCCACGTGCTTCGGCTCGTTTGGCCTGCAAGCTCTTGACAACGCGCTTAAACCTCATGCTTGGCTTCATGGAACTCGACTCCTCGACTGTTGCAGTTGTTTTGCTCAGCGATAGGTTGGTAGGCCGAGCGATTTCTTGATCTTGACTTTGTTGTTGCAGCTGCTGCTGTTGACTGGCTCGAGTAAGAGAATCATTTGCACTTCGCATAGGTGACCGCGGAGATACCTCTGACGATCTTTGCACTTGTAACGCACTCGAGTCCGTGACACTTATGTCCTGTGCACCCGACATAAGCGGCGACTCAACGTCCACACTTTGCACCGGTGATAATGTCCTTTGGTTATCACTGCTCGATTTCTGCTGTTGCTGCTGCTGCTGATGGTGGTGGCCGCTGCTGAACGATTGCTAAAGCACAAGTCTACAATAAGCAGTGTGGCAACACTGAGGGAGCTCTCGTTTTCATACGCCTTTCGCTCACACTCATCAGCGAAACATTTGTTAGAACGTAGAAACAATTTTAGTACACCCAATGTTATTATTATTATACAGTAAAATTATTACATACAATACATGAATAAGTTTATAGTTTGATAAAAAATATTTCATTAATTGTACATGTTGGCAAGATTTAACGTTAATCCTAATACAATTAATAGTATAATCAACAAATAAAATATTTTAGACACCAATACCATTTGGCATTTTTTTAAAGAAATAAGTAATCCATTGTAGGTATTCCAAAAACATATTATCCTTTAAAATCAATTTTTATCAAGATTTTAGCACACAAAAAAGAGTCAAACATTTGTGCAAAATCGGTTACTTTTACAACAAAAGAGATTTTGATTTGCTTTAAGCTTTTGCTGTTACTAAAATATAATTTTTAGCTACTTATTTATTCATACATATTTCATCAGAAAAAGTTATAGTACTTCTAAATTATCACTTTTCAAAAAAAATATTTGTGAATAATCATATGTTCTACTCATATTCAATTTTTTTATGAAACAATCAACTGAATTAACTTATACCCAATTATTTATTACCCTATGACTTTTTCTTTTGATTGAATAAAGCTGCACCCAAAAAATATCTTATTTAAAATGATTCAAAATTCCTAATTTGAAGAGTGTTGTCAAAATAACTCTTTTATTTACTGATGTAAACCTATAAACAGTAAAGATACACATTGTTCAGTGAGAGGAGAAAGTTGAAAATAGAATCCTTTTGATTAGTAAACAAAGATTAAACCTGCCAGAGGCAAAGTAACGCGAGTAAAATATTAAGGTCAAAATAATACTTTTTTAATTTTCGTCCGTACGTATGTTACCTATCTTGACGTGCTACTAATATGTTATTACATAGTACACGCAAAAAAAGCAATTATTGGTACCAGAACATTAGTTGTGAGAACAAAACTCGTTTTTGTAGTCACTAACAAAATATTTACGTTGTAACTACTTTCTCTTTTGACACAATGAAATGGACTTTTGTTGTCGTAATCGAGGAAAATTGTAAGCTGAACTAAAAAATGTTGTTGTGGTTACAAAATCGAATTGTGTCGTAACAACTTGCATATCGAGATCACACTATCAGTGACATACTGCATACACATACATGCACTCACAAAAGAAGAGAGAAGAATAAAACAATTTTTATTGTTTAAAGCAGCGTTTTCATACAAGGAACCCGATAGTGACTACTTCTCTGCCACTGCGCATAAGGGGAAGAGCGATTTTCGGGCCACTGGTATGAAATAGTATATTACTCCCCTAGACTAGGAAAAACAGAAAAGTCCCAGGACACGTGAAATAAGCGGCCGAGGTCCCACCACGCGATTAGGAAATTCGACATTCATGCCATAGTATGATGAAAAATCGTATACACAACACGGAAGAAAGGAGAGAATGTCTCAAATCATATGTATATATCACTTTCGGCTTCGTCGCGGATGACAATTACATGTGATCTGAGATTTTCTTTACTTTTATTCCCTTGTAGTATAATATACTATTTTGGCTCTAGATAGCATAGACTAGCAGCCTCTATGAAATAAATTTGAAAAAATTCAAGGTTATGTCTTTCGATGAGATGAAAAAAACAGGAAAAAAATTTCAGATTGGTCATCGCATGCTATCGCTGTATAGAAATTATTACAATTTTTAATGATTTTATCTGAAGGTCTGAAGAACTCAAAAAATCTGAAAAAATTCAAGGTTGTTTGGATTGTTGAAATATACCTTTGTCAACTTTTTCAGTTATTTTTAGTCAAAAAAGGCTTCAGAATCGCTATTGATAGAAAATAGACATTTATAAGGGAAGTGTAGGTAGCAGCGACGAGGGGTCTAAAATTTTGGCTTTGGGGCTTTTTAACTATGCACTATAACATACTACAAGCACGTCAAGATCAGTGACATACGCGTGGACAAAAATTTAAAACAGCATTATTTTAACCACAATTCAAACAATTTGGAAACTTAATATGCATGTAAGCAATTCGAATACTTTTCGCTAAACATAAAAAGTCGGATTTATGGATTTTTTTCAAATTTGAGTATGCTCGAACAAAAGGTTACATTTTAGAGGTATTGAATGGGACTTCAGAATGAGTTATTAAAATAGTATATTACGTAACAAGTGCGCGAAGAACATGACTCATCCAGGTGTTGTTTTCACACGAGCGCTGCAAGAGCGAAAAAATTTCTAGGTGAGTCATCCTCCTCTCGCACTAGTTGCCCGAGCGCAGCGAGAGTGGCAGGAGCACGAGTTGGAACATCTACTCCGCACGAGTAGAGTATACTATTTTTTTATACAGCTGCGGAAAATTCGTTTTTCCACACACTTACGAACTTTCCGCACGCTGTAGCCACAGCACCGGGATCTTTTACTTTCGAAGCATCCTACTAACTGCGAGAAACGAACTTTCCGCACGCTGTATCAAAAAATATCGTTTACAACTAGTCCGCAAGGAAGTTGGCTCACCCAGGAGTCTTTGCACCCTCGTTACACTCAGATGAAAACAACTCCTGGACGAGTCAACAGCTTCGCGCACTTGTTACAAAATATACTATTTTATGTCCCTGAAAGGTTAGAAAAATCATGTTTTATGCACGAAGCGTTAAAAAAGTATTTTTAATCATATTTACGATTTACCGTGTTTTACCAAAAATATGCCTTATCACAAAAATAAGATATGGGCGTTATTTTGAGTCTCAAGAGAATATAAAGTATGTTCTTCAGATAAGGCGTTCTATCAAGTGATAAGTAAAACAATTTAAAAAAACAATTGAAATAAGGAGTTGATAAAATATTCTAAGTATATTGTATTTCCAAATATATCATATCCCACATATCCAATTTTTTCTCATTAACCAGGGCTAGAATAGTTGCAAATTGCACCACATGGTACGAATGAAAGTGTAAGTCATATTCCATGAGTAAGGCGTATGGCGATTTTTCGAAAAGGCGTGACATATTTTTTGTGAAACACGGTATACAGCCATTTGAAAAATGTCAAATTTTAACAATTTAACCTTCCATGCTAATAGCGCTCAGAAATGAGCTTTAATAGCTAAGTGTTTAAAATTTTTTTTGAAAAAAAGATTAAATTTCACTGAAAAAAATGCGACTAAAAAGATTTCAAGAAGTTCTCAGGGCATTTATCGACGAGCATATTAAAACAGAGTAAAATAGGTTATTTTTTTGATGTTTGAATGGATTCAAAACAGGCCCATGGACATTTTTAAGCCCAAAAATTTTGCAGAAATATTTTTTTTGAACATACTAAAATTTGAGAAAAATCCATAAACCCGACTTTTTTTGGCGAAAAGTACTAGAATTGCTCATGTAAATTAGGGTGTACATTATTTCTCAATTTGTGCATAATATCTCTTTCCCTACCTAAATGTCTTTTATTTTACTAGAAAGTGAGTCAGTAGGTATATAAGGAAGGACAAAGTGGATTTACAGGCTTACTTTAGCGCTCTTAAAATGGTCTTGAAAAATAAACAAAGCTATAGCAAACCAAAATCCGATTTTTCATACGGTGAGCTCCATTTTTTGTAGCTGGGGTTAAATTTAAGGTCTTTTTAAGAGGGCTACAATTGAAAATAGAAGCCTATAAAAGTTTTATAAACCCTTATTTATTAACCTTAATTTTTGCTTGAATGTAGGTTTGATAAAATAAAAAACAAAAGCACATTTTAACGTGAAATTTTCTGCTATTTTCTAACGAAGTGGCTATTCAGAGGAAATTCGTACACGAAATTTTTAATTTTTGTATACGAAAATGACAACTTTTCCGAGAAAGAGTTATCTCGGATTATTTGGAGTTTCGTACACAAAAGTCAAAAATTTCGTATACGAATGTTCCCTGAATAGTCAGACCCAGTTTAAAATCTGCATTAAAAAATCAAATTTACCGCAAGTCAAAAGTTTTTTCACGATTCTTCGTTCTCTGTAGCTTTGAGGGGATTTTAGGTCAAATTCAAGGTCACCATTGATTTCCCCGCCACAAAATACGTCAAATAATTAAATATGAGCATTATTTCGTCTTTTTCAGTGCTCAGACTTCAATTTTCAAGTTTTTCTCGTGTAAAATATATCTGTGGTGGAAAGGGAGAACTGACCAACTCCATTTTTTTCGAAATCGAGTTTATGACGTTAAACATCTACATTTAGTGTCAACTTTGATGTGCAAGTGTCTGAATGGCCGAAAATCGCGTCAATCGCTTGGAACAGAACAATGCCAAACCGACCAAGTCCATTTCATGAGAAACGGTGACCGGCCAAACCGACCAAGTCCACCTCGAACGAGACCCACAACGTGTAATCGAATTTACTTTTGTTTAAAATGATAGAAAATGATATTCGGACGATGTGTAAGTATAATTCTCGCGTCATTGAATGCTATACCGGCCTATCGCAGTGCGACAATTGGCTCACTCCGAGGCGCGCCGGGGCCTAGTGATGTGCGGTGTCTCGACTCTTCACTCGACACAATCGTATTGATTAGGAGTTATTTTTTCAAGTCAGAAGATGAATAACACGTAATCAATACAAAACTATGGAGAAATATCCATTTTAAAGTCATCAGTTGCCGCGACCAGTGGACTTGGTCGCACAAACGTTTCCCGGACAAACCGACCAAGTCCATACTTTTTGCTTCGTGCGCATGCTCTAGTGCACCTTTCAATTTCATAGATACATGGCTCAAAAGATACCTCATAGTATGTTAAAATACCATACATACAGATCTCTAGCTACCCGCGTCTAGCTACGAACTCATACGCAACTTCAAACACGTTTTTCTCGAAAACATGAAAAATGGAGTTGGTCGGTTCTCCCTTTCCACCACAGATATGTAAACTACAAGCCATTTGGGGGCTACCCTAATCAATTTGTTCCTCTCTTATATACTTGCTTTTTTTATTTTCTAGTAAAATAAAAAACATTTAGAGGGAGGAAGAGACACGAATCAGGAAGTAACGGACCCCCCAATGTACATGTAACTCGTTCAGCATTCTTTTTTTCTGAGAACAACATCTACATGGATTATGTGTTCTTTTACTTCAAATACTGAATTACGTTCACAATTTTTTTGAATAATTTCAAGACAAAATTTCATTGAAGTTCGAAAACATAATTGAAAACATTAGTTAAACGTAAAAGAATAAATGAAGAAGCCAGGATAAAAAAAACATTTTGAACGCATTTTTAAACATTTTTGATGGAATTTATCACGTAAGATTTTACCTAGTTTTTATTCTTGATCGTCTCAAAGAGAATAAAAAAATCATAAAAACGCATCACTTTTATTTTTAATACCTGACTCAATTTTGTAGTAAAATCACAGTGAAAATCGCGATATTTATACACTCATTTTATAAAGTTTTTTCTGTGTTTTTCAAATTTTTAAAACGTACACTGGTTTTTACGCTCCTATATTATTAACTCACTAACGATCAAGCGTTTCTATTTTTCTTTCAACGCGATTTTCTCATTCTATAGATGTTAGACTATTTTTGTAAATGCTTAATGAGCCTAAATGCTTATAATTTTGGTCGTCGAAGGGTTTTCAACCTTATACAGTGAACACCTATCAAATTTTTTGATGTACAAACATTTTTTCTTACTTCTAGAACTCTCAAAAGTAATTTTAAATTATCAGTACTCGCGTTCAAACGACATTTTTCCCGATTTTTAAGCTTTGCAACTCAAAATTTTTTCCGGAAATGCTCAAATAAATTTTTTCCAAACCCGTCGCATAAAGTACTGTCTGATAAGTGAACTGAAAATTACTATTAGACCCGACGAAAAATATACGGAACATAAGAAATGAAAATTTCCAAAAAAAATTATTTCGTAATTTTTTTCTCAAATTCACAATTGAACATCAATGATATCAGGAGTGATCATAACAGTACAATTACGTCAGGAAATTTTTATGGGATTTCTAAACTTTTCTATTGAAAACAATAATATGGCAATAATGTAGTAGTACTTTAATATACAAGTGCAAAAAGTAACACTTTAAGGCCGGCGATAGTTTAAGGCATGAGCGCATCGATTATCCTTATAGTCGTGCTAGAAAATGTCCTTTATAGCACTGCGTGGCATAAGTTCACATCTATGGCACGCTTTTCGGTGGCATAAGTCGCACATTCTGGCACCGCTGCGTTCGCATCACACTCGCATACGCTCGTGCGCTAACCTCACTTCGCGCTACCAGAAAGTGCGACTCATGGCTCGGAAAAGGGGGCATAAATGTGAACTTTGCACAGTAATATAAAATGTTGTTCGATACTCGGGCCATAGGGGACACTTTTCGGCCCAGCTATTAGGACCCTCGCTGCGCTCGGGCCCTAAACTACGCCGTGCCAAAAAGTGTTACTTATGGCACTTGTATCGAAAATTACTATTATAGCACTGCGTGGCATAAGTTCACATCTATGGCACGCTTTTCTGTGGCATAAGTCGCACATTCTGGCACTGCTGCGTTCGCATCGCACTCGCATACGCTCGAGCTCTAACCTCACTTCGCGCTACCAGAAAATGCGACTTATGCATCGGAAAAGGGGCATAAATGTGAACTTGTCATAGTACTATAAAGTGTTGTTCGATACTCGGGCCATAGGAGACACTTTTCGGCCCAGCTATTAGGATTTAAACTACGCCGTACCAAAAAGTGTTACTTATATGCAATCTTATAGCGTCGTACTAATTTGACATGTATGCTCCATTTTTCGATATATGTCGCACTCCACGGCACTAAAAAATGCGACTTATGACACAGAAAATCGGGCAATAAATGTAAACTTGTGCCACGCATTACTATAACAGTACTTTTTGAAATATTTATTGCATATTTTTTTTTAAACTGTATGAAGGTATGGAAAAAATCAAATGAGCATCTTTTATGAAGCTCTTATAAAAAACTACTAGTGAAAAGTCTCAGTGAACGTGTTTAAAATTTTTACCCTGGCTTCGGTATACTTTAGCAATTAAAAAATTCGAAGCAATTGTCATGTTCGAAAAATCAACTCGCATTTAAGAATAAGATCGTCGAACATTAGTGCCAATTATTTGAAATTATCAATAAAATGAGATAGCACAGACCCATATGAAATATTTTTACACAGAAGACTATGTAGATAAAAGATACAATTGGTTCACGATAAACATAAGCTGTTTTCTTCCTTGCAATTAGTAACACAGAACACCAAGCGAAATTAGTTAATTTCTTTATAAATCATAAACACGTAACAATCATCAAACCAACACAAAATAGACGATTGCGATACGGTAAACAGGAAAAGTTCTAAGTACCGCGTCTTGGGAGGATTGGGTGGTGGTCGAAGAGCTAACGGCGGAAGCCGTCGGTGTTGTCGCAAGACTGCTACTGGCGCTCTTAATCTTCAGGTCGGCTTTGCTGAGTTGACGCTTTAATTTGTCCTTCCAGTTTCCGCTAGAAGCGGGTGCCGTAGCTGCTGGGCCAACCGTCGAGCTTTCTCCCGAAATCGTTGCTGCCAACTCGACAGCTTGCTGTAGATAAAATCTGTCACTTATCAGCTATTCTTAGATATTTTTTGGCAACTTTTAAGCGCCGTAAAATTCGGTATCTACTCAACACTGCTAAGCTCGTCGATAACGCTCGCATTGTTTCGAGCTATCGGTTGAGCAAAGTAGCGAAAAACGAGCAAATTTCAGCAACTGCGAGTCCTCCGTGGAAAAATACTCGAGTTCCATTGGAAAAGCTAATTATCCCTCAACGTGTGCCACTGTTATTTGTTAAAGTATTATCTTCTACAGATTTTCGCGTCATTGATTTATTTATCCTTTACACCGCTGGAGCATGGAGCCCATGCAGGTATACTAGCACAGTCTTGTAGAATAAATTGTTAGTAGTAGATCATTTTTTGTCAGAGCCAGTTCGTGCACTGTTTTTACTTTCAATGGTACATACAAGCATCATTATGCAAGTGTGCATTTAATTTTGTTCTTGTGTATTCGAGTAAACACGAGGGAGAAAAAGGAAGAATTAATTTACATGGATTTACGATGGAATTCCTTGCTATTGATCAACTCTGAGGGTTAGTAAGTACGCATATTTATTTCACTTGAAAATTTAGATTTTGATCTGACATATTTCAAGTAACGCCGAATAAATCTCTACTCTAAACTTCCCATTTACCACACTTAGGACTATTTATGTACGCATAGTAACTTACAAATGAAACTTACAAAATGCCTTGAACATTTTCATTGACTCTTTAGTTTTTTTCGCTTTTTAGTCTTAAAACACTTAATATAAACCCATTCTTTTACATACGTTAATGTCATTAATTTTTTACTACTCGTTTGGTTAATCATTTGTTTTATTGGTCTTATAACTTCCAATGAGATATATTTCAACAGTTTCATCATTAGTAATGGAATATTGTAATAAAAGAAAATCATCGTAAAAGCGAGGTAACTTGTCACTTCCTTTGATACCCGGGAAACAATTAAAAAATTCAGATTATTCTACTTGATCTATTTGACCTAAGATGCTCATAGAATCATTGAATACATCATTCTCACTCATCAATCAACACATACACTTGTACCTTTTACATGGAATATCTTAATTTATACTAACACATTAACCGTCAACGACCAAAATGCTTGATTTTTTTTCGGTTTTCGCAGCGATTTTTTTTGTAGTTTTAAGCCTTAAAAAAATTTACCATGGAACTATTTCGATGTAAAATTTAATGCCCTTTCAGAAACTGACCTCAAAATTTTGATTAGTTTGTTTGAAGAAGTGGTTCGAAAATTTCATAAAAATTCCCTAAGATACTTTGATAGTCGTGATCACCCCTGATCATATTTATATCGTGATTCCTTAATGGTAACATAGTGAAAAAAATCGAAAACTTGTTTTTTTGCAAAAATTTTTTACGTTTTTTTTGTTTAAGTAGCTATAACTTTTTTATAACGCAAAAAATCAAAATTTCGAGCTCAGTTCTGAAAGGGTATTAAATTTTACATCGAAATAGGTCCGTGCACAATTTTTTAAGGCCTAAAACTACAAAAAAAAATCGCTGCGAAAACCAAAATAAAATTAAGCATTTTGGTCGTTAATGGATTAACAAGAAATAACTTTAAATTTTTGGTTTCGGTCCAATATAAATGTTTAAAGTCAAAATTTGAATTTATTCTGAAAAATTAAAAAGATGCATGCAGAATTTAATGAAAAAATACAATGACGTGCACCATAAAATAGTTCAAAAATTTGGTAAGATTAAAATCAAGTTTGTAACATGTTTATGCACAAAATTGTTCCAAAATAAAAGACAATGAAATTTTTAATAATTTTATACATCAAAACTTTAGTTAAATGAAAAAATTTCATGCACATAGCCGTTAAAATCATTTCCTGATACTTAGTCGCGTTACCATTATCGCTGCTCTCGTTGTCATTCGTATTCCTCTAAATTTTGAGCGACATGCGATGAAAACATGTATTATGTTTATTGTTAATCATGTAATTATTGTTTGTGAATTGTATAAGTAACTTTAAACCAATACTTTCATGTAACATCTAAAAAAGTATAAACTATTTGTTTGGATGATTACATGTAACAGCATGACTTTTTAAAGATATTTATAAGTCTATTTAGTTACGACGGGGAAAGTTTGAGAATTTATGACTTATATACAACTTTTCTAATGTTTCATTAAAGCTATTAGAAGAAAAAGTGATAAGTAACAATTAATTAAAAAAAACACCTTTTAACAGGTTACATAGCTTTGCTAGCAAGGAAAAAAATTTATTTTCAAACATTGTTTTCAAAAGCTAATTTGAAATAGCAATTTTTTTTTGCGGTGGGTAAGATATTCCAGTGCTGGGTCATCTGAAATCTACAAGTCGACATTTTTGTAGACTTTTTGTAGCCTTGGTTCGTCATTAAATACAGAAATCAAGAATGATAAAAAATTTTTGAAGATTGAACAAGATTTAATTAACATTTTCTAGTTGATCGCACGAATTCAATCCACATATGCCTCCCGAAGGGTTGAAATTCTCCTGATGTAGAAATTATACGCCTATATAATGCGTCTAGAAAAAAGAATGTGGAGCACATAATAATAGTCGTCACTTAAACCGTATAGTTGGTCAAATTGCCGATTTGTTTGCCCAATCTATATTTTTCTGATCGTTTAAAACTTCATATCATATAAGCTCCTTACGATTATAAATGAATTCTGTAATGCTGCGAGTAATATTTTCGATTAATTTAACAGCGATCATACCGCGGGTTTAATAGCGATTATACTGCGATTTTTTAATCGCGATTATACCAAAGCTTAATTGTGATTACACCTCGATTACCTCGCGGTATAATTGCGATTAAAACCACGGTGTGATGGTAATTGAAATCGTGGCATGATATTTAAAAAAATCTATAATATCAAAACTAGGATTCATTAAGTTATCCCCGATCAACTAGAAAATGTCTAATTGTGTGTTCCGACATTTCTGATAAAATCCGACATCTATTCAAGTAACGAGTAAACACAAACATACAGTACTATTTTGATATTTCAATGTAGTTTCCAAATATGTAAACCAAATTTTCTTTCGACGTCTGGTTCAAAATCTCATATCAGAAATCGACTATTTCCAATATTTTAAGCTAAAATTATTTTACGACTTCTATAAATAATAAACTTTACTGCGTATGAATTTTAAATCAATGGAAATTTTAGCTTTTTGAAAAAAATTTTTGAAATGAATTTTTTTGCACACAAAACTATCTAAACCCTTAAAATCGTCCAAAATTCACTTATCATTTGTAACAGTATTAGATTCCTTTCTAATTTATTTAAATTTGTTATGATTTGTACGTATTAATCATAGATCTATTTATATAAAAATTATTTAATCGATACTATCGTCAATTTCATGATTTTGTTTTATGTATTAGTTATAATGCACTTTTTCAAAACAATATATAATAGTATAAAATTTTGCAGCTAGGGAGTGATAAATTCAAAAGTCTCAGAGCACGTTTAATTTATCGGCCGAGGTGATAACGACGATGATAACCACGTGCTCCAAGACTTCGCTACATAGTTACAAATACAACCTTATGTTAATCCCTCAGCTTAAATTAATATTTTAATTTATTTAAACCAACTAATTTTGTATTCCCCAGTCCACGTGTAAACTACAATAGTCATTACAAATAAAATTTTTCTCATTTTCTCTTTATTAATACAGAAAAAAGTTTTAAAGTGCCATCCACTCGATTAATTTATTTTTAACTTTCGATTTTGTCAAAATGTGAAAAAAAACAATGTTAAATAACCTTTTGTATTATAATGGCCCTATTTTGACACGATGAATACATTAATATTACATAGATTTTGAAGTAACTAAGCTAAAATAATTTATCAAACAATAGTACTTTACGATACATTACGGTACGATAAGTAACGGAAAGTGTCCCCCTATGTCCCGAGTATCATACAACATTTTATAGCACTGTGCTAAGTTCACAATTATACCCCCTTTTCCGAGTCATGAGTTACAATTTCTGGTACCGCAAAGTGAGGTTAGCGCACGAGCGCAGCGAGTATAATCGAACGCGGTGCCGTGCTACTTATCCCACCAAAAAGCATGCCATAAATGTGAACTTATGCCCCGCAGCGCTACAAATGATGATTATGTGTAAATGAGTAATTCTTCAAAAATACGCATTTTCGGCGGTACAATGGTGGCAAAATTTTTTTTAACATGACGCAGGTACGGAAATTCGGGAAATGTTCGCGGGAGTCCCACGAGCATGTTCTTACATTAAAAGACATTAACATAGGAACTTACATTAACGTAGGAACAGTCAAAATTTTGATAGTGTTTTTTTAAAGCTACTTTTGTGATTTAGAGGACGAAAAATTATGTTTTCTCGTAAATACGGCTATGTACTTCATTTCTAAGTCACCGAAAAAGAATTAAAACTCATCTAAAAAAAGTAATTAACACTCTATTCGATAGGAAATTTTCTCAGCTTTCCGTTATCAGATTTTTCAAAATATTTCATTTTCACCGAGAAAATCGTAACCGTATTTACGAGAAAACACGATTTTTCGTCTTTTAAATCACATTAGTAGCTATAAAAAAGCACAATCTAAATTTCGACTGTTCCTACGTTCTCACGTGATCGTGGAACTCCCACAAATATTGCCCGATTGTCCGTACCTGCGTCACGTAAAAAATAATTTTGCCTCGATTGTACCACCAAAAATGCGTTTTTTTTAAGAATTGCTCTTATACGTCACTTAGGGTTTATTATATTATTGAATGCTCCAATATAATACGTTTTATTGTTACAAGTTCAATCAACTAAGGGTTAGTTAAAATTTTTCGAACATTTGAAGATGCTATTCTAATACCAATTTTTTTAAATGTTGCCCTAAAATGTGTATAACACATTTCCAGATTCCTTACTTTTTTCAATTTTCAAAAAACGATATTGTTCAAAAAATTATGAATACAACTAAAAGAAAGTAGAACCGAAACTGTGTTTTTGAAACTTGGTTATTTTCAAAAAAAGCAATCATTAGGAAATGTATAGATTTAAAAATATAAACTTTTCAAATATATTAAAATGTCGAATAAACTAGTGGATTAATAAACCGAGAGGAAAATACAACTTTAACTAGAGGTTATGATTTTTCGGTTCCAATTTAAAAAAATGTAATGTGTTTTACTTTAAAAAGTTGTAAACTTAAATTTACTATTGAACAATTTTGATGTTTTAGCGTTTTGTAAAATATGTGACCAAAGGCAAAATTTAAAAGCTTGGTAAATACATAATATAATAGTTTAATCACATTAAATCATCACATTTATCACGCACATTAGGAAATATCAAATCACAAAGCATGCATCTGATTATTTTAACCAACTGATTCTTAAAAATAACAATTTATGTTTTATTGGTATGCGCTTATACGGACTGTAGAGTTTTTTTCTCGAATTGATTCATGAAAATGACAAGATTGACCCACGATTACTTATGATTTTCAAATTCTTTTCAAAAATCATTTTTTTGTACAAGTAATATTTGTTAAAGCGATTTACTTTTCAAATGGATAGCACTTATTTGACAAAATATTACACAGCCTGCGATACGCTATTTAATCATTCGCGATAGCAATATATTATTTCAAAAATGATGAACGTTCTCGAATATAAAAATGTGTAATTCAACATTTTTGTTATCTTGTTGGCTTATTTATTCGTGTAATTTTCTTCATTAACATGATATACAAGCAGTTAGGTTTCTAAAAATATCATAAAACTAATGAAATTAGTTTTTGATTCATACTTCCGTTTGAAGAAAATAAGACAAATAGGTACTCGATAAATTAAAATACATTGAAATACTGGGGAGCAAAAGTATGCGTGTATGATAAAGAACTGAACTGCAGCGAATTTCAAAAATTGATGAAACAATACAAAACACTTTTCATACCTGTACAACTAAATGCTCTAGAATCTAAATGTAATTTATACTATATAACGTGATCATAGGTTCATCAAACCAATTTATATAATTTCGAAGCAGACTTACTTTAGCTTTTTCAACAATTGCTTTGTGTACAATAATATTCAATCGTATTATATGTCGATCCTTATTATAAAATTTTTTAAAAGATATCGTATGGTATTGCTATTTTAAAAATACATTTTTTTCAATTATTGTGTCTCACATATAATCTATTGTAATTGAATAAACCTTATTAATACGTCTGAGAATAAAATGATGCTTTAGTATTTGTGTGTCACGGATAAGATGTGTAACAAATATGGATGGGTTATAATACTCACTCCTCGATGAACATATAATATTGATAAAATATTAGTTATGTCCATTTTATTTAATCACTTGAACATCGGGTATGAGTAATTGCATTAACAATATTCGAGAATAATTTTCTAATTATGTGTTCAAGAGTGTAGTCATTATTTTCGTATATTAAATCAAAAGTTAAAATAGTACTTTATAACACTCTAACCTAGAAATCGCAACTTTGCCGTTAGTTTTAGACTCTTGTAGTATAAAATATTGTATGCAACTTGTGTGAATAAGCTTTTTCAACCCCTCGATTTGCAGGAAAAGCAAATCCACACCTGTTACATAAAGTATTATACTAATATGATATTTTATTTTATATTTCAAAGACGCAGAAGGTAAAAGTGGGCGAGAGAACTTATTATAAGGCACAAATAAAAAAAAAGAGAATATTATCAAGAATTTTTTCAGGTTTGCTGAGAATAATTCTTGGCGCATGGTATTATCAATATGCTTATTTTCACAATTTTTACATTCGGTTTGTATCTACAAAATAGGCTACTACAAGAGAATAACAAATTTACAAGTGTAAATTTCTTGAAAAAAGTCCTATAACATTTTTAAGAAAAAATAAAGAAAACAATAGTAAATAATTTACATTGAAGTACACAGAATTTAAAAAGGACACGCTGATTTGAGGGTTTCAGCAAACACCATTTGGATGTACTAGGACGCTCCTCATTTACCAAGTTGCATGAAAACTTGCTCCCAAGCTTTTTTAGTTTGCTTAAACTTAAAAATGAAAAAACCACGATTTTTTCATAAAGCTATTTTTAACCGTGAGCTATTTAAAAACGCCATTTGTATAATTCACAATGTCCTCGAAAATTTTTGAAAAAATTGACCCGTATTCTTCGACTAATTTTTCAGTTTTTTTTTCTAAAGTTGATTATTTTCGAGGTAAAAAAATCGCACATAACACCATGGCAATAAAAATGACGAAAAGTCAATGAACAAAAAATTCAAGAGTAAAAAAACAATAATATTAATCTTTATGATTATTTATCTCGAAAATGCCTGACTTCATGAGGTAATTCAAAAGAAGTCTTTGCAATAACCAAAGAATAGAATGTGTACATTTTTTTCAGAATTTTTCAAGGACATCATTAATTATGAAAATACATTTTTAAGTATAGTGCGTGGTTAATTAACTAAATGAAAGGGTCGTAGCTACAAGATGTTTCATTTTTTGTTCCAAACAAACTAAAAAGAGCTCGGGAGCAAGGTTTCATAAAACTTGGTAAGTAAGGAAAAATCTACTTTATTGTGTATATATAATTATGAATATTACTAATAATACGTAAGTGTGTGTTGGTACACCAGTTCAGCTTTAATTTTAAAATGGTGAGAAAACGTCAACACAATGAAATTAGGGTGGCTCATGTGTATAAGACACGCGGCATTAATACCGATTTAATAACAATAGTACACAGACTAGCATTGGTAGACTCCCTACTGTACGGTATTTACGTTTTCCACCTATTTTAGAATTAAAGTCAAACCGATGTATGTTAGTTTTTGAAGATTTAAAAACAACTTTTTTTCACGTGTGCCTGAATGTAAAACGTGTATTTGTATAATTGTATTTTTACGACGAACATTTGATAATTGATGTGCATGTGTTGATATTTATTGTCAGTGTGAAAACATGTAACTCAACTGTTTATTTTCGCATGTTTTTTAATATATAAGTTATAATATATTTATAATAAATAAACTATGCATATTAATAAAATAACGAAAAAGATAATGAGAGAAGAAAAATTGCTCTACCTGATCTATACTAGGACTCCTGGCCTTGTCATCAAGATCAGCTCGTCTCGACGCACTTGCAGCCTCTTCCTGGCGTTTTGGGCTCCGCAAGGCACTGCGCTGTGGATCAATATTGCCTCCGAGTTCTGACATGCACATAACCAGCAACGTGACCTTCTGCACGATGTCGACCACTACAAGACCCGCATCGTTGCCGTAGGCCAACCTATTGTTATAGCCCACCCCAAACAACACTCAATTTTACATTGTCGTGGACGAAAAGGGATTTTTTTAAAGTTGACGGCTCTGTTTTGTATTAAACTTTTTGTTTGTTTGTTTGTTTTTATTTTTCGGAAGACAAAGATAAGAGCATAAATATCCACATATTGGGCATACATATTAAAAATATGTATATGCTTGTAAAATATGCTTTGTAAAAATTATTTTTCAAGCTTGCTCAATAATCATAAAAAACGGTCAAAACCAGAATTAGTTTTTTTATTTTTGATATGTTAAAAAATAATTGAGCTTTGATTAAGAAAAGAAAATAAATATCATATTAGATAGATTACTGTGCCCAAAAGAGATTAAATGTTCATTAATGCCATCTAAACGATATCTACAAAGATATAATTCGTCTCATAATCTTAATCATTCTTAAAAAAACCTACATAATTAAACAAATTAATATTGTAGAATACTCATTATTAGTTACCAATGATTCAATTCAAAAAATCTTATGAAATATTATCTCGGAAATAACAAAATAAAATTATTATAATTGTTTCATAGAAAATCCTTGCAAAAAACGTTTAAAACTAATTTTTTCATCTGAATTTTTTAACTGTATGAAATTGTAGATTTCTAAAAATTAAGTTACATTCAGACAAGTTGATAGATAAATTAAAATATTCAAAGTATCAAAAATAAACACTTTGTGTTAATAACATTTGGTAATAGCTTTACATTATGAACTGAGTAAAAGTTTAACTGAATTTGTTTAATGATTGGAAAAAAATATGCAAAGTTTGTTAAAGTGCTAGTATAAATGATAAATAGGAAAAACTTACAGCCCGTAAGAAGAGTTCATACTGACTGCCGTGATACTCTCGGGTAGTTCGCCGTTGGGTCCGTGAGTAAGACAGACAAGGGTAGCTTGAAAACCAGCTGCTCGCTTTTGCAAGCCAGTTTTAACTTTGAGAGGCTGATTCTTTTCAGCGTTAGCTTTAGCATCGTCGCTGTTAGAAAAGTCGAAGTCGGGTGATCGTTCGGTATCCTTGTTTGGATCGGCCACCAGAAACACCTCGAGTGTCTGCATATCACAGTCACAGAGACAAAGAAAAGATACGAATAAAATAGAATATGTATCTGTGTAAATAATTTATATTCTTATTTTCTTAATAATTTATATTTTGATTCCGATGAAGACTTTGTCAATTAATAAATCTCAGCAAACAGTCAGCAGAGTCTTTGTCTCTATTGTCGTAGTTTGCTTCATTTACTCTTTCCTTACAGTTTCATATTCAAGAAAACTTTTTGCAAAGAAATTTTTTTCACAGAAATAATGTCAAATTGTCTTTTTATCGAGATACTTACCTTTTTTTATATAGATGAATGCAAAAATTCAAAAGCTTGCGCGTGTATAAAAATGTTTAATGCGGGAAAAAAGTTTGGTGAAAATATGAAAATATTGAGTCTATTATTTAACCAACAATAATTTAAAAATACTAAATATCGCGTAATTTAAGCAAATTCAAAAATTTCATTTTTGAAAAATTTCGTTAATTAAAAGAATAATTTCTTATTTATATGAATAAAAACACAATAAAAATGATGTATGGTTTTTTCATCTTCTTTAGATTAATAGAATAATTCAATATACTAGAGTGTAGCACGGGATTTCAGCAAAATAAAATAAAAGTTCGAATATAATATATTGGAAAAAAAAGTAAATAAATTGATTCTTATCTTGCGCATAAGAGAAAGAAAAAGAAAAAGAAAAGAGAATAGGAGCCATCTGAATATTCAAAAAGGAAAAACATTGCATTAGAAAATAGAAAACTGGTGTCAGGCCATAAAAGATTTTACGATATTTTACGTTCTCAAATTCTTTAACGAAATAGTTATATTTACTGAAAAGTTCCAAAAGTATGTCTGGAGTGCATAAAACGAAAAAAAATATGTGCAATAGTATAGTGCGAAATTCCTTTACGCGCACACTTTGCACTGCCAAAAAAACGTTTTTGAACACTGGTGTACGATAAAATTTATCGTATTTGTGTGAAATACCATATTCAAGCATTTTTTGCTCTCTATTGCATAAAATTTTGTCTGCAACACGTGTCTGCAACTTTCATGCCAGCATTCATGTTACTTCCCGTGCCGGCGTAACCAGTACTCGTGCACACACTGTGTGCAAAAACAAACTTTGGGTACTCTGCTAAATAATGATTACCAAAAAAAGACGGGTAATTCAATTGCGGATGACCTTATGGAATTTATATATTACTTGATAGATAATATCCTGAGCGATGTATAGTGAGTATGAAGCAAAAAATCTATAATTATGGACATCGCATCGCGTTAAATTCGTGTCAGGAGAAGACCACAAAAATTCGTGTGAAAACACCTATTATAAAATTAAGCACTAACCACTACTTCGGACATGCTTTCAACTTTCTTGAACTTGAAGAGTACGACGTGCCTGCCAGCACCAACCACGGCTAGTTTCCGACTCTCCGGGCAGAGGAATATCAACTGAATGGCCAAAGGATCTTCCTCGTTGTCAAGGCTGCGCGTCCTATTTTTTTCGAAGAGCTTCGCCGTCTTGAGCTTGTAGAGGACTTGCAGAGTGCCAGCCGAAGCATCCCAAAACTTGATGCTGCCATCAGCATGCCTAAACACAATTTATATTATTATAAAAATTACATATAAAATAACAAAATAACAGCGCCTATTCATGAAATAATAAAAAATATGCACGGATATATCTATACAATTTAGATAGTTAACATGAGCCATCAACTCATTACAATCAAAGCAGTTCAATACATATAAAATTACAACATTACGAGGCGTTTATATTTCCTTTATTAATCGTTTTTAAGAATTGCCTTTTAATATTATGTGTGTTTATCAATTATTGCTTACGTATGATGATAAGTTTTAGTAGAAAGAGGTTGTCTTTTACGGATATATTTCATTAACATAAAAAAATTATTAAGACAAGAGAGTTTATTTCTTAAAAATGGTTATTTTGTTGCGGCGTTTCAGTGGAGTTTCCAGGGCCTCCTTCCGATTATATTTTTCATTAATAAAATATTATTTCATGCTAACAAGGAGACTACTTCAGCTATGGTTTTATAGTAGAAATTAAAGTTAATATTTCAAACGTTTTGCAATTTAGTGGATGACTCTCGGTGCCGCGGGCATTGATTTACAAGCACACGTTTACTTCTTACCGAAACTTTATCAATTTTCGAAATGTCAACTGCATCTAAAGAGTCCCGCGTGACTTACGCCCAGAAGAATTAACTAGAGGCAATTTGGACAATTTCCTATTGCAAACATTGATCTTATGTAAACTAGACTGGTTTTTATTTCCCAAAATGTTTCGATCTTTGCTTTAGACGTAGATTTCAGATCTCAGGGTATAAAAACTGAGAAAAATGCGTCGCTGGGTCTAAAAGATAATCGTTAGCGCGTATCGCAACTCAAAACCCGAAATCAATTTTCAAAAAAGTTCTCGAAAAAAACTAGAAAATTTCATACGTGTTTTTGATCAATTTTAAGACGTTTTTGCTCTGTGTGTTTTTTTGTTTGAAACTTTCATCTCGAGATCGAAAATCGCAAAATTTTGAACATGTTATTGTTACTTCAATTTTTCGGCAAATGATTTTTATCGCTTTTTATCATCGCGTTTTTAAACTTTACGATTTTCTATTTCAAGATAGATTTTAAACGAAAAAACGTAAAGAACTAAAACGTCTTAGGTTTAATCAAAGACAAAGTTGCAATTTTTTCAGATCTTTTTGAGGACTTATGTTTCAAAAAGTCCTCGAAAGGTTTCCGTTTTTCGAGTTTGCGGCATGCGTTTACCATTAGTTTTTGGGCCCAGTGACGTATTTTTCTTATTTTTAGACCATTGGAACCTAAAACAGCGTTTGAAGCAACGATCGAAACATTTTGGGAAATAAGAACTAGTCTAGTGTGAACATTGGTCGAAACATGATCATCATCGACGCGGAATTGAGTGCGAACGTCCAAAACTTCCTGATCGCTTAGTTTTTGCTTGAAAAGGGTCAAACGTTATCCAGAAAAAAGTATTTAATTATGTTTCTAACGTGTGTTTTACTCGGCTTTCCAATTATATTTATTTTGTACAAATTTGTTCGTAACCTCAAAAAATGGACTTGAAGATAAAACACGCTGTTACTTCTAGAGTTTCAATTTTTTAATTTTACTAAGAGTAAATGGACCTATTACCGTGTGTAAGTCAATTACAGTGGATAATTTTTATTAACAATCGCGTATGTTAAGTTGTCAAATTAGATCATTCCGAAAATATTCGTGTTTGTTCACTTGATGGAACTTTATTAATCTCGTAAAAAATTAATTTTTTTGAAAAGAATATTTTCACCTTTAATTCATTTGAAAATATTCAATCCAATTTGAAAAAAAAAGTAAAAAAAATTGTAAAACACAATTTAAGTTCAGACATCATTTGAACTATTACACAGGCACACAAAAAAACTCTTGAGTTCCGGAGACCCGACCCAGTGGACTTTATGTTTTTTGGGTTGCTGAATCCGAATCCGGTGTCTGTTTTTCAAAATCAGATCGATTTAAGGTCATTTAAAGGTCATTTAAAGGTCAAATCATGAAAAAAAGGTTAAAAAATCTGAAACATTTCCTTTACAGGTTTTCGAGGATGCTGAATTCAAATTTGAATTCAGATGACCTCTATGACCTTACCTTCAAGGTAATTTGAAGGTCAAACTCAGAGAATTCAATATAAAAATCCGAAAAATATCACATTTGTCTTTGAGGGTCACTGAATTCGAATCGAAGGTCATTATGAGTAAATTCGGACATTTAACGGTCATTCGGAGGTCATTTGAACCCTTAATTCACTCAGTTTTATCCTATCTTAAAAATATTGCAAGAAAAATGTAGGTAGTTTGATGTAAGTTTCCAAGCTAGTATAGTTAGGGTCCATGCATCACTTACCCCGTTAGGATGATCTCGTTATAACTACTGGAATTAGGTTTCCAATCACCACCAGAAAGTGGCCATTCTTTCTCACTAAAGCCTGTCTTTTTTTGCGACTTGGAGCCGACAGAGTAGAAGGCTGGTACAAGATCACCCGGGCAGTCAGCGAAGTAGGCGCAACACGTAACCGGTGATTCGTGCAGGTCCATCGGATAAGGATTTTCAAAGCAAGGAAAGCCCTGTGTCAGCAGATCAATCACCACAAGGTCGTTTTGTAGCAATACCACAACCGCATAGGGATCCTGAAAGTCTGTTGTACACAAGGGACCAACGAGTGTACGAATGAATCTTTTTTTCTCAACGATGAATCAACGATGAAAGTTATAGTTTTATTGATCAAAAAAGGCAGATGTATTATAGTATTCATTTTATTAAGTAAATTTTGCACTAAAACTACTCGTTATTAAAGCACCACTTAATTTTTTTTTATTATGTTAACGTCAAAAAATATATCTTTATATCGACGTGCCATTGCTGAAAGATGCCGCTTTGCAAAGCAGAGCAGAAAGATGACATGTCACGCTCCGGGCAGACAAATGCTATTTCACGTTCAAGCTGAAAGATACCACTTCGGCGCTCGATTCTGAAAGATGGTTTTTTCTGCGTTTGAAGTGACACCATATTAATTTTTTATGTTTTAGAAGTAAAATTGGATGCTCTTCCAGAATATACCGTTGGAATGAAGGTAATAGTTAAAGTTGAAGCTTCAAACGCAGAAATACCGAGCGCCGAAATGGCATCTTTCAGCTCGGAGCGCGAAATGGCATCTTTCTGTCCGGAGCGTGACATGGCATCTTTCTGCTCTACTCTGAAAAGCGGTATCTTTCAGCACAGCACGTCGATATGGGCTATTCCACGTCAAGCGTGATGGGTCACAAAAATGACTTTCAGACTAACAAGGAGACTACCCCAAGTCCAGGTCACGGATTTGCTCCAACATTTTTTTGGGGTCTCCTGGTACCCAATACTGAATCTCCCTGTGCTTAGTTTAATCTCATGGGCCTTAGAGCCCATTTTTTAGAAGATTTTCCACATTATAAAAAAATCTTTGTTATTTACTAAATCGATATAGAAGTGATAGGGAGGCTCTCGTGAGACTCGATCAAAAAATCGATTTTCTTCTTTTTGCTCACTTAGTTAGCAAATGTGTAAATATAGTTAAATACATACTTCATAAGTACCAAAAAACTTGACTGCATTATTCACTTACTTCCACGAAAAAAAATCACGAAAAACACGTCATGTCTTAAGCGCTATAGAATTCGCGCGCATTTCTTAGGGCATATAGAAAATAACAAAGATATTTTTATAATGTGGAAAATCCTCTAAAAAATGGACCCTTAGGCCCATGAGATTAAAGTAAGCACAGGGAGATTCAGTATTAGGTACCAGGAGACCCCAAAAAAATTTTGAAGCAAATCCATGACCCGTAGTTGGGATGGTCTCCTTGTAAGTATGTATTCTTAAAAAGTACATTGAAAAATGAAAATCCGTAAAGTTTTAGCCCCCTAGGTCCATCCTTCATAGATCTACAGGGGCTCAAAGTCGGATTTTAAGTTTTTGATGCATTTCTGCTTATTATTCTGCTTTTCTGGGGTGAATAAAAAAAGTAGTTAAATCATGTTTCTTCAAGTAAAATTTGATATAGAATTCAAAAATGTTATTCATAACCTCGAAACCCCTTAAAAATTATCAAAAAGCATAAAGTAACATAAAATTAAAAAAAAAGTTGTTCGTATACCTCAAGTTGGCAGATATTGAAATATGTTTATCGACACATCGAAATACAACTTCTTACCTAGTCGCATAGTAGAGAAATCAATAGACTTAATTCTGTAGCATACAATAAACCAAAAAACATGAAAAATGAGGAATAAACCATGTTTTAATAGGAATAAATCATGAATGTTGTAGAATTGAGTCTATTGAATTCCTCATTATGCCACGTTGTATTTCGATGTATCGATGAACATATTTCAATGTCTGCCAATTTAAGGTATACGAACAACTTTTTTGGACTTTTATGCTACTTTATGCTTTTGATCAATTTTAATGGGTTTAGAGGTTATGAATATGATTTTTGAGCACAAATTTGAATTCTATATCGAATTTTAGTTAAAGTAACATTATTTTATATTTTTTTTACATTCACCCCAGAAAAGCAGAATAGTAAGCAGAAATGCATCAAAAAATTAACATCCAACTTTGAGCCCCTGTATATCCATGAGGGATGGCCCTAGAGGGCTAAATTTTAAGGATTTTCATTTTTCAATGCACTCTTTATGAATAAATACTCAGTTTAAAAGTATTTTTTTGACATATCACGCTTGACGTGAAATAGCCCATATATTGTCTATAGGTAAGGTTCATAATTTTTTATATAATGCGTGGATAATGTAAGGTTTTTTGGATTTTTTAAGGGGTAAAGACCGCTCTAGGATATTCAAAAAATCTATTTTTGCATATAATGCTCCTTTTGTTTAGAATGATGCCACATTACTTTTATAAGGAAAGAATAATTTTAAGATGTTTTATTTTTAATTTTTCTACACCGCTTTATACGAGAACAAAATGAGAAAGAAAAACTTTAAACGAGTTTTTGTTGAAATATAATTTTTTTAACACTGCGTGCGCGAAACACAGGTTTTCTAACCTTAAATCGTCAAAAAACCCTAGTTTCTCCCAAGCAGGGTTAAAAATATCGTTTGCAACTAGCCCGCGAGGAAGTTGACTCACCCAGGAGTCTTGGTAAAACAACTCCTGGATGAATCAATTGTTTCGCGCCCTTAATAACACAAAATATACTATTTCGACACTACCGGACAAAAATCTCGGAAATTATTAAACGGATTGAGCTGTACATTTCAACAGGAACTTTAAAATAATATTTTCCAATGAGATACATTTTCGATTCATTAGTTACTCGAATTACGATAAACAATTTTTAAAAAAATTTTTTTAACAAAAGTCGGGTTTTTTCTTCGACACAATTTTTACTTTTCCGCTAAAATCCTACGCACAAAAAAATAACTTTTTGGTAAATTTACGATATCTCCGCCATTTCGCAATTAAAATCAATCATAAATATATTATAAGTCCTCAAAGTCTTAAATTAAATGATCTATCATAGCCTTCGCCAAAAATTTCCGAATTTTGGCCTTTTTAAAAAAATCCCAGAGTGGTGTTACCCCTTTAATGTTCCTTCGGCTTGACCATAATAGCCTAGCAAAATGCGGATTAAAGATTAAACAAGATACGTACCACTGGACCATGGACTATCGCAAAGCGTGACAAAGTCGACGACATTATGTTCCATTTCCAGGACAGTTGTCGTCTTGCCCTGGATTACCGTGATACTCGGTGTCCTGCCAGTCGTTTCGTAAGCCAGACCACCGGAAAATATCACATATGCCTCCCTGTAAATGATGTATATAAAATATTTCTTCGTGCTGAATGTCGTTCGAATGTTTCTGCGATTACCATAGCTTTGCGCACTACAATTATTTATTTCGAGCTATTTTTTGAAACAATATTGATCTAAAGACGCGTGGAACGTTGTGTTCTTATGTAGGTAGCAAAAGCATCGTGTTCTAGAATTTCGTGTTTACCACAAGCTATTAATCCAGGTATTTAGGGCCGCCCAAGTTTTTGGCAGAATCAAGAGATGCGTCTAGTTTTTCTATAGTAATTGACATATTGGATACTCATGCTTTGGATCGAGTGTTATCTCGTTTTTGCAGAAGTTTATTGATTTTACTGGATTTTGTTCAACAGGGTGCGGTCAATATTGCTTTATGAAGTTTTAGGTGTTTTTTTTGAGTCATGCCAATATTTTCATGAGACCAATTTTTTTTCTCCCTTGCGACGGTGCGAATCCCCGCGCACCGATTTTCCACAAGAGGTGAAGCACCAGGTAAGCCGAGGCTTACCGTCGACCGGGTCCGGCTAGCTAGAAAAGGGTACGAAACTATGGGGGTCCCACGAGTCGGTACGTCGCCGAGAAGGGAGTTGTCAACCGTGGAGTCGACGCGGTCTGCCGGTACCGCCACGAAACGCCAATTGAGAGGAGATGTGAAGAAAAGCTTAAGGTAGTTGGATGATCATCATAACAATAGTACACTTTTGAGAAGTCTCAACATGCACAGCTAGCTTATGTGCAACCTAGAAGCGGGTTAGAAGACGAACATAATCCAAAATACCATGATTTTATACTTTGATCGTTAAATACTTCTTTAGAAAGCGCGAAGACCTACATTTTTTAATGCACTAATGGAAAGGTGATGACTTTATCTTTCTAATGGATAGTTTTTTTATTTTGAGGGGAATACCCCTCGAAACATAATTGAGCAAGTTATAGTCATTTCATGCTCAAATTTCAATGACATCCACCCAAAGTTTCAGCCCGATCGTAACACATTAATTTTTTCTTCAACCACCTTAAATAAATACACAACCTAATATGTTTAGTATGCAGTCTTTATTTCAATTTTGGTCTGGTGCTTCGCGCACCCACTTACTCAATCACACTCACACACACACACACACCTGGGCATCGGCCTCCTTGGCTCAGTGGGTATAGTTCTTGCCTGCTGATACAAGGTACGCCGTAGGGCGTGGGTTCGATCCCCACCAGACGAATTTTCGAGGTTCGTTTTTTCGCCTGGTGTGGTCGAGCCCGTGCCCGAGGTGGAGCGGGTACCACTCAAAAAGAAGACCCGGGCTATGTCATCAGCCTCCGAAGCGGTAAAAAACCCCTATCACTGTGCGAGCTGAAAACGAAGAGGATAACCATAAGTAGGAGTTCTAGGCGAGGACTCACAAGGCTGGCGATAGACGGGGAGCACAACACTCCCATGACGAAGTCAGAAGCGAGAACCACACTCATAAGAGGGTGCCGGATGCGGTAGCTTAGGCTCGTTGAAGTCCGCATGATGGCACCTGAAGCGAGAACAACACTCCCAAGACGACAACAGAAAAGGAGGAGCACTCACAGGGTAGCGCCGGAAGCGAGAACCACACTCACAAGATGTAGCCGACAGAGCAAATTGGGCACTTGCCATCGGCGTCAGAAGCGAGAACCACACTCACAAGATGGCACTAGACAGCGAGTTCTAAAAGACGTCTAACTCAGGAGGAGATGCCAGCAATGTGTGACCACGCAGTAGACGGCTCTGAAGAAGGGGATACGACAATCGACGATGGCATCGCGCAGGATCGGAGGTTCACCAAAGTAGAAAAAAGATGAGTCCCTGAACCCCTAATCGTCGTATATCGCTATGCGACGGATGGGGGATGTATGGAAAAACAACGACTAACAGAAGTAGCAGAAATGCTCAACTAACCCCGGCCTCACCGAAGCAATGCCTAACGGCGGATTCCGGTGAGTGTCCGAATGGGGTGGAGTAGAAAAAAAAAAAAAAACACACCTGGGCGCAGATAGTTGGAATATATATCTTCAGCATATATGCACTCCCTAGATTCTCCCAAGAGGAGGTGATTGTCGGCGGCGCGAACCTGTCTATTGGTGGAGCGACAGCATCGAGGAGTGTCACACAGCATGAGGAGCTGCCTCCGGTTGCGAAGACGCGCGTGACGGTCGTGCTGACGAGATCACCAATCGCGAGAATTTCGCCGACGCACGGATACGTCTATGCAGGGTGATACAGGCGAGCAAACGCCTCTGATGGAGGCAGCTCCGGTGGGCATACTGAGCACCTTCGCATTGTCAGCGGGTACGCAAGGCAAACCGGGTAGCGGGTGCCCTGCTGGGTCTTATGCCCAACATCGGAGGTCCAAGGAGTAGTCGACGTAGGCTGTATGCCAGCGTCATCAACTCAATCCTTCTCTACAATGCCCCGGCATTGAGTGAGGCAGTAAAGACGCATGGCTACGTCCACCGTGCGGCGTCGATCCATCGACGTGCCTGCTTGGGTGTGATCTGCAGGTTTTGCAGTATATCACACGAGGCCTCTCACGTTCTTGCCAGCATCCCACCGCTGGCACTACTCATCGACGAAGGCTCGAGGCTGTATCATCGCCGCCTCGAAAACGTTGAGAGGGAAGAACGGGGCAGGACGATCGAGAAATGGCAGGCTCAATGGACCCGCTCGACGAAGGGTCGGTGGACACACCGACTCATCCCGAACATCATTCTGTAGATTAAGAAGAGACGGAGAAGTGAACTACCACGTCACGCAGCTCCTGACTGGTCACGGTCGCTTCAGGTCATACCTGTGTCGGACAAACAACGACACGAGTGACCTGTGCCCGGCGTGTCCTCTGGCGGTAGAAGATGTCGAGCCTGTCATTTTTCACTGATATTACTATGCAACGGATGGGGGATATATGAAAACGACCAAAAAAATCGAAGCAGCAGAAATGCTCAACTAACCCCGGCCTCATCGAAGCAATGCCTAGCGGCGGTTACCGGTGAGTGTCCGAATGGGTTGGAGTAAGAAAAACACACACACACACTATCTGCTCGTTAGCTACGTCCTCAGTCACGACTCGTCGAGGATGGAGTACCAGCTTGGGCGGTCGTGCATACAAATATTGTAATATCGCTTACCGTCGCCGCAACGTTGCCCTGGGGTCCACGACAGAGCTCGGGTCACGGAATCCTCACTTCTTTGACAGTACCGGCTCCAATCGGCTACCAATCCTCGCTTCCTGGGTGTAGTGGACGTGGCGTTTCCGGACTTAACGACCTCGACGCACTCACTCAATAGTTCACTCTCTCTTTCTCGATTAAAGGTGCTGCTCACCTGCCGCTAAGCCACCCACGTACCCACTATACACTTTAGAGATTCGACACCGGATTTTCTGCGATTCTCTCGCGCGACGGATATCTCACGAGCGAGTACTTCTCGCTGCGATCAGAATGATTCTGGACCAGCGAGCACGTGTGTGCACGTGTATGCGCACTCGTTCGCGGCTCATACCAGAGCAGACGATTTCCCGAAAACATGAGAGAATCGTCTTATTATCACTATTATCAGCGCCGGTCGAGCGTAAACATTCGTTTTCGTCTGGAACGTTGGATATATGAGCCAACGTATCTAAGACGATTCTGCATCATCAAAAACTAAATTTATTTATTGTACGCCATACTTAATATTACTGAGATGTCTATTTCTCTAGATAAATTGTTTTATATATTTATATTTTTTTATTTTTTAGATTCTTTGGATATAGATTATCGAGGGAAATTTTGTTTGTTTGCCATCTGTTTGAGAACAGGGTGATGCATTCATCATTCCACCACGGAGCTTTCGCTGGTTTTAGTTTTTTAAGTATTATTTTCATGTATTTTAGGGTTTAGTGAGTCGTTATTTTCAGAAGAAAGGTTATCCAACTTTTCTTTGAGATTTTGTTTATTAGATGTCAGAAAAGTTTTAGATTCTGTCTTTATTACATTGATAAGGTAGTTATATCTGTCTTTTGCATTAAGATTGTTTATCAATTCCAATTTTTCTTCAATAAATTGATGGAGTATTACTGTATAAATGCCCCAATTTTTTGTTTTTAAATTAAGTTTATTATATTTAATTAGTATGTCTGGTATGGTTTTAGAATTAATGGATATGGAGCATTTTATTGGGTGGTGATCGCTATGTGTCCGATCATCTAGGACCTTCCATGTGTCTTGATCTAAGAGATTAGTATATATTAGCATCAGGTCGTTAGCTAAAAATGTAACATTTATATCTTCAGGGTTTTCATTTGATGTTATGGTTTTATAGTATTTATTGTACCGATTATTTAAAGTGACAGTTAGATTTTCTCCTGCAGAAGTTATCTTACATTATCCTCATGCTGAATGGTGGGCGTTAAGATCGCCGCCTATTAATACATATTTGTATTCTTTACAGGTTTCCAAGAGAATTTCTATTCGTTTTGTTTTTTTTTATCGGCATTCTATGAAATGAAACAATTAATAATTATTTAGGTCATTTCTATCTTTAATGGGAATAGAGAAACCTAGGAGGTATAATTTGTATGATGCCCTTTGCTGGTTTTGTAATTTTATTTTCCTTTGATAAGTAGGAGTTTTTTAATTGGGTTGATTGAATGTGGAATTCGTCTACAGAGCAATCATCATCTGAGCATTTACAAATTCAGGGAACTCTAACGATCTCATCTTCTTTTCATTAGTGTCGTAATTATTTAATTGCGATCTGACTTTCTTTAGGTCTTGATTGTTTATTCTAGCGATATTTGGAATTTTTGTTCTTTTATTTTTGTGGGGCTTTTTGAGTCGGTAGGAAGATGTTATCCTTGATCGATAACATTGTCTTAATTGATGTACTTGTCGGTTTCTTTTGTAGGGCATTCTGCATCTAAGCGATTATTTTCTTCACAGTGTATACTGTGACGATTGCGTTACGCCGTCACAGCTCTCTCGCCACTTCAGCCATACTATTGTGAAATATACCATTTGACTGATGTTTTCCACGCAGCAGTGGCAGCGAGACGCATGTGTGTGCGAGCGTGTGTGAGTGGAGATACTGTGGGTCGCGAAACACATAATGCCATCGAATATTTTGGAGCAGGAGTGACGAGTTGTTCACGTGATCGATTCGCTCCTGCGAGCCACGCGACTGTGAGCAGCGCGGCGAGATCGTTTTCGGACGCTGACACGACCACATCGACGTGGTTCCGAAATCGCGAGAAGTCGCGTCGGGCGTAAGTTTTATCGCGTACGTCGCAAGTGCATGTACCCTGATGCACAACCCGGACTAGCGTGAACGAGTAGCACCGAATGTCGCGGGTACGTGCGGTACGTACGACTTGGACTCGCGTGTACGCCTTCGGACGGGCTTGATTGTCGGGACACGTGAAACGGTGTCGTGTGCTGGATCTCCACGTGCTTCATTTGTACGAGGCAACGAATTGCCGCTCGATTCTGCGTATCGTGGGCGTGAGTGCAGCAGCATGAACAGGACGAGGGGCCATCCTTGGCCAGCGACGGCCAGGGCATGCGCAACTAATGTAAGTACCTCTCAAGTACCAAGCCGTCTTAATGCGTGTGCAATGTGCTGTATGTAAGAGTGTGTGATCGCGATTGTGCTGCTGCATTTTATTTTCATCAAAAAAAATGGAATTTTTCGATTTTTTTGTGCGTAAAATACAAAAATTCGTCTTTTTGGACTTCGTAGGTACGGTTTTTTCATGTAAAGAATTATACTTTAAGAATCTACCAGAATCCAGGCAATATTTAAACATCGATGTCAAAGTGGTCTAGTCCAAATATACACGCCACATTCACTTTAAGTCCTGTTATGCTTGCTCATTTTTGCCTTTTCGAACACTAGAAGAGATATATCATTTTCAGAGATTCAATTTTGTCGTGAAACGAAGCCCTCGCATGGAAGCTAAATATGATTGAACGACATATAAGAAAAACTTGGCGATTAATCAGATCGCTAACCGGTGAGCTTTACAAAGCGAATAAATTCTAAAAATGTAAATTGGGTGTGCGTCACGAGTTCAAATCGTCAAATCGACTTGATTTTCCATTCCGGACCGCACTTGATTATTAACGAAGCATAGATACAATTCTTATTTAAAATGAAACTTGACGTACGAAATGAGTAATTTGTGTCTTTTTTGTAATGGGCCATATTCAATAAGCCATGAAGAGTCATAGCTACAGTGTATGAAATGTAATCACTGGGCGCAAAGAAATGTTATATTTGTGAAAATTGTAAATTTAGTTGTTGTGATTGATAATATTGTTATCTATAGTAATAATATACAGGGTGCGACAAAAGTATGGAAACCCCTGGAAATATCGCAGAATATTCGTTAAAAAAAAATCAAAGACCCTATATCCGACGTATTTTTCGACGAGGAATCCGATGGTGACCTTGAATTTGACCTTGAACATAACCTCAAAGCTGCAGCGACTCAAAAGTCAATTTTTCAAATGTAACCCCCATTTTTTATTGCAGATTTGAAAAGAGCGGAAAATTTCACGTCAAAATGTTTGTTTTGTTTTTTTTTTTAAAGACCATTTTAAGAGTGCTACAAGCTCAAATAAAACCCCGATTTAACCTAAAATTAAGCTCGGAATAACTTCATTTTCTAACTGTAGCGCCCCTAAAAATGGTCTTTAAAAAAAAAACAAAACATACATTTTGACGTGAAATTTTCCGCTCTTTTCAAATCTGCAATAAAAAATGGGGGTTACATTTGAAAAATTGATTTTTGAGTCGCTGCAGCTTTGAGGTTATGTTCAAGGTCAAATTCAAGGTCACCATCGGATTCCTCGTCGAAAAATACGTCGGATATAGGGTCTTTGATTTTTTTTAACGAATATTCTGCGATATTTCCAGGGGTTTCCATACTTTTGTCGCACCCTGTATGTTGCATAGTGTTAAATATTATATTTATCATTGCATTATTGTTATTGTTACCGTAAAATTGTTTGAATTTATTGGTCATGACGTTAAAATAAATTAAATGTTAAATAAAAAATAATTCTGAGTAAAATAAACTCCAAATAAAACGCTATTTTTATTATGCTAACTTGCCCCAAAGCTTTGCCAAGTTACTCCCGTCCGGGACAAATTGACACTTGTGTCTTCACGACATAAAAATGCCTAAATAGGAAAGAAATCTTTTTTGATTGGGATAAAAGTACATACGTACAGTTAGCTCTATACAAGCTCTATTTATCTGTGAAAAAAATTCATCGATAAAATCTTAATATCGATTAAAAAATAACCGTTGTTTAAAAGTAACGCCAACACACCCCAGTCTTCCCTAAATGCATGTTTTCTCTCGTGCTGCGATTGTAAAAATAAGAGCGAAAAGCTTGATGAAATAAATAGAAATTAATTTTTTATTGCTCGTGACTCAAAGTGTTGATTTTTCTCGTGCATATCATTTAAAGCAATTTATATATTAAGGGGCTGAGTGTGTCTACAAGCAAGCCATATAAAGACGAATGGGTAAAAGTGAAGAGTTGTTGCAAGAGACTTACCCAGATCGCGAGAGCTTCCATTCGACTTTCTGAATGGCTTTGCATGGCTCGGGCTCGCCATCCTTCGTGCTTTTCGCTGTGAACGGAAAAAATCAAAGTTAGCAATAAGAATCGAAGAGCAAAATATAGTAGTAAAAAAAGAAAGACTCGGCAAGACCGAGGTTAAACCAATAGTAAAAATATATTACGATAAAGTACTGAAGTAGTCGAATCGGGAAGTAGTGCTTTATCTATTTTGAAATACGCTTTGGCTTTTCAACTATACATAAATGCATTATTTATATTGATTTGTGCACGGATTTACAGCTAACGTTGGCTGCGATAAAACTATGATATTCAAATTAAATCTCAATTTAATGATCCAAAAGACGCCTATCCATCAAAATTATAAATATTCAATCCCTCGACATTAGCACTCGAATGTAAATAATAATATTTTGGCAAACCAGTTATCCCGTACACTTTATCATATCGTTCATAAAAACTATGTTAAAAGTTTTACAATGAATACTCTCGCATAGAAAAACCTCAAGTTTGACACAAAATTGTGTAAACTGTTTATGTGTCATTGGTCCGAACTTAGCACATACGATTCTAAACTCATAATTGAAATTTTTCGGATACATTTGCAAGATATTCCAAGCATGTAAAATTTATTCAAAAATAGTCTCAATCTTTGTGGAAATAAATCTTAAAATTTTAATTCTTAGTTTAGAATCCTATGTGCTGAGCTTGGGACAAATGACCTGCAAATCTGTGGTGGAAAGGGAGAAACCGACCAACTTCATTTTTGGCGTTTTCAAGAATAACGTGTTTAAAGTTGCGTAAGAGTGCGTTGCTAGACGCGAACGACTATAGCTCTGTATCCATGATATTTTAATCTATTATGATATATCTTTTGGTCCATGTAACTATCAAAATGACAGCGTAAAGGCGAAACAAAAAAATGGACTTGGTCGGTTTTGCCGGGAAACGTTTTACGCTCAAATCCACTTACTCAATTTCTAAGCCACTGTATAAGTATCCAAACCCACCGTAAAAATTATTAACTAGTGGATTCAATAGGAAATTTCCTCAGCTTTTTAATGGTCATAACAGATTTTCCATACTCACCAAGGAAATTGCCATCAAACATTCAGAGCTAAATATCTCGAAAAACCAAAAAAGTGAACTCAGAGGTTTGCTTTTGATGAAAATGGAAATAACCGGAAAATCTGATTACACCATTAGTAAGCTGAAAAAAGTTCCTATCAAAACCATATTATCATTTATTTTTTCAGTCTAATTACAATATTTTAAAAGCGAGTTTTGATCGTAGCGAGCCACTGAGAACCACGCAACCGCGCTGAAAACGGCCCGAGAACAGAAAACGAAAAACAGAGTAATCTAAATTTGCTCGTATAATAAACTGTATATGTTTTAAGGGGAAAAATGTTGTCGCGATTGTACCTCCAAAGAAAATTAAAGTATTAAATCTATAATGATCATACGATATCTGGTCTATGATAATATCACAAATTGGAATTTTGAATTTTTGATAAATTGTCAAACAGCTTTATCTCCAGTTCCAGAGGACTTTGAGAGTTTTTCAATATACCAAATTAAATATAATTATGTGTTCAAAGTGGTAAATAAAAACACTCTTAAAAGAGCGAATACTATATTCAACTAATCTCTTGTTAAGCTAATTCATGATTCGAAGTGCATTCTTGATATTCAATAATGAGACTTATTTGAGTTCGATACTAAATATGAGTTTCCAGATTATTATCAATTCTCGTCTGTTTAATTGAATCATTGTTCAAATGAAAATTTAAGTGAATGAAAAATTAAATTAAATGGATTAATTATCAAGAATCGTTAGATAAACGCACGGTAGAATATACAATGAAATGAATAGCTGAAAAAATACTTACCATGCGGATGGGTGACGTTGATCGGCTTTGCCTGTCGGACAAGCCATGTTGTGAGAGATCCATCGGTGTGGCTGCACATGAATTGTTTGCCTTCATGATGCCAAGATATAGACCTGAGAGGTTCGTCTGCTTGCCATCTGAACTCCGCTTGTTTGCTTTTCAAATCCCACAATACCATTTGACCTGTCTCGTAGCCAATCAACATCTATGGACAGAAATGCAAAACTGTTGAGCAATTCAACGATCCGTTTCGCCCGAGTGCGTATTCGTTGTTGGAATTAAAGACTACAAATCAATTTTTTCAAGATATTGACTATAGATGGGTTGAAACGATTTTTCTATTACCGAGAAATATTTAAAATCTGGTTTCTCAAATTCTTAAAAGTTTGAGTATGTTTCTTGATCAATAACAAGACTAATTCGCTTCATAAACTTTTTTTTTAAACTCAATAGTTGTTGAGATAAAAAATTTGTTTTGTTAACATTGCAAAAATAATTGATATTTTTTTTAATATTATATGAACATGAATAATGTGCAGTTTGTATACACAAGTAGATATTTAAAAAAAGTTTCCAATTCCCAGATTACATATAGTTTATAATTTGCATATTGTGAGAACATGTTATTTTTAACGGGGTGAACTTGAAAAACTTTCAAATGCCATATTGATTTTTAGAATCAGTTGCTCATTCTACTGACATACTTGGCTATATTTTGTTGATATATTATTGAGCGCGCTCATGCTTATTTTGAATTCGAGAGTGTAACTGATATGTATAACGATAAAGTGACTGATAAACTGTTCTTACCTTACTTAAATCCAAAGGATTATCACTTAAGTGAACAACAGCGCCAGGATGTGTTTTCCTCGACCTACAAAATCGCAATATCCAACATTACATCATAATTACATCGTCTTACGTACATAGTCCTACACCTGAGACTAATAAGATAGATACAAAAAACAGGCTTAGATCTATTTAACTTTTAACCATTTATTTTAAAGGTACATGAATAATTTAAAGGAAATTTACAAGACACCAAATTTTTATTCATAAATTTCATCATAATCTAAAAACATCGTGCCAAAAAAATTATTTTTGCTAAGAAATGGGTTTTCAGCTAAGATTTGATACCGAGTTAAAAGTTAATAGAGAGCTTCAAAAATATTATATACACATTTCTTTTAATTAAAAGAAAAAAATCGTAGATCTAAACACGAACATGAGTTGAATCATCATTTATTATTTGCGAACAATCATTCGCAGATATTTTAGGAATGATCTTTTAGTTCGATTTTTGACTTTGGTTTAATTGAGCGTGGATCGATCGAATGCAAGAACACGGGTGAAATCATCAGGGAGAATTTAAAGGCAGAGATTTACTCGGCGCCTACCGCATGTAATGTTGACTCCCAACAACGACCGAACTGCTGCAAGCTCGTGTGTACCACCTTCTGCTTTTGCGTGACCAGCTACTAATGTATTATTCAAAAAATCAGATCGTCCGTTTGCGCTTAGGTGCAAGCGGTACATGTGATTATACTGTTAACGGCGAGTAATGTTTGAATGCGGGAAACTTTAGACGTACTTATGACAAACATTTGTAAAAATAAAAACCTCTAACGTAAATGTTTTACATATTGTACGGCGCACGAGGGCCAGAAGCTCGGTGCTAGGCCCTGTGACTCGTATGACATTCATTTGCATATGTACCTGATGCGAAGATGTGAGCACAATGTATATAGAGTAACGAGTGCGCTACCGCGTATTTTGATTCTGTAAGAGGCCTATTTAGAGCCTCTCATTGCAGACGTTATATAACAAGTTACGTCGAATGTAATCAACAGCCAATTGCGCCTGTATGCATGGAATGGGGAAACTTGCACAGCTCTAAAATACATGAATCAAAGTAAAACGCTAAATAATCATATCATTAATGAAATTATTTTTCTTTCAAATAGTTTTTCTCATTAATTGCTCTATCGAGACAGGCGAAATGGCTCACACAACATTCTTTGATCATATTCTTGCTGAGACTCTTGGATCAATTCTCGTTACAAATTTTAGTAAAGGAGAAATACAAAAGTTGATTTTACTACTAATTGCACGCAAACATTATTGAAGATTATATTTTAATCCATTTGATGCATCAACTTCATCGTATACTCTTATACTCGATGAAATGGGAATTTTGAGAGAATATTATTTGTCCAAATGTTAATTCGGAACTTTGGTCCTAGTTAATCTAAAACAAAGCTTCCTCACCTCAGTTTACGAATTAATTGTGCTGAATCAAGAATTTAATCGGAGTATCTTAAAAGTGCTGATATTACGCTATCTAACGTGACTTGAATATTAAAAAGTTTTTCGCTCCCAGAACTTTCGCCGAGTTTTTAAGTCCCATCTCTGTATGTACAGTAAAACTTCGATAATTCGAAATTTTCGATAATTCGAATTCAGGCTCTGTTTTTAGCGTTTTCGATGTAAATTCAATGTTAATTTACCTCGATAATCCGAACAATATCATAATTCGAAATGAAATTTTGCATTTAGAGTCTAGATGCCCCCGATTAGACCCCGAAAGATCAACATGGGACCTTGGGTCCCAGTCAAATGCACTGAAAATTTTTTTACTTGTAGATTTTGACCTCCTGAACAATAATAAACATTTAAGTGACCCCTGAAAATGAGCCGTTTATGAGAAAAAAATGATTAAAGTTGTATAATTTCAAAGCCGCTTAACGTAACCTCTCTCTGCTCGCTATAAACATAAACAAGGGTATCGCGAGAAAGTGAATTACAAAAATCTTTGCCAAACACTTTTTCGTGGCCGATACTGAACTGCTTTCATGTTTAACGTTATCAAAAGCCTAGTCTTAGTCATATTTGAGACGCTTCGAATTACCGATAAGCTACGTCGATAGGAGTATTTGTATTACAAAAATCTTTCATAAATCTGCTTTTATGTTTTGCATTATGAAAAGACTATATTCTACAAGCTAAAAAGTCAAAGTAATCTATGTTATAACTCGGCTCAATAATATGACGCTTAGACGAGATAATCAGTACAATAACGAAAGTCATTGCAAGTTTTGCATTCTAACGACTTGAAAATGTTCTGCTTTCATGTTTTTCCTGATGAAAAGTTTTTTGTAAGTGATGCAAAAAGTAGCAGTACATCCAGTCAGACGGATAAAACTTTCTCTATACCTGTATCAGCAACATAAAACTGCTGCTCTGCACAAATTGCAATGACGGGAAAAGAGTCCAGCTCGTTTTTACCACGTCCACGGAGTTTTAAAAGGGCAAAAAAGAAATCGCAAAATCTACACTCTCCGTCTTATGTCTAAGCATCGATCAAATAAGTGAAAAATTTTATGAAGGGTTTCACTGCTTTTTGATGAAAAGAGGAAAGCTTTTGCAATCAGACCTTGTAAAGGAGTACGTATCTTGACGTTTTAACGATACCTTACATGCCTTCGTAACTTGATTTCTCGAAGATGCTATCTTACTAGATATTTTCTAAACTAAAGTTTCGTCTGTTTTAATGATCGTATTAGCTAAAATTCGAGATGAAAGGCTTAAAAATTGCAGCTCTAGAGATAAAATTCACGAGACAGCAGCGTGGCATACAACCAAAACGTACATGTACAGTGGAACCTCGATAATTCGAATCTTAACCCTAACGGAAATTCTTCTAGAAAAATCAATAAAATTTTATAAACTTCTATAAACATTTATTAATTGATATAAACATTCGGATTTGAGACTCTAATAAAAGTTAATAAAAGTTTGTAGAAGTTTATAAAATTAATAATTATAAAGTTAATAATTACTGCATACCAAATAGCATCTAACTAATTAACTAATTGCGAGGAGTTGAATTCTAAATTGTGCAATAAATACCTCACAATTTTTTTTCAATTAAACATTTTAAAATGTTGTATGATTCCTTGATCTAAGGGCTGGAGCTTGGAGGTAGAATTTGGCGATAGAAACTCAACTTTCACCGATTCAATAGTGAGTTTAGGATGTGCGGCACAGTTGTCAACTATAAGAACTACTTTTCTCTTTTGTTTTGTTACTTTTTAATTGAAGTTTATCAATTCTTGAGTAAATAAACTGCTCGTCATCCAAGCCTTCTTGTCAGCAGCATTATTAACTGGCAAAGATTTTATATTCTTGAAATATCGAGGCTTTGCTGATCTTCCAACAATAAATAGTTTACGTTTATCTGTACCTGTCATATTGGTACAAAATAAAACTGTTATGCGTTCTTTGCTTTTTTTCCACCTTTACACTTTTCATTCTTAAAACACAAAGTTGAATCGGGCATACTTATAAGAAATAGAGCTGATTCATCCGCTTTGTAAATGTCATCTAGCTGATATTCATTCAATAATGTTTTTATTTTTTGTTGCAATCAACACAGGATTCTTCAGAAACACTGCCACTTTCACCGCATACTTTTCGAAATTCTATATTGTAGCGTTTTTTTAATCTATCTAACCAACCATTGCTGCACTTGAAATCAGGTTTTCCTAATGCTTCAGCGGATATTTTTCCTTTTTCCTGTAAAATTGGTTCGCTGATGCTTATTTCATTATCAAGACTTTGTTTAAATCATTTCAAAACACATTCATCCAATTCTGGAAAATCTGATTCCCTTTTTTTTACAACCTGTTCTTACTTGACAGTTTAAGATAGATTCTTTTTTTTTTCAATTCCAGAAAGCGTGTTTGGAAGAATTCCAAATTTTTGTGCGATATCTTTTTTCCACATTGTCGGATTACCTTCTGAAAACTTGATAATTTCGATTTTCTTCTCAATAGTACAAATATTATATGTAGGCATCTTGAAGTGAGAGTTTAAAACTAAATAACAACATTGACTCGAGCACTGTACTCGGCTACTGTAAGTATAATTTTACACGAATCGAAGATTTGAACTTCAAAATTTTCTTCGAATTAACCAAGGTAAGTATTCATAATTTAACATGCAAAAAGCAGGGGTTTCGCACGGGACCAGTAATTTCCTTCGAATTAAGCGGGTTTTCGAATTAGCAAGGTTCCACTGTAAAGTGAAACCTGTTTAATTCGAACCCGGATAATTCGAAAACTTGATTAATTCGAAGTAAATCACTGGTGTGTATAACCTTTATACTTTATATTATACTTTTATAGTTTAAACCCTGCTTAGTTCAATGGATTTTCTCGGTCCCTAGAGCTTTGTATTATACTGTTTTCACTTATAACGATTAGCCTAGTGGAGGCACACAATATGTATCCGAGAGATAACTCGGAAGATTAATTTGTACCGCGGATGGTAAGTACTTGTCCGTAATATTGCAGGCAAGGGTTTTCAACCACCAGAGGGCGAAGAGACACTACATTCAAGTTAAGTATAAGATAAGGTTTATTAAAAGTTTAGTTTAATTAAGAATTAGGTTGACAATATTTTAATTATCAATACGAAATAATATGAAGTTGTTCCAAGCGCGAGTCGTGCAGCAGTAGCAAAGCAAGAGCAAAAAATGACCCGAAGAAGAGCAACCGCCCGAAAGAAAGAGTTGGTACTTACAAGTACGACGTACTCAAACTCTCATCTTACGCGTATTAAGCTTTCATTACAATTGAAGACTTAAGGATAATACGCAATGTAGTTCACATAATCTTAAAGTCCGGAGAGTTGCAACGAGCTAGACCCCGTAGCAGTCGACCATCATCGACAAGAGAATATTTACTGGTAACACAAAAAAGGAGTTTCTTGCAATAGCTACATCTTTGCTAAGCTGACTTTGAAAAAAAATTTTAAGTGAAAAAATCACGTTTTTTTTTAATTGCAAAATAAACAATGATAATGTTTATTTATCGCAAAAATAACACCGGATTTTGAAAGAACATACCCAAAAACCCCTGGATATGAATTTTCAAGAAAAGATTTTAAATTTATCCATGATTTTTTTACAATGGAAAATTCCTGCACAAAATTGCACTTTTGCGCGTTAATGGGTTAATCTGATTTGCTCAAAAAAATGTCACGATCCGTGCTTGATTGATTTTTTTTCTTATCGATAACCATTGAAGAATGTGAACATTTGGTAAATAAGTGACTAATGTTTTTAATTCGTAGAATAGTTTTGACATAAACGAAGAACTCATCGACGTTGTTATCACAAGTTATCGAACCATGATCTACGAGTAGAACGACATCCTCACTGCATTATTCCGAATGCATACTACTCAGTATCTGCAGAGAATAATCACCAAATATGAATTCGTAATTCTGTTAAAGTTTAATAAATTACGATTTTACTCCATAGTAATTGAAGATATTTCAAATTTACGCTTCTTATTTCATCCCCCTTGAGATAGGTGTATTTGTTGAATATCAGGTTTTTGAAATAATGATGCAGTAATTAATGAGGAAAAAACTTACACTTCGATGGCCTTGTTCCAATTGATAACGTAGCCGGAGAGCACAAAAGTCTCGATATGAAGGACGTGGATGTTACCTCGTTCTGTACCAACGTATAGCCACTTGCTTTGCAGTGGCAAGTGCATACAAGTTATTCTGCAACAAGAAAAGAACAGTTGTACATGCATAGGGAAGCAATTTTTAACAAAAAGGCTAAAAGATATATAAGTTTATGTTTTACTGACACAAAATTCTTATTTTAATTATTAAAGTTGAGAAATATGTGAAAAAGTCAGACAGATAACTGATGAACATAAACTGTTATAAAATTTATAAAAAATTAAAGAAAATGATAAAAAAACTTTCGGAATTTTTAACTCAAAAAATAAAGGTTTAAGGAAAAATAGTATATTACGTGACAAGGGATGAAAGTCGAACTTCCGTCCCTGCGAGGTTATGCACCCGAGGCGAAGCCGAGGGTGCAAGCTCGCAGAGACAGGCGTTTGACTTTTGTCCCGAGTCGCGTATACGATTTTTCTTTATCCCCGCTCGAAAGTACGTTTGCTTAACATAGTTAAGAAATATTTTATTAAAAAAATTGTATCCATGAATTTACGCTTACATGGCAAAGCCCGCCGACATTTGCGGCCCGAGCGCAGCGAGGGCTGCTGGTCGACGGCGGGCTTTGCAACAAATATCATCAATAATAATGTTTATTAGTACATAACTAATATTATTAACAAACAATTGTAAATCATAGATAACTATGGCGTTAATAAAATACAAACGATCCCGTAAAGTATAAGCATGAATTAGTACCATATCAATTAAGTAATTCACTCAATCTGAGGTAGACAAGTAGAAACTTGAGAGACCTAGAATAACGTTTAAAGTTGAAAGAATTTTTCAAAATATATTATAAAAATTAACATATTTTGACTGTCTTTGTTCTCTTAGATCTCATTTTTTATTGCAACTACCATCTTTAACGATTTAAATTTCGGATTGGAATTGAATGTAATGAAATGTGCACGTCAAATTATGGCTATTCAATTTTGATACTTCATAGAATTGTTAGTCTTTTAATATTTATTCAATTTGGCATATGTACGTCATAAACAAAGTGAATATAATTCATCTATTGCATAGTCGAAACCAAACGATAATTGAAATGTAGGTTGCCGTAGTCATGGAGATAATAACTTTCGCGCGATATTGACGGGGAGCAAAGGTATTACTTTCATCCCCGAATTCGAAGATGAAAGTACGTACTTTCGAGCATGGGATGAAGAAAAATTTACTTATGAAAAAGTTCTTAGAATTGATTAAATAGTACGCTAGAATTTTTTCAGATTTTTCTGAATTTTTTTTTGATTTTTCAAAATTTTCAATTTTCAAAAATTGAGAAAATTTTTCCAAAAAATCTAAAGAAAATTCTAGCGTATTCTTTGATCAATTCTAAGAATTTTTTTTCCGTAAAATTTTTTCCTTAAGCCCTTCTTTTTCGACTTAAAAATTCTAGAAGGTTTCTAAAAAAATTTGGTGTTCTAACCGCCATTTTGTTTACTTAAACTTTAGTTTCTCCAATCTAAACCACGATAACTTTCAGTTTAGGGTCCATGGACGCTTTATTTGCACCCGAGACGCCAGGACTTCAACGTTTTCCAGGTGAAAAATTGAAAAGAAACAAATTTTTTTTTTCAAAACCACGTTTTTTTGCATAAAATCATCCATAACTTTTGACGGGTTGGTTATATCGAAAATCTGACGCAGGATTCGAAAAGTTTATTAAATTTTGCGTAGATTATGCTTACTCGCAATTTTTTCAGACCCAATTTTCAACAAAAATATAACGCCTCAAAAAAGTATCGAAAAAGTGTCCGTCCCGGACTTAATGGGTTAACTTGGAAAAAGTTCACTATGATGGTGGCAGGAATTTAGGTTTACGGTGAACGCAATTATCTAGCACTTTTTGTTGTCGGGCGCTTGGACTATGTCCCAGTAAAATCTTACATAAACGAGCCTATTTTCTTTACACGTTCAAATAATATTGTAAAAACTTTATTATTTAAAAAAAATTAATTTCATCGTTTTATCATATAGGAAACAAATACTCATTTTTTGATATCTATTATAAGTTTCTTAGTTATTAAGGGTTTAACAATTAAAATGTCAATAACTAATTCTGGCCCACTGAGATAGATTTTCCCTACAGGTATTTGTAAGCAGCAGCAAAGACAACAAAAATATTGCTTATGAGTTATGCTTCGTAACAACATAATTTTTATTAACTAGTTTAACAAATAACAATGGAGAAATTATCGATATCGCAATTTACCGTCACGCGTGAAGCCAAATTCTTGTCACTGTGAGAAATGATTCCGTTCAAAATTTTGGTATATGTTTCATGTTCACTGTATCATAAATATTTGTTCATTTGAAGAATAGCAAATGTATTCACACTGCAGAGATCTATTATTCAGTGCAAAATTTTTTCGGTGTAGCCCGAGATTTTTGATACCTCTCGACGCACCATAGACTTAAGCGAGGGCAGTAGCTTGCAAATAAGAAAAAAGGCCAAACACACATGAAAACGTGTATGCTATCACAAAAAAACTGCGATGCTATTTTCCCCTGACCCTCCAACCTTGACCTTAAACCCTGTCTGCAAGCCGCATCATTCAATGTACAAAACATATAATCGGAACGCACACGCGTGCACGCAACCACTCGTGTGGAAGCTCCTCAGCACGATATAACTACCTACCAACATAGCCAATGCAAAATTAATAAGGCGAGCTAAAGATGGCTTTGAGCCAGCTGAACCGTGGCCATCGACAACGACGGCGGCAGTTACAAAGACACCCTTTAGACAAACGTTCGGTCACGAATTTAGAATCCTCGCGCGTCCTTTGAGTGGCCCGTTTACCGAGTGGGACAGATATCACCGCTGATTTATATACCTCATTTTGGCCAACTTTCTCGCTTAGACAAGGCTAGGGCTTATACACACAGTATCTCTCTCTTTCACTCGTGACACTCGAGATGGACCAAATATGCTAGTAGGCACTGGCATCAAAACTGGAGTTTCTTTTCCTAAATAACTATATATAGTATACATGATATATCTTATTTAGGCCACTACTCCGTAATATGCACAGCTGCTTCGTTTACGTGTGCACGAGCTGATGACGCGCAGATCTGAACGATGAAAATTATTCTAATTTTATAAGTAGACAACATCCGATACTCTTGTTATGAAAAGCACATTTACACCGTCTGTGATTATTGAAGGTGAAGCAACTACATCAACTTTTTTATAACGAATTGCCAACATTTTTTTCATCTATATCCAGCTAATTGATTTTTTAAGCTTGTGATATATACTTTATTATTATGCTGAATTGGCAACAAAAAGTTATTATAGATACAAAAATAATATTCAAGATGAATATCAGGCAGCCATTAGAAAATTTTCATTTTCATTACACTAGAAAACATTTTATGGATATAAGATCCAGCTAAAGTTCAAGCCATATAATTACACACACGTTACACACACACACACATACACACACAGCGGCTCGCTGCTGTCGATGATGACGAAGACGACGTCCCCCTCCTCGGTGATTGCGACGGCCATGACACGGAAAATTATCGGCGCCCCTCTTCTAGCAAAAGATGCTGGGCTCCCGACACCCGCAGAGTTTGCGACCGGAAGCTACGAAGAGAAAATGATTCGAATCGAAGGACTTGTGGAGGGCCTTAACACGTTCATCTTTGGCAGAAATAACCTCCATAAGGAGGTGATTAAATACTCGCTAAGTCTGGAGTAGGCCATCTTGGCGCTCAAGAAGACGAAGCAGAAGCAAGTGCCGCCTCGACCTCCCTCTGACGAGAAAGGGGTCTGCACTTCTCCAATATTCTCGGTCAGTGCAACTGGTAAGCGGCCTGCATCGTCACCGCCGGTGACTCGCGCAACACCCAAGCGCCACGCCGTGACAGCCGCATCCAAGCAGCTTGACGAGAACAACACCGATGTCGGAAATCAAGACGGATTTGTACTCGTCGACCATCGTCGTCATCGCCAGCGTAATCAGACTGCAACAACATCTGGATCTGTCCGCGCCTGGCAACTACCGAAGCCACGGCCAGCGCAGCGTAGAGTTCACCATCGACTAGACGCAATCGTTATCAAGATCGCCATTGCCACGCACCCTGACATCTTCTTGCAGGTGTACACGGCGTACCTCCGCATGCTGGAAAAGACAGAGGTTTGTCCTGCTGCCAAAGCCAGGCAAGCCCCCCGAAGAACCATCGTCGTATAGGCCGCTGTGTATGCTCGACATAGCGGGCAAGATCCTGGAGAGACTCATCTGTGATCACCTGGAAGCCATTACTGAGAGCCCTGGGGGCCTCTCAAATCACCAGTACGGTTTTCGGAAGGGGCGATTGACGATCAGCGCCATCGGGCAAGAGATGGAACCGTGGCACTAAGAAATACTGTGCCGTGGTGACCCTCGACGTGACGAACGCATTTCATTCGGCTTGGTGGAACAACATCTACGCCGCACTACGCCGAATGCGCACGCCTGAGTACCTGCTGAGAATAATCAGAAGCTATCTCTCAGCGAGACTGCTTGACTGCGATACGGACGACGGACCACAGTCCTACAGAGTCACGGCAGGCGTACCGCAAGGGTCTGTCTTGTGGGGCCCATCCTGTGGAACGTCATGTACGACGCCATTCTGCGTCTCAACTTCAGAGGCAACGTAAGGATCGTAGGCTTCGCAGACGACATCGCCTTGGTGGCCGTGGCCAAGCACTTGTGGCAGATCGAACACGATCTGAATTCTGCCATCGCGCAGGTGCGAGGCACGCTTCAAGATCTCAGCCTAGAAACGGCTGACCATAAGACTGAGGCTCTTCTCATCACTAGCAGGAAGAAAACGGAGACCGTCATCATCACAGTAGGCGACTGCAGTATAATGTCGTCCCCCTGCATCCGCTACCTGGGCCTACACATCGACTCCAGGCTGAGGTTCGACCAACATCTCCGAATCGTCAGCGAAAAGGCAGCAAGAGTGGCTGGAGCTCTTACGAAGATCATGCCCAGCATCGGTGGGCCCAGAAGTAGCCAACGCGTGCTCTATGCCCACGTCGTCAACTTGATTCTCCTGTATGGAGCACCCATCTGGAGCTGTGCGACAGAGACGCAGGCCTACATCCGTCAAGCAGAGTCTGTACATCGACGAGCCTACCTGCGCGTAATCAGCGGGCGACCACACGTGATAGCCGGCGTACCACCGCTGGCCCTACTAGCGGATGAGCGAGCGCGCATATACCAGCGCCGCCCCGAGGACGTCAAGGATGAAGAGAGAAGAGAGACGCTGAACAGGTGGGAGGACCGGTGGGGACCGGGCCTCAAAGGGCCGATGGACACACCGGCTAATACTGGACATCACAGAATGGGTCGAGAGGAGAAGTGGACTACCATCTCACACAACTCCTGACCAGGCTTGGCTACTTCAAAAGCCATAGCCAACGCTATGATAACACCCTTAGCGCCATCAGCCCGGTCTGCCGAACCACAATAAAAGACGCGGAACATGCGTTCTTTCGCTGCCCGCGATTCCACGAAAAGAGGGAGAGACTTCAACAAGTCCTCCAAGAAGCAATCGAGCCGGAGACTGAAGTACTGAAGGACTGGAGGACTGAATCGGAGCCTCCAGACTGAAGCAAGAGGCGCAAGAGATGTAAAAATGATCCGGACGATGCTGCAAGAAGAAGACGTCGCTTCTGGTTCCCGAACCCCTAATCACCGTAAGGTGGACGGGGGATGTACGGAAAAGACACAGTTTTTTGTTATTTGTTTTTTTCAATTTATTTCTATTGTAAAAACTTGCAGAGGGCTCCAATCACTTTGAAATACAAATTTTCTGAAAATTTCGACAATTTTCAACAAAAAAGTTCCGTAGCACTTTTTCGTTTAAGTCACTCTACATTGATCTAGGAACCATTTAAATATTTAGGATTTTTAATGAATTTCGGGAAAATGTTAAAATAGCCAAGTTTAGGCCTCTGAAAAAGGGTCATAGAAGGCCCCAATCTTCTAAAAATTTTTCGGGAAATTTCTTTTATCCTTTCGGCAAAAGTGTTTTCTTTCGCCGCACGCGTAGGCTAGAAAAAGGAACACTTTTGCCCACTCTTGCACTTTTGGCGGATGCAGGGATTGCTATGGTCAACTCGACTTAGCAACGTAATGTTTACTATTTTATCGCTTCAGTTACTTAGTCTAAAAATTTATAACAAGATTTATTAACTTTTACTGCAAAAAATGGACAGCTCTGAAATATCATTTGATGATGATATGTCTACGGACAAAGAAAAGGTTTTGAGAGAATTCGATAAAGAAGCGCAGCTAATTGTGAGTAGCGAAACTTTACCAAAAAAGTCAGCAGATAGGTATACTCAGATTTACCAACAATACAAAACTTGGGAAAATGAAAACAAAAGTAAATTGTCAACTTCGATGGAAAATAACCTTGTCGTTTATTTCAAAAGTTTAAAAGATAAAATGAAGCCTTCAACGCTGTGGATTATATGATCTATGTTAAAATCCATGATCAAAAATAACTCGAAGGGTTATAAATCAGTGTAAATCCGAAGTTTTCAAATGGGAAGCAGTCGAAAAATTCATGAATGAAGCCAATGATGAAAAATATTTATCCTCTAAAGTTAGTACTTGTACTGTTTATTAGTAATTTATGATCGAATTCGATGCAATTTATTTTTATATAATATTTTCTTTTATTTATAGGTGATTCTCATTTTTGGGTTATGTGGTGTTCTCAGATGTGATAAAATCGTTAAATTGAAACTGACAGATATTGAGGACCTAAAGACTAGACATTTAGCCGTTCAAGAAACAAAAAATTATTATAATTCTAGAACAATCAGTGCATCTCGTCAATTTCTGATAGGACAACTTTGTTATCATAAAGTCAAGGAATATTTATCACTTAAACCAAATAATATCGGTGATAGATTGTTCATACTCTATTCAGGAGGAAAATGTATGCACCAGTTTATTGGTATCAATTCAATATACAAAATACCTCGAGCGATAGCAGCTCATTAATAACTGCCCAATCCGAAAAGGTATACTGAACTAGAGATTATTTATATTAACTTTCTGCATTATTATTTTTTACTTAATCTTTCAATTTCTAACTATTTGCTAGATATACTGGACATTGCTATCGCAGAACAGGAGCATCGCTTCTTGCTGAGTCGGGAGCCGATTTTCTTAAAATCAAACAGTTAGAAGCATTGGTTTCCAACAAAGTTTGCCAGGGGTACGTCGAAAATTCAATCGCAAATCGGCAGGAAATTTTTAATGGTGTGTCACACCACACTAATCACATGGACGCTCAGCCATCGACCAGTAGTGGAATGTACGCAAAAAATACCACTAGAAGATCCTATACAGTACCCTCAACAGCAGCAACTAACCAACAGCAACAAAAATCGACAACAAGTAGTGCACCAAAAAACAACAGCAGCAAGCTAGATTTTGTGGAAAATTTAAATAATTGTCAAGACACGTCTGAATCATTTAATTTAATTGATGATGACTTTTCTTATCCATTGACGCAAGATGATCTAGACAATAATAAAAATTCTAATTTGAAAAGCAGAAGTACACAAACAAACATTTACGACTGCAAAAAATAAGCCGATTAAGCAATGTAAATCTGGGACAATCATAAAATCGAGTGTTGGACATTTTTATATCGTTGTATTATTGATTAAATTTATTAAATGTTATGAGCTACAGTTCAAAATATAGTTGGTTACTCTGCAGAACTAAGACTTCATTTTTTTTCGCTAAGAATTAGTAAGATTTATTAGCTGACACTAATCTGCCCTTAACTATCACTTCTTATCTTTTATTCGTCATGTATTACTCGAAGTCATGAATATGCATACACACTTACCTTTCGCGTTGAAACTTGAGGCTTTGAACGACCTGAGGTATTTTTTGTCGAAAGTTCCAGAGATGAAGAGTGTCGTCGGCCGTTGACGAGACCAAAGCTCCTTCATTAACGAGGAACTGCAGCTGCGTCACAGCACAACCACCGTCGTGCTTAATATGAACGTCCACCCCTGGACTACCCAATCTATTTTTTATATTTTTTGTTAAGGAATTCACAGATAAATTTTTAATGACGAGTTTTCCAAAATTATTATTTTTTTATCATTATTACATTATGGTCCCTCATTTTACGTAAAAATAGCCAATTTTTGATAATATTCCTTTAAATATGAATTAGTAAGAATTTTTAGGATGTAAAAAAGAGCGAGAGACGAGATTAAAAGAAACGGGAAGAATGTGCTAGCGTTAAGTTTTAGTATAGAACTCGATTCTTGAGCGTCGAAATCGATTTTCATGGTTGAATGTACAAGTGGCAGCTGTAGGTAACAGCTATATGTACAAGGTAGTTAAAAAAACACTTCAAAAATACTCGCTAATCTAAACTTATCTTCCTCTAACAGAGATGCACACAGCAGCGGTAGCTTAGTTGGCAGTAAAAAACCATTGGAGCATGCCGAAGCTTTCAGTCACGTCTCGCTTAAAAACACGTCGATTTAGCTCACTATTGGAAATTGCTTCGATCCTTAACCGTTCTCATCAGATTGGCTTTGCTATTATATTGCACTATTATAAAAATTAACACATAAATACTACCAAAGCTGTCAATTAAAACGAATTATGAACTATGAATGAAAAATTTCACAACTTTTTCCGAACCATTTTCATTAAATTTTCTTTTTATATAATTTTAAATAGTTTATATAATAATGTTTACATCGATTGACGTTTATAAATGCGAGAGACATTCATTAAATTTTTATCCAAGATTTTTACCCAAGAAAAACACAGAAGTTAATTGTAAATATGATGATCATTATTTGAATGAAAGATAATTCATAAAAATAGTACTTTACGATACATGTGCCATAATTAACACTTTTCGGCCCAGCTATTATATATCTAAACTACGCCGTGCCAAAAAGTGTTACTTATGGCACTTGTATCGAAAACTACTATTTTTTTTTCGATTTTAGACATGACAACTATTCAGGATCTGACTTCTTAAGTATAAAGTTGAGCGTCCTTGAACCCTAAAGTTGACGATTCATATTAGTGGAATACAATTTTGAGTACGAAAAATGGCGTCTAGATCATGAAAAAATAGCTTTCGAAATTTTCAACTCAAAACCAATAAATTTATGAAAAATATTTTAGCAATGGAAAAATTTTTAGAATTCATAAAAATACGATGGAATTGTTTCAGATTTTTTTCATCTGTTTTGAATTTGCAATATTCAAAAGTTGGAAAAAAATTCGCAAAAAAATTTTCTTATACTATTTGCTTATTTTTTAAATAACTCATTAATTCCATAAAATATCCCATTTTGATTACGCCATTAAAACTCACAAGACTAATTTGATTGGTCTACATTTGATACATAATGATTTTTCTATTTTCTAAAATAGTTCATAATTGTCAAATTCATAATTATAGTTCATAATTATAATTATATAGCTCATAATTATATTTCTTGATAAATATTTGTGTATCAATTTAAAAGGATACATTCGTAGTGATCCTGATTTAGTGCCAATAGCCAGAAGTTTTTGAACGGGATCGAAAGCCATAGCCGTAGGTTGATAAGGAAAGCCATGTCTAAAAGTCTGAAACAAAAATGTAAACAAAACGATTTTTAATTAAATTCTAACATTCAATGCGTTAACTTTACTATTTTCTGTAAACACTAAAACTGAGAAATAGTTAAATATATGAATGAGTAAATACATGCAATGTTCTAAATGAGCGTATAGTAGCAAATTTCCGCACTTATTTCAAATTGTTTAAAAATCAATGGCATAATTTGTATCAATAAATGTATGGGGCGAATCATCATTGTTGCCTCAGCACCTCACTGGAGTTACCATAATGGCCCGATTGCCCAGTTTTCAGCTCACTTGCACAGGGTAAAATGAAATTTAAAAAAATAGGTACGGTAGGTATTTACCTCAGCTTTCTAATGGTGGGGTCAAAAATGCAAAAATATGACTCCATAAACTCAAAAAAGTGACTTGAAGGTGAATTACTCCATAACTTTTAGAAATCAACTCCAATCGACTTTTTCAGTAGCTACACGGAGAGAAATACTATACTAAATATAAACATATTTGCTAGCAAATATTGCTATGTTCTATAGGAAAAGAGCCCCAGAGTCGATATATATTAACTTTTGTTATGTAACATAGTAATTTTTGGTGCGGTATGTAGTATTTTTTAGATTGGTAAAATTATTTTAAAATAATAATTTTCTGGCTTCCCGAGATGATTTATATAAGGTTGACCTATACAAGGTTGAGCATAGATAGCAACGAACTTTCAATATTAAATTAGAAATAATTTTTAGACAGGAAAAAATGTGAAACAGTTGGAGACAACTGTGACGTATTTAACGTATGGAGTCAAAAATACTTTTTCATTAAAGTAAGAACAAGTCACAGAGGAAAATCGGAGGTAAGCAATAAGCTGTCGTCATCGATTCTTAATAAAAAAGCGTATACCAGTAACAAAAGTACAGATAGCATTTGAGGCATAATATAAACCAGCAGGTCGTATTCAGTAAAAGTACTCTAAGCCCTGTATCTGGGATTTCTCAAATCTGTTGTATTGTTTACAACAAATTATCTAGTTATATTAAAGAAAATTATATTAGAATATATATTAGAAAACATATTCATAAACATATTCACGCTTACGTAACTAGAATGCATGACATTTTCCCATGCAATAACTGAACGATAATTTATCATTATAAAATATTAATCGATAATTGTACTCATATCATCGTGTATTATTATACACATTTGCAATCGTTTGCTTGACCAGCTGTGCCTGCACGCTCCACTCTCGTGGCAACGAACTTGTCAGTAGTACAACGCACTGTATAGTGAGCCAAAACTTGACTGATCATTACACAATATTTAAAATGCTTCATTAGCGAATGAGAGTGTTGGGTTGCTGTCTGGCGTTAAGATAAAAATTCAGGCTATAATACAACAAGACTTTCAATATTCCTCCTGTCGGTCGGGGGTGTTCTTTTTGTTTTTGCTGCTAGTTGTTTGCGGAGACTTTCTTTACTACGAGCTCTGCGTAATAACGTGCCTAGTGCCGTATATACGAAGTAACCCACTGCTGCCTGTCCTATACTTCGCTTTTGACGTACAAGTCGCCTGGGGCACGTGCAAACAAAAAACTATATACAGCCTGACAGACTTTGGATAAGTCCATTTTATACTTTTCTCTTTTCTGACGGTCTTTCGTGCAAAGCTTGGGCAAGCTCGTCGCGTGCATAGCTCACGTACATCCGTATATAAATATATATGATGAAAACACATATTCGCTCTGCTCGCTTGTGAGCGTATTAGTTTCTCCAGGCCTAAGCAAAATGATCTTACTTTATTTTATGCGCGTTTTTTAACTGTATATAACTTAAATATGTTAGCAGAATATCAAATTCACGGTACGCGAGTTCACTACATTGTTTCGGGCTCGTTATATTGAAAAATATCCATTGGATTTTCATCGGAACTCGATAATTTAATGGAGTTTGACGTCCTATCAATTTCATGCAAGGAAGTTTATGAGCCTTGAAAATTCAAATGTCATCAATACTTGAAACTTTATCATTAGCAGCGCGACGCACATCATTTATTTTTGCATGCTTACTGAATTTTAATTACTCAAGTTGATTGCGTTCTAAAGGTATATTTTATTTCAATTTCGCGCAATTTACTGTGAAAAATTTTTCAAATAATCCCCAAAAACCCTACCTAAAAATAGTAATTTTGCCGCTACTTTCAAGCTCTTATGGTACAAAATATTATATGCAGCTTGAGTAGATATAAATGATTTTTTGTACAAAACGAAGATGATCCAAAGGGTTACGGCACTCACTCGTGGCTCATGTTCGACTTGTGATGAAACCCTTGGTTTGCAGAAAAATTACACCCACACCCGTTCCTTAAAATACTGTTAAAGTACTATCCGATCTATTAATCGTTCAATATTCCACCTCAAATATCACCTCAAAAAATGCATAAAAATGGTAAATGGTAGCCTGAAGGTTATTGTAAATTATAATATTTAAATAGTAAACAAAATTGACAAGGTCCAAAAAGTTTTGCTAATTTCCTTTTCATAGACAGATAGAATTAAAGTAATTTGAGTGTGTTTCAATTATTTGTGTATGAACAATATCCATAACACAAGAAGAAACAATAGAAAAATGACGAGTTGAGAGAAAGCAAAATAAATACAAGTCACACAAATGAATGCGGAATGAGAAATCTCGAAGGACGGGACTTATATGCGCTCGAAAAAATAATAACACACGATTTCCAGCAACGATAACAATAGAGCTCATCTCCGCGCGCGCCGTCAGTGAGAGGGAAAAAAAGCTTGACACCACATGAAACAGGGTCGTGGACGGGCTGTGCAACGCCAAAAGCAGCATGTACAAATGTAGCAAAATTGTAAAAGGCAAGGTCGTGCTCTAGTCTAGCCAGCAGCCCTTGGCTTCTCTTGGTTTCGCGCATCGTTCAATATCAGTGGCAGTGTGCACAACCAGCAGTTTGTTTTTGCATCGGTCATCTTTGTCACGTCATCACTCAACCGAGAGCTCTCGTGCCTGCTCGATAAGAAGATATTACGATCGCTGACTACCGGTCGAGACTCTGAAACGTCGTGCTGTGAAAGCGTAATTCAAGCTAATTCAAGTAAACATTTTTGAAAAGTAATTTTACCCTTAACAAAGAATAAAAAAGCGAAACTTGAGTCAGTAAGCGAGTTTACACCTTAATCAAGGCAGTGTCTGGCTGTACCTCGGTCTATGACGCTGCGTCAATAAATAAAAAATTAGGAAACAACACATGTTATTCACACTATTATTCACTTATCACACAGATCGTCAAAGAAGTTAAAATTTATTCAAGTAAAAATATAACATTGAAACATGTCGACGTTTCGCTGCTTTGTACGTAGCCTCACCAGGACGATCCTGAGATCTGTGAGATAAGGTAAAGGGGGGTATTACTGCGCACTTTTCCGATCTCTGATTCTGAAGTAAATTTAACGAAAAATAAAAATGATTTTAACACCGGTAATCATTTTAATAACAGATGAGAGCTTCATTAATGCATAGAAAACATTTCTTTATGGGCTTAGGGTACAAAAATATTTAAAAAATAATAAACTGTAAAAAACCGATGCACCTATTACTGCGCAGTCATGTGTCCATTACCGCGCACTAAATTTTCCATGATTACTAAGTATTCACTAAGTAATAATCATTTTCACATTTTGAAAACTTGCACATCTATAGGAAATTTCCTCAGCTTTCGATTGGGAATATTTAAAAAAATCTTAAAAATGGGATTTTTAAGATATTTGCCTTTTAAACTTTATGTCAAATTTTTTCGGTAAAAATGGAAAATTTTGGTAAATCTGACAACACCATCGAAAAGCTGAGGCAATTTCCCATCGAAATGATGGGTTACCTTTTTCTTCTAAGTGCATTTCGATACTTTTTACATGACTTAGAAACTGAGTGATTTCGTTTAATTGGGCCGCGCGGACACTTGTAATGAAATGCCTTGTGTATATGCGCAGTAATAGGTACATACAATGCGGAGTAATTGATATATCGGTTCAAAATACGTAACTAATTTCATTTTTAAAATTTATTGTAGAAAAATATAACTAATCTAACTAATATCGACGTATTAATTAAATAGATGTACTAAAATAAAAATGATATTTGCAAACCAAATTGTCACATGCGTAAAAAGTTACAAGTGATTTTCTATGTGTGTTATCGGCAATTTCTTTCGTAAAAAATAGCTAAATTGAGGAGGTAAATTTCAAATCGATATTACGTTAATATAATCGTTATTACATTAATAAATTTATGTTTTAATGTTAATTTTTTTTTCATTAATATTGTGGGAGGACAATATCTATTATTTAAAATCATTATTCCTCATTAATTTGCAATATAATTTGCATAAACAATCCTTTTCTGCAATGCGCAGACAAAGGTGCTGCGCAGTAATACCCCCGCTTACCCTATGATTATATTCATTTAAAAAAGGGTTCAGTTAAAAAATAATCTTAAATTAATCTGAAAACTGGAACATATTGTGAAAAATATTCTAAATGCTCTGAAAAATATGCAGTATTCAGTAAAAAAATGCATGAAGCACACAGTAGTCTGGATCGGTAAGTGACAGATTTGAGCTAATTAATTGTAGCTAATTTTTTAGTGGAAATTCGCAATTTTAAGTGATCCTTCTATAAAAAAATGGAGCTTTACAATGGTCAGATAGGTGAAAAATCGCCCTGAATCTTATTTTTGATTTCCAAAACCGTAGGGGCTCAGCAGATAATCTAAAACTATTTATGAATATTACTGTAAAGTATAAAAAGATTTCAGTCTGACTAGACAGAGAACTGCCCACATATAGAAGGGCAGAATGCTGAGCTAATTATGAAAAAAGTACAATAGTAGACAAGTGTGCACTGTATTGTTTCATTACACACAGCAGCAGCTGCTAGTACTACTGCCGGCGGTGCAACACGTAGGTCTTACGGCGGTATCTATATATACACGCAG